CCCCGACTTTTCGCACACGCGTGAAAATTGCCTTTCTCGGTAAGTAAGAACGTCGCCGTGCGACGGTACCTGGGCGCCAGGCGCAAGTTTACGTCGGTCGCCATGCGTACCAGCAGCCCGCCACTCGCAGGCAATATAACGGTCCAGCTGGCTCTTGTCCGAGCCTCATCGCTTGTTCGCGAACCGCGCGAAGGGGTGCACGGACACAGCGCGGTAAAGCCGCACTCATCACGGTAAGCTTGAGCACGCCGTACGCTAGTGCTCCTCGCCGCTCCAAAATGACATAGGACTTTGCTCAACACTTCCACCATTCTAACATTTGCTGCTTTATTTCCGCAGCTCATTCCTTGATTCTGAAACCCAATCTATCGCAGTCTGCGAATAAACTGCGCAGCGCGCACAGCGTGATCCCCCTTCTCCCCGCCGCCGCCCGCTCGGGGAGCAACTGATGGAATGCGCCTCGCGATGGCCCGACAGGAGGGCTCATCCCTTGGTAATCCTTCGCATCGTTAGGTGATACAAACCGTTTGCTCAACACTTCCACCATTCTAACATTTGCTGCTTTATTTCCGCAGCTCATTCCTTGATTCTGAAACCCAATCTATCGCAGTCTGCGAATAAACTGCGCAGCGCGCACAGCGTGATCCCCCTTCTCCCCGCCGCCGCCCGCTCGGGGAGCAACTGATGGAATGCGCCTCGCGATGGCCCGACAGGAGGGCTCATCCCTTGGTAATCCTTCGCATCGTTAGGTGATACAAACCGCCACGCTGATACATGACACCTGTGCAGGGTTCGTATTCAACAGCTAGTGCACCCGCATCCTCTTCGCAAGTTCTGCGATGTGCCTGGCGGGCCAACGGGAGTACGGACAAACCAGAAGGGTGCGGCCCTCCTGCGGTGCCGAGAAGCGTGGCGGCCGAATCCGCGAATCCACACACCACGCCGATACGCCAGTTTCCAGGAATCTGATCAGCGCGGGCTTTGCGGGCTTGCAAGAACATCGGCGCGTGGGACGGTCCGTATGTCAGCGGATGGAGGTGCGTCATGCCGACTAATGTTGCCGAGGACACGTTTTCGTAGACCGCTCGTGTGGAACGAGCTTGAACATAAGTACCTTGATTTACATTTCTATTAGAGACCTCACGGACAGGCAGACCTATGCGGAACTAGAAGTAACTGAAGGCAGGTATCGATACGAGCGAGACAGATTTTCTACCTGAGGTGTCAAGATATTCGACTTCAACTACATCTCATTCGCAATTTGAAGGAGACATGTTCGACGGGGATCCGTACATGTTGAGCCTCGACTTGAGAGGGCCCGGGGAACGGCACGTAATCCGCAATCCGCCGTCAGCCACGTACTAGGACGATACTCGAGCTCGTTGTCAGATAGTACGTCTCGTGGCTGGCACTAGAGTACATTCGCCAACCAGTTTTGCGGGCACATAGTAACATATACCACAAGACAGTAAAGCTATACTAGATACAGACAAACATCGGTGTTCAGGTGACGTCTAGCAGTGCGTACGGGAAGACAACATGCATAACGCGTATAGTAGTAGAGAAAAGACATCGTCGTGCGCCGCAGCCTGACGCGTGCGGCGGCGGGTGCATAACATGATCGGCGCGCAGCACATCGACGATGTACCGCGGCTTCAGAGTAGATATAGGATAGTATAGACAGTATACGCGAGGAGCGGAATAGAGCACTGGAACTTGAGCAGTAGCAGCAGTACGGAAAGGCGGAGTAGGATGGAGGAGTAGGGTGTCGCAAGGGTACGTATCACGGAGACGCGCGGAATGCGCGGTGGGTAGGGTGGAACGGAGGGGAAGCGGGTGTAGGGTGGTGGGATAGGGTGGGGTGTCGCAGGGAGGGATACGCAAAACATGGCGGGACAAATCGAATGAGCCCACGGAGGAGACGGAGGGAAGCAAGGTCAAGAATGAGATGGAGGTGCGGGTAGCAGGAGACGCATCACGACAACGTGAGGGCTAAGCAAGACACAACAGTGAAGAAACGAGGGGCTGAAGGTGAAGAAAACGTAGAGAGCACCAAACGAGCAGGCCAACGAGCTCATACGCGACGCATAGGACCCATCGCGCGCTTTATCGGGTCGCTGCGGTCCTTCTCAGGAATATGGGGCACGTCGCCCGCTTGACTGCTCGGGCGCGTCCGAGGGGCCTCCCCGTCTGCATAGATGCCCTTACGCATGCGCTTCGTGACGCGGTCCGCCAGCGCCGCCGACATCGCTTCCGCATCCTCGCCCTCGGGGACCGTGGATGGCCCCGCGACGGGAGCGGAAGCCTTGCCCTTGCCGCGCATGGGCCCGGCGCCCTCGTTGCTAGACAACGATCCTGCCCTGCGCTTGTTTGGCCGCGGGGTTGGTGAGGCGGGAGCTGGGACGATGGTACGCGCCCGCCCGCGGGCTGGCAAAGTCCTCCGCGCCTCAGGGAACAACAGCTTGGGCTCGCAAGCTTCACTAGGCGAGTAGTCGGGGTGCTCGACAGGAAGTCGTGCTCGCGCCTCAGCTTCAGCTACTTCAGCATCTGCCTCGGGAGAATGATAGTGCGGATTCGCAAGAAGTGTTTTCACGCCACGGCTGTGAATGTAGATAAGATCATCATCAGCGTGAATTCAACAACGATTAAGGGCATCGCAGTCAAGAAGCGTGCGAAGGAGGATGTACGCACAATACGTAGGCGATCGTTGGCTTCTCTCCACGTTTCTTCGGCGTATGCGGCTCAGGCGAGCTGTATTCTTCGCTCGGGGGCACCGAACCAGGCGAGTCGCCGAAGAGGAACGGGTTGTTCGGCGAGTCACGCTCAGGCAATCCCTTGCTCTTCTCCTTCCTTGGCTTGGGTTCGGGCGGGGGTGTGGCCGGTCTTGGTACGACTGCTGGCGCACGACGCGACGGCGGCGGAGAGAAGAGGCCAGTGCCAGTGTGACGCTTGCGTAGCAGGTGAGGCGCAGGAGGGGGCGAGGACGAAGGTGAACGCGTCCGGGTCCGGACTCGCGTGGGCGCTCTGTTCTTGACCACCTTGTGCCGTGGTTGGGATCCGCCGCTAGCCACACCACCCTTGCCGCCCGAAGATCCTGCTGGACCATTGCCCAGCCAGAACGCGTCCTCGGCCGTCGTCTCGCTCAGCTCTTCCGCGATGGCGTCGAGAGTGAGCACTCGCCGCTTCTTGTTACCCAGGAAGAGTGCGCCGCCATGGCGCTGGGGTCCACCGCTACCTCGCTCATCCTCTCCATCTGAATCCACGACAGGTACCTCGTGGTCCTCTTCCTCCTCGGACGACGAATCGGTGACGCGCGAGCGTGAACGGCGCTTGCGTTTGTGGGTCGTCCTGGGAGGAGTAGGTGGAAGAGCTGGCACTGCAGACGCAGCGCGCCGTACAGGAGGCTTCGAGGTCGCCATCGACGATGAAGCGGCTGAGCGTTCGGGGGCAGGTACTGGGCCGCCTGCGAGGGCTTTGATCGCTGCTCTAGTTCTCGGCATCGCAGAAAGGTGCTTGAGTGCTGGAGATAATCGCGATGCGCAGGGAATGAGCAGAGAGTGAAGGCGATTAGAGGTGGAAAAGGGAAAGGGGCAGACGGCTCAGGAGGAAGGATGAGCTCAAGACGATGGCAGGCAGACACGACCACAGCAGACTCGAACAATGGTCGGCCCCGGCCGGCGTGCAAACACACCACAACACTCGCTAGCCACATCACCGCATGCGGCGCCTCTTCCCCCTTGTCTCGCGAAACATTCCCAATCTGGTTCTCCATCCTTGTCTCCTGTGTCGGAGACTGTCCCCTGTGCCCGTGTCAGTGTTCGCTATGGATGCGCTGTTTAACGTCGCAACGAGGCTCAGGGTCCAGTTTGAGCCTACCGGGACACGCTAATCTAGTAAGTGTATCATTTCCGTGCATTCCATACTACCCACGCACAATGTCGCGACGAGTATGTCTTTGGTTTGATTTGTTTTACACCTCGAAATCGATATATCGCACCAACAAAGAGCCCGCTGGACTGCCGCAAGGCAATAGGAAGGTTGGGTGGACATGTGTGCAATATCGCGAGGCTCGACACGGAGACTCTTTCCAAGTCTCCTTGTTGACTGTGCATCTGTTCTATCGGATCTCTCAACTGCCATGGGGGGCATCCGACTAATTGATGCATAAATCTCTTAGATTATTGGTTCGTCCTTCACTCTCAACGATGCTCGCTCTCACAGAGTGTAGTTTGTGCATGTATCCGATACATATCGCTGATTTTGTATCTGCCCAGTCACTCTCGCCCAGGATCACCACACAGTTGCATACACATCCACAAGCGTATAGCTTTCAGGAGTTTGTATGCACATGGTATTTCGAATCCTGCTCGAGGATGTTCGCATCTTTGAGTCATATATGGGGACGACGGAGTACATTCTACAACCATATACATACACCCTTTCATCATATATCAATCATGACACCAACTTGCCACAAACAGTAGTAGAAATTTCAGGAGGTTTATTTGAACACATACAAGTCCGAAAAATGCGCCGATTTACTTATGTGTCGCAGGAACAGCCCGCCTACAACCACCCCTTGGCCTTGAAGTCCTCCACGGTGTCCTTTGCCGTTTCCTCCACCGCGCGGTATCGAATGCCCAGGATACGGGACCCTTTCTCAGCGTTATAGGTCACTGCGGACGGCGCCTTCGTAGAGTCGAAGGAATCGTCCAGATTGGAGACTCCATCGGCATAGCGGCGTGCAACGTTGGCTAAAATGGTGGATAAGCCTAGATGCCAGAAATTCATCGCACGCAGTGCTAAAGGCGCGAACCAAATTCTTGCCAGGTGAAAGTCTGTCCTTTGATGATCATCCGCTCCCCGCCCGCATCGGGGGTGATCAGGGCAAGCACCTCTGCGTGGGCGAAGTCGCGCACATCAACGTACTCGTATCTATCGGCAGATTCAGCGCCAGTGTCGTCGGACACGAGCCAAGTTGCACCAAAGAGCACTCACTTGTCCTTCATGAAGCCTCCGTGGGCCACGATCCCCTTGAAGACGCGGTTGTACCAGATCTTCGCCGTCCCGCCCAGCGCCTCGAGCGAAGACGTCTCGTGTATGACCGGGCCGAAGATGTACGGCGGCGCGAGCGCGACGAGGTCCCACCCCAGCCCCTCGCCGAGCTCGCTCTTCTGGCGTTCATAGAACTCCCACGCGGCGCGCTCGGCGAGCACCTTGCTCGCGCGGTACATGTCCATCGATGCCGCGCCGCGGCCCTTCGTGCGGACCTCGTTCACCGCGTGGTCGTTCCAGTGGTTCTCGTCGAAGACGCGGGGCGCGTCCCCGGGCTGGGGCGGGGTCATGACCGCCGCGCACGAGGACGTGAAGACGACACGCTTGATGGTCGCGCGGTGCTTGAGCGCGCTTTGGAGGATGTTGACGGCGCCCTTGACCCCGGGGATGATGAGATCGTCCGGGTCCGTCGCTGTCAGGATGACCGGGGCGGCGATGTGCAAGATTGCGTCGACGCCCTCTGCTGCGGCATCGAATGCGCCATCCTGTCATCGAGGCAAGGGGGTTGAGTTGCAGTCCTGCACGTATCATGGGAGAACGGCTGACCTTTGTGATATCGTCGACCACGACTAGCTCCAGTTTATCGCCGTGCGCCTTGAAGTAGTCCCGGAGGTACGTGGCCTTGCTCTCCGAGCGGACCGTCCCACGGACCGTGAAGCTCCGCTCCAGGAGGTACTTTAGCACCCACACCGCGACGTAACCGTTTGCGCCGGTAACGAGTACACGTCCTGAAGTGATCGCAGGCATAATCGAATAGAGACGAGAGTGTGAGAGTGGGCAGTGAGAGCGGGTGAGAGTTGAACGATATTGACTTCAGGGCCACCTGACGAGTTCGTGAGCTTATATACTTTCAGAAAGTGACGGCTGAATTCATGAATACTTGCCATCCCACGGCGCACTTCTACATAATGCTGCAGGTAAGCCGCCGGGGATGTGGTCCGTCAGCCGTTCCCATCGGACTGTCAGACGGACGCGCACGGCGTGTTTTGTCACTTTGCGCAATATCTTTACGATGCTTCATAAGCAGCAGTTCTTCCGGAGCGCGCCTTACCCTCAAATTCGTTCTCGAAAGTTGCGACATCGTTCTACGTATCCGTTAAGATCGCCGGAGGATGCGCACTGCAGCACTGCAGTGCGGCCGAGGCGCGCGCTTGCTTACCGAGGCCCTCGGCATTCAAAGACGATGTGCGGACGTCTGCTGAGGAGCCAGGACAAATTCTGGATGGCAAGAACGTCAGTATATGCAATGCAGCGCGGCCTCACTTTCTTGTGCGCGCGTACGAATGTCGCACCATCACTACAGCGCGATCTCCGACTACAACTAGCCAAGTATGTGAATGTGCACGAGAATTTATAACTCACCTTCGCAGTGCTTTATTAGGTGCAATTCGTGTTGCGCAGAAATCCACTCAGAAATCCAGTTTGTGATGTTCATGAAGGTTCAAACGTTCATGAGATGGTCGTACTCCATATTATCAAGTTCGCCGACCAATGCGCCTGCCAACGCCAAGCGGCGCGTATTCCGGCGCTTATATGCATTCAATCCTGCCTCCCACCCTCACTCGAGTTGCCAAATCCCAGCATTTTCGCCACGACCATGCATTTCCATGAGCGGCACTGCTGAACTTTTTTTTGGAACGTCAGGCTTCTGAACCTGCATTGATACCAAGTAGTCACCAACCACTTGCATGGGCGCTATGAGTCTAGGGGTCAACATGCAAAAGAACATAACATAGTGATTTCGACAAGACAATCTTCACGTTCACGAGTGCGTTAATGCTCTGTTCAGATTGTGAGGACAATGCTGGCACTCACATTATCCAGATGAGGATGTTCCCATGCCATAAGATGAAGGCCAACACGTGTATCAGGACGCCGGGACGTTATTCATGGGAGGCTGTTGACGAGCACGACTTCCGGGACACCACTCGCGTCCTCTTCGTATCTTTGCGGCGCTCGCAGCTATTTTTTCTCAGCTTAAGTCATGGTGAGCGCATTACTATCGTGCTTCGCAGTGTGGTTTAGCTCAAAGCTATGGGCCATTGCACGTCGGTTTGTAGACGTCGCAAACCTCTGATTCATCGGAGTCGCTGGGATTGGATGGCACATGGATGACGGCGATCGACGATCAGGCTACACAGGACGACTACTCCGTTATCGATGGCGCTACCACGAGTAGTAGCGATGCAGAGTCCGCGGCCCGATGGATTCGCGACCCTAGTACGGTGGATCCCAGTCGGTGGCCTCATAGTCCTAGCGTTGAATGGCTGAGGGAGTCCGGCACTATGGATCCATGGCCACAGAGTCCCAGTGAATGGGTGCGGGAGCCTAGCATTCGCGAGCCTTTTAGGGCCCCACTGCCGATATCCATGGGATTCCATAGCGGGTCACCCACGGTGCCTGTCACCTATCCCACTCCCTCCATTTGGGAGCCTCCTCCTCGGACGGCATCTCCATCCAGCCTAGAGCAAGATCACTTCCCTTATGAAGTCGCCTCGGCCTCTGTTGATCATGCAGTAGGTGATGCGGTGGATTTCTCCCAGAGTGTTCGTACGGGAACCGCTGGCGCCGATCAAGCTACACGGCCAAGGGGCCGTCCCACCTCTCGAGGCTCGAAATCAGACGACAATCATTCTGTGGATAGCAGTTACTTTTCTCCTCCATTGGCAGGTCGGAGTAGGCAAACGTCTATCGTCAACGAGTCACGAAGTCAAGCACGTACCCCTTCCAACCCTGCACCCCCGTCTACGAAGCCTCGTTCCAATGTATCTAAATCGGCCGACGGTGGTCGAGCGCGCAGGGTACGTCCGACCATTGAGCCAATCCATGTCAGCATCAAATTGTGTTAACTGTTAACAAGCCTTCCAAACCGCCACCAAGCACGGTCGACGCTGAGGTGAGGGTAACTTCTGACTGTATGAGATTCTTTCAACTAAAATTGTTCTATAGGCATTACCGGGTGCGAACGCCATGTCAGAAATTTGGCCCCTCTACATCGTGCACACTCTGGCTGAGGACAAGGAGACGGTGGCCGCGTGGAACTCAGACCTAGACGCTATACTCATTTTCGTGCGTTTTCACCTCGACCTTCCAATGCATTGATCTCATTCGTTTGATGTAGGCGGCTCTCTTCTCAGCCGTTTTGACGACATTCATCATCGAGTCGTATACAAATTTGCAAGCCGACCCCACCGTCGAGTTGCTGCAAGCCATCTTGTTCGAGCTACAGGTGACTCGGAACGCATCTACGGCCCCTGCATCACCTATGGGGAAGTTCCAGGTGGCCGCCTCCGCTTTTCGGGTCAACCTCTACTGGTTCACCAGCTTGATCCTCAGCTTGGCCACTGCTCTCATCACCATTCTAGCCAAGCAATGGGTCAACTACCTCCTTGCGGGCCTCTCACCCATTCCCGCGACTCGCGCTCGACACCGTCAGTATCGCATAGACGGAATGCACAGGTGGAACCTGCCTGCGATTCTATCGTTCCTACCTGTCCTCCTCCACGTTGCGTTACTCCTCTTTTTCGCTGGGCTGGTCGACTTCGTTTGGGATGTCAATCGAAGCATTGCAGTGTTTTCCGCGGTACTGGTTTGCACAACGTGCATCGTATACGTCATCGCGAACGTGCTAGCCTACATCTACCCCGACTGTCCCTTCAAGACATCTGTCTCTGTCGTCTTCTCCCTCATCATCAACCTTCTCGTGATTGCCTACGGGAAGACGTGCGTCACCGTGGTCAAGACAGGCCGCGCTTCCAGCCGCCTATGGGCCCGCGGCATACTCGCATGCAATTCTTTGTATCGCCGCTGGTGCCGCCGTGCCGGAGGCTCGCTGATTGGAGAAGGACTAGTCCCGCTATCTAGAGTAGGTACTATCACGGTCTCGACCGCTCGCAACTACGAGTCGTTGCGTATTGCGTCTCTACGTAGCCAGGACGAGCAGTTCATCGAGGAGAACAAGACCGTCATGGATACTCGTATCCTGCTCTGGCTCATGCGCAACGCAGACCGCGTGGACGAACTGGAGAAGCTCTGCCACGCGATCACTCACTTCCCGCACCTGGTTGCCCACCGGCAGCTGTTCATCCAACAAGGTGGTCTGCTGTTTCTAGAACGCCTCCTCCAGAACGCCATGTCAAGCAAGTATTCGAAGTTATCCAAAGAGCGACGGGACACAGCGACCTCTGCGATGTACGCCCTTGCCGTCCTAGAGTCCGAGGTAGACACGGCTCGCCTGCGCGATAGGGCTGGCTTACTAGACGTCGTGGCGACCAGTGCCCCACCTGATGATACCCCCTACTTTATGGTGGAAGCGACAATCAACCCCGCAAGATCTCCCCTTTCCCCGTCGACCTATCCCGTCATCATATCCCTTCTCCATGAGGGAGGCAACCTACCTATTTCTACGATGGCGTCCGCACTCCGGCTCTGTGTCAGGATCCCCGACACCACCGCCCAAAGGGGCCGCATACAGCCCATCAAACCCCTCGCCCTCAAATTCCTCCGTCGCGTCACCCAGCTCCAGTCCTCTCCAGAGATGCATTCCGACATCAATCATGCCGTGAATACGGTCGTGTATCTGGCTCTCCATGACGTGTCATACCCGCAACGAGATGGATTCCTGCTCCCTTGCATAGGGGATGCCCCTTACTGGCTCAACTACCTATCGGACCTCATGTCGCGACCATTCGCAACAGCCGAGGCCCGTCGTCAGATGTGTTGGGCTGTTTGTGCCCTCGCGCCGTCGCTTCAAGGCTCCTCGGCCGCGGAAGTTGTAAAGCCTCGCGTGCCACGACGTATTGACATCCAGACCTTCGCCAGGCGGCTGACAGGGCTGATCTCGTGCGATGTGAATCCAGATGTTCTCAATGCCGCTTTGGTTGCTTTCGAAGGCCTGCTGTGGACGGCAACTGGCGAGGAGAGGGGCGATGCGGCATACATGGCCCGCCTCCTCACCCCTGCACACCTCGCGTTCACGGCTCAAATCCAGCGGCGGTTCAAGCTAAACCAGGCAAATGTGTCAGAGGTGGCCAAGATCACCCCCTCAATCACCCGCATCGCCGTCTACCTGTCCATATACCATCCCGTACTGGAGAACACCTTGCGGATTGCTCTTCTCCAGAATGTCTTTTGGATTCTCGCACATCTACTAGAGGCAAGCCAGCTGGACTCCACCCCACTCTATGTGGATGCACACGTCCTCAAAGGCCGGTCGCCTCAAACTACCGTGACACGGAGGCTCCGGGGGAACGAAGCGACTAGGTGGATTTACAGAGCAGCAAGCCGCATGATCATGCTCTTCCTCAACCTAGGCGGAAAACCCACTGGCGATTCCCCTTCGGCTCCCATCGATTCCAAGGATCTCGTCTTTTCAGACATCGCCGTTAGTACCCCAGCGGGTGCGGCGTTGACTCTAGCACTTCAGAGCATCGTTGGAAGGACGACCATGGCCGACGCGTCGGGATCGACAATGGACCCATTCATCCTAGAGTCCTTCGCTATGATTCTTACGGACGCTTTGTTTCGCGGGATGCCAGACACCGTGTCTAGGGACGCCGGCGCCTGGGACTGGGAGGCCACGCGCATCGTCGCGCACATAGCGGGGCGGGGCGGACTGTCGGCGCTGCTGACTGTGTCGTCGTATAACACAACGGCCCGACTCTCTGCGTTGAGCATGGCGTTGAGAACGATACGCGTGGTCCTCAATGCAGACACTGGATCACGCAAGGGACGCCCCGCGTGGACGCGCATTCCGAGGCACTGGCACAGCCCAAGCCATCCCGCGAACGTGCTTGCCGCGATGTTCCGCGACCAATACGCGCCGTTCTGCCAGAGGCTCACAGAGCTGACCCAGGTCGGTGAGCCCATGAGGCATCTCGACATGGAGGGGGCGCTCGTCGACTTCATCCGCCTCTCCGGGAACCTCGCGTTCTTCGGCGCTCCACCGCACGCAGACTTGCCGGACCCACCGATCATCAGCACTCTACTACCTTTCCTAGCCTGTCTGACGGCGGACTATGCTCCGGGGCCGACCTTGTTTATGGCGCGTCGCCATGCCTGGGGCGCCTTAGGGAGTATCGCTACGCTATACACCCTGACGGCAGAAGAGCTACGCGTCGAGCGCAATCCCGAGCGACACTTCCGCTTTGACGCTTTTCGGGCCGACGACGTTGCGGCGGGCTTGCTGCGGGCCCTCGTGTTCTCGAGCATCGAGGATGGTCCTGACACCGAACCGCATTGCGAGCGATGCCACTTCGGCCACCGCGAATATATCCGACTACTCTTCCGGTGGGTCGGCCATACACTGCCAGATGCATCCGTGACACACGAGGTGTTCATGGATATCGCCACGATAGCACTCAAGGCTATCGCAGCCCTATGGAAGACCGAGGACCCGGAGTCTGTCGAGCTCCGCGAGTCTCTTCGACGGCACGGGCTCAGTTCTCGCCTGCGCCCATTCTTGGAGGGGAGCGATATGACGGAGCTCGCAAACGAGGTGATGACCCAGGTGTTCGACGCCGAGAGAGAAACACCACCGGACAGCCCTGAGACTCCATGTTAGGATGTGAGTATTTTAACTATTGAAAGAGATGAAACCTCACCGCCGACATCCGTTTAGGCTGCAGTCGACTAGTATAGAGGATATACAGAAGTATCTAGGATGTACAAACGCCATTCATGTAGTCCCCTACGAGTTCCTGACGAGAAATACGTATAGCGTGTTGACATCCACATCGTACATAGCAAGGTGAGGCCTTGAATCCTCACCTTGCTATGTACGGTCCTCACCGGCATTGTGTAGCACCAATCGTGCAGCATCGACGTTAGTGTTCCCGACGCCAGAGCTATCCTCCGATCGCCCTACGTACGGCAGCGATGCGGTGCATAGCCCATGTTCTCCCCAAGCCCTTCCCATGAGTGTCCTACCAAGCCAGCATTGAGTAGGGACTCACACTTCCTCCGAGAGGTGGGTATATTCCGGTCGGGAGTGCACGTGGTGGCAGATGCAGCATAGCCGTGCGCCGGTCGGCGACGCGTCCAAGCACAGACTCCCCGAGTCGGTTCGAAGAAAGGTCTTGATAAAACAGAGTGCCCACCACGGAGGTTCTTCGTCGGGGTCGGTGCCGGGGCGCAGGCCATATAACGCAGAGGAACGCGGAGAGGTCGCGGCCAAACCAATTGCCTATTGTCTCAGTATCCCATCTCACCATCCTCCAACTTGCCTCGCAATGCCCGCGATTTCTTCCGGAAAGGTGCTAGTGACCGGCGCGAACGGGTTCATCGCTGTCTGGACGGTGAAGGCCCTCCTCGAAGCGGGCTTCTCCGTCCGAGGCGCCGTGCGCTCTCCGTCCAAGGCCGAGCACCTGAAGACCATCTTTAGCTCATACGGCGACAAGCTCGAGTTCGCCTTCGTCCCAGACATGGTCCAGGTACGTCTTCCACTTTCGAAGCCACCTCAACAGAGGACTAACTCGGCCCGCAGGACGACGCGTTCGACGAGGCTGCGGTCGGGGTCGACGCCATAGTGCACACCGCCTCACCCGTGCACCTAGCCGCGGACGACCCCGCTGAAGTCATCGACCCCGCGGTCAACGGCACGCTCGGCGTTCTGCGCGCGGCCGCGGGGCGCGCCTCGTCCGTCAAGCGCGTCGTGTATGTTTCCTCGTGCGCGGCAGTGCTCACGCGAGATGTACCTACGCCGCGCGTATACGACGAGACGTGCTGGAACGACGCGGATGTGACCGCGGTGCAGGCGCATGGACGCGCCGCGGAGCCGCTCGCGAAGTACTGCGCGAGCAAGATCTTCGCGGAGCGGGCGGCGTGGGCGTTCTACGAGGATCACAAGGGGGCGCTCCCATGGGACCTCGTCGTCGTGAACCCGCCGTGGGTGTTTGGGCCCGTGCTGCATGAGGTGCGCGGCGGGCTGGAGAGCCTGAACGACTCGAACAGGCTTCTGTTCGAGGCCATCACCAAGTGCAGTTTCACTGTTGCAGAGTGAGTCTCTCATGGTCGATGCGTAGGGCGAGAACTGACCTAAAATCGGGGTAGCAACTGCTACACCGACGTCCGCGACGTCGCCCAAGCTTTATTCCTGGCAGTGACGAAACCAGCTGCGAGCGGTGAGCGCATTATCGCGAGTGCTAGGAGCTACAAGTGGCAGGACTTCGGTGAGTGCTACGCAGTTTGGTACTCCCTCGAAATGCATAAGCTGATCGACCATTCAGTCGTCGCGGCACGCAAGATATCAAGCAAGTTCCAGCCGCTGGAGACACCGTACGACGCCACGCAGGAAGTTTACATGGTGGCGTATGATAACACGAAGTCCAAGGAAGCCTTGGGCATGACGTACCGCAGCATCGAGGAAACTACGGCAGATATCCTGGAGGACTGGGAGGCGCATGGATGGATGTAAACCGCTATAACGAGCCGTGATTGCGCCTGTGTAATATTTGGTGTTTCCAATGTATCGCGCTTCCTGTGCAGATCGTAGGGAAGGGATGGTCAGCCAGTGCGAAGCAGACAGTTCAATTGACTCAAGTTGGGGAGGATGACCCGAACTCAGCTTCCGCGGCTCATGAGAGAGCACAAGTTCGACTCACTCGAGCTACCGAGCCGCAGCTCAAAGCTTCTTATTTGAGGTATGTTTGAAAGCAGCGTAATAGTCAACGAGAAAAACATAGCAGAGACTCAGATGCGTCCCCCATGCGACTCATATTTTCCTAGTGCCGTGCGCAGAATGCGAGGCAGGAGTAGAGTGGACGAAAGAGAGGAGTTTTCGAAAGGGTAGTTCTAGTCACAGGCTGTGCGCATGCGCTGTGGCGGAGCGGCCGGGAGGCCCCGGGAGGGGGGCCGAGTGATCACGTAACGCGATATACGTGGGCGCTCCAGCTCTTGATCGCATACGTCCACCATCTCATCCACCAATACACCACTTCGTGCCTTGCTTCGAGATTCTCTGGCAACGTCCACCGCTCTTTGATCATGGTCGATCGCTACTTTTGTCCGTGCTGGACATGCAGGAACGGCCCACACAAGAACCTGCTACTTTCGAGCAATCAATATATATCCATTACGACACATTTCGAGGCTATCCGAATGCGCCGTCTATGTGGACTGGTCATTCATAAGGATGCGTGGCGGAGGGCATCTTGAAACCTCGTGCACCCACACGCAACATGAGCACCTCGCTGTGCACTCCGACTTGCTCGCCTACCCTGCGTTCTTCCGACGACCTCACACTCTTACACAGCGCCCCCCATCTACGTTAACGTTTTTGCTCACTCTCGACGACCACGCTTGTCAAATATGCCTCAGATGATCGCTAGCTATAGCTCCTGACATCGCTGATGGTCGGATGGACCCCGAGCCTTGTTGCTCCACCATAGACACCCAGGGTATTACTGCAACAACCACTCAGACCGCGCGACGCAATCAACGAACCTCGTCTTGGTATTCTCTGTCTACAGAGAAGCACGTCGGGCAAAACCCCGACAGATACCTCTCACACGATCTGCGAACCAGGGCACATATAACGTGGGGCCCTACGAAGGCCTTTTCCCTCAGGTGCACCCCTACCCTTGAGACATGACCGCACTGTTCCAAAACTCGTACTATGTCCTGAATAATATCAACGCCATCCTCTATGATGCGTATCCGTCTCCCTGCACCTGCCATTTGTGTCGTTTCCTATGCCTCGAGTAGCCATAGCTGACACCACGTACCTTGACAGGAATCGAGCTCGTGATGTGCTTCATGATCGTCCGCCACGTCGCGGGGAACCGGCAGCGCACGCGCGCAGACAAGCTTCTCATCGCCTTCAGCACCGTATTGCTCGTACTCAACACCATCTACTGGACGACACAGGCGTACTTCGGGCAGCAGATGTGGATTGTGCACGCAGACTACCCCGGGGGCATGGACGCGTATCTCGCCGCCAACATCGCGGTGTGGTACCAGACGTGGGGCACCGCCGCGGTCACGGTCATCAACCTTATGGCGGACGCGCTGATGGTGAGCGAAAGAACTTCTCTGTTGCGCGAATTCAGGAAGCTGATCGATGCCTTGCGTACTTGAAGATGTACCGCGTCTATGTTATATGGGACAACGCGTCCGTGGTTGTTATCCCAGCGCTAATTTGGCTAGGTTCGTTCGGTGAGCATCCACGACTTCCTCTATCACCTTACCTCCCGCTAACTCGCCACAAGGAGTGGCATCGGACTGCTGATCGAGTCCGGCCGACCAGACGGGAACTACTACGCGGGGACAGCGACGAAGTTCGTGACCGCGTGGAACGCGCTCATCCTATCGTTCAACGTGATCACGACGTCTCTCATCTGCGGACGCATCCTCTACATCGGGCGGCAAGTACGCATGGCTAGCGAGGGCACGCAGGCGTATACCGGCGTTGTCGCGATCATCGTCGAGTCCGCGCTGCCGTTCACGCTTGGGAGCATGGCGTACGTGGTCGCATATAGCGCGACCTCGCGATCGCATTTTCGTGTTATGCGATGTTCACGGTGAGTGCAGCGCACGCTCCGTGAGGGAAGCTGGGAATGAGGCTGACGCACGAATGCGTAGACGATCTCGCCACAGCTCATCGCGCTGCGGGTTCTCGAGCGGCGCGCTTGGGGGAAGGAGTCTACCCCGCGTTCCTTACCACCATCAACTTCTCGAACCGCACCAAAGAGACCACGGGCAGGGGGAGTTCAAAGGCCGACTATGAGCTGGAGAAGAGGAAGGACGGGGGCTCGTCCATGACCCTGTCGACCATGCAAGCTGCCGAGAACGTTGCTGATTACGCTGTATGATAGAGAGTACGTGCAGGTCGCTATTGGATATTCGCCAATGAACGAAGCGCCACACCAACCGTGCAGCACCGAAGTTAGTGCTCCCGACGCCCAAGCTATACTCCGACCCTACGTACGGCAGTTGCTCGTTGCACACCTCGTGGCGCTCCCCATAGATGATGGGGCCAAGCGAGCACGAACCAGGAGCCTGAGATTTTTCCAGAGGTGAGTATATCCCGGTCGGAGGGTTCACGTGGTGGCATGAGCTGCGTAGCCGTGCGCCGTTGGGCGACGCGTCCCAAAGGCTGGCCCCTCACATCGGCGAGAGAAGATATATTTCAATAACATATAGAAGAGTGGGGGGCACATCGCGGAGGCCCTTCGTCGGGGTCGGTGCCGGGGAGCAGGCCATATAACGCAGAGGTGCGCAGAGGGTCTGCAGCATTCCCTGCTACCCTCCCAGAACACCTACAATGCCCGCGATCTCCTCTGGGAAAGTATTGGTGACCGGCGCGAACGGCTTCATCGCAGTATGGACGGTGAAGGCCCTCCTCGACGCGGGTTTCTCCGTGCGAGGTGCCGTGCGCTCGCCGTCCAAGACCGAGCACCTGAAGACCATCTTCAGCTCGTACGGTGACAAGCTCGAGTTCGCCATCGTCCCGGACATGACAGTGGTACGTCCGCCACTGAGCGCCACCCGAACAGCAGACTGCACGCTGACTGGATTTATAGGACGGCGCGTTCGACGAGGCCGCGGTCGGAGTCGACGCCATCGTGCACACCGCCTCGCCCGTGCATCTCACCGCGGACGACCCGGCCGACATCATCGACCCCGCGGTCAACGGCACGCTCGGCGTCCTGCGCGCCGCCACCGCCAACGCCCCATCCGTCAAGCGCGTCGTGTTCGTCTCTACGTGCGGCACCGTGCTCACGCGCAACGCGCCCGGGCCGCGCTTGTACGACGAGACGTGCTGGAACGAGGCGGACGTGAGCACTGTGCAGACGCTCGGGCGCGCCGCGCCGCCTCTCTTAAAGTATAGTGCGAGCAAGATCTTGGCAGAGCGGGCGGCGTGGGCGTTCTACGAGGAGCACAAGGGGTCGCAACAGTGGGACCTGGTCGTCGTGAACCCGCCGTGGGTGCTCGGGCCCGTGCTGCATGAGGTGGTGGGCAGCGGACCGGAGAGCTTGAACAACTCGAACAGACTCTTGTTCGAGGCGATCACCAAGCGCAGTTTCACTGTTCCTGCGTAAGCTCCTTGTCATCGATGCATGAGACGAGAACTGACCTGGCGTCGGTATAGCAACTGCTACATTGATGTCCGCGACCTCGCGCAGGCTCTGCTGCTCGCGGTGACGAAACCATCGGCCAGTGGAGAGCGCATCATCGCGAGTGCAAGTCCCTTCAGGTGGGAGGACTTCAGTAAGCTCCACCATATCACATTCTCTGGGGTGGAGGCTGATTGGCGACCACTCAGTTCTCGCAGCGAGCACGTTGTCGAGCAAGATTCAGCCGCTGGAAACGCCGTACGACGCCGCTGCAGAGGTATACAAGGTGGTATACGACAACAGTAAGTCCAAGGAAGTACTGGGCGTCACGTACCGCAGCATTGAGGAAACCACGGCGGATATGTTGAACGACTGGGAGACGCGTGGATTGCTGTAAGCCGCTAGGACGAGTTAGGATGATCTATGTGTATCTTTTATGCTTAAAAATACATCTTGCGACCTGTATATGTCGTAGAAAGGGAGAAGGTCAAGCAATACGAAGCAGACCGGGGCCAACCTTGTCACGGTGAAAGTACGACCGGGAGAGGCGCCAAACCACGAAACCTGCCAAACGCGTCCAAACTCCGCCACGTGGCATCGCCTCCCTATAAAAGCACGGGCCCTCCGCTCCTGCCGTTTTCTTCACTCATTCCGGATCCGCACTATTGTCCCCCTGCGACAGAAACCCTTTTCTCGCAGGAGTCTACCGCAGGTCCCAGAGCGAACTGTGCGCCTCTAGCTGGAGCGTGCGCCATCCCTTGTTGGAACGTCGGATACGGCGATGGCGCGCTTTTCCTTACCAGAGGTGGGACAACCCTCTCGCTCTTCGTAGTTTCCTGTATTCCAGAGCTCTGCGTTGCACCCAATGAAGATCATTCCGAAACACCGTCTTTGCATTCGGACTGCAAGGTCCACTGGAATGAATTGGCCACCGAAAAGCCGACCAGTTTAGATGTGTTGGGCGTTCACATGAGGGTACGGATCCTCACCATGATCCTTGCGAACAGGTGAGCATACATATCTATTTGCTTCTCTTTCTAGGATGTGTGAACGATCTGGGTATAAAATCTTAAGAACGCTATCCACCGGTCTACAACTACTCCAGCTTCGAAGTCATAGCCCGGAGCGAAGGGAAGCTGCTCAGAGCAAGACCGGAACACTTGCATGTCGAGAAAGGTCCCTCAGCCTGTGCGTTTCCATCTGCTTTTGGGCCTAACAAATACGGTCATGGGAATCATCGTTTCATTGGTTGTATTCCCGGGTAAAGAGAGAAATCTATGCGAGTCATCTATATGTGCAATCTGCCATTATGGTACCAAGAAGTAATATCCACGCGCTCTCAGCAACGAATGTGGAGGCAGGCGGGGCTTTTCACGCCCGGCCTATCCCTGGTATCTACCAAAAAGAACCGTCCCCCGCGCTCCACTGGCGAAGCGGCGGTAATGCGCCCCTTCCCACCACCCTCGTCCCCCTCACAGAAGAAACACTCACGCAGAGACGGGCTTCCCGGCGATCTTCGCCGCCTTCCCGGGGACGAAGAGCCACCAGATGGCGATGACGACACGCATGCCCGTCCCGACCCCGAGGGTCGCCGCCGCGCCCGCGGCGTCGATGATCGCGCGCCCGACGAAGCCCCCGAGGAAGAGCGCGACGATCGCGATGAGCTTGTGGTCGCGGGTGATGACGCGCTGGCGGAAGTTGAGCAGCTTGGGGTCCGCCATCAGCTCACACCAGACGGTTGTGAGCACGACTGTTCACGGGGGAGGATCAGCGATCGATGCGCGACATAGCGCCGCAGCAGGCACGAGAAGGGGGACCCGCGGATGGGCGTAGGGGAACAGGGCCAAATGGAATGACACTCACTGGTCGTCGCAAACTGCGTGTTCACCCGCTTGCCCATGATGCCCTGCAGCCCCAGACTCGCGCTCATGAACGCGATCGCGACGAACGTGAGCGCGTCCGTCCACGCCGGGTCGCCACGGACCTCCGCGATGCTGCCCTGCCCGCTCTTCCACGCGGTAAGCGCGGCGGCCATGGTGAAGAGCGCCTGGATCATGGTGCCCAAGAAAAGCCAGGCGCGAGTCTTCGGGCCCATACGGTCGCCGATACGGCCCAGCGATGCGCCCGCGATGAACGTGAGCACGGAGGTGAGCGCCTGCTGGTCCGCGAGATGGAAGGAGGTGTCGCGGGATCCCGCGGGCCCGGAGAAGAGACGCGCGAGTGCGAGCGCGAGCTGCACGGAGTTGCCGGTCTGGAAACCACACCAGACGAAGATCGCGGTGAACGAGACCGAGTCACTGTAGATGGCGAGACGATCGAATCCGTGGAACGACACGGAGAGGCGGGGCGGGCGGGCACTCACATGAACCCGGTCATGAAGCAGTACGCGGCGAGCGGGAACGTCGATTGGACGGGGTCGACGTCGGTCATGAGATGGCGAGTCGTGAAGACGGTGCCGGGGCTTGTCCATAGCTGCGCGGTGTCGACGATGGTGCTGTGCGACTCCTTGGAGGAGGCGGGTTGCGGGAGGGTGTCCGCCTTCTCCGCCTTCTGCTCCGCGTAGTCCGGGCCCGTCGGGAGGTTCTGCGACTGCTGGGTAGTCATGGTGGCGGCGCGAGGGGGAACGAGGGGCGCGTTAGCCAGGCAGAGGGAGCGTGGGGGCTGAGGGAAGGTGGTGGTCGGGAGGAGAGGACGGGGGAGAGCGGGAGCGAATGGAGGAGTTTTGAGTGGTGAGTGCCATGGTGCAATCCGCGGGAACTCCGCCTTGGCAGGAATCTTCACCAGCGGATAGCCGCCCCGGCGCGCACGCACCGCCACTCTATCTCCGTCCCGTCCTCCTCCTCCCGCCCCGCCAAGGCACACATCCCCCTTGGCTCCTTTCTTTCGGCCGCTCTACTTCTGCTCTGGAATCCACGCATGACACTGGGAGATTCTGGGCTTTGAGCTGGGATTTCTTGTCGCCGACTGCTCCCACCGCCTGATATGATCTGATACCCCCGCCGGAGGGATGATCTCTGCGATGTCCTTCTTGTTTTCCATACGCTGCCATACTTCAAAACAGGACCAACCTTACACGCCCGTTCCGACATCCAAGCATCGCCAAGTGCCTGTCAATGTCAAACTTACCGCCGCAGAAGCTTCACCTGACGCCTCGGCAGCCCGCGTGAGCCGGAGTACTTGTGCCCTCTCTCAAGTGAACTGACACCACTGAGTTTGGTTCTTCCTCTACGACTTTCAGCTGCGCTGTCTATTTTGCACGGGCTGACCGTCCCCTGTTCTACGATATGCACAGGAAGCATGATACGTTGGAAACAAAAAAAGACACAGAACTTGTAGCGGATTACATCCATCCACGCATCTCCCAGTCGTTCAGAATATCTGCCGTGGTTTCCTCAATGCTGCGGTACGTGGCGCCCAATACTTCCTTGGACTTCGTGTTATCGTATAGCACCTTGTATACTTCTGCGGTGGCGTCGTACGGCGTCTCCACCGGCTGGATCTTGCTCGACGCCGTGCTCGCCGCGACGACTGAGTGGTTGCCAATCAGCCTCCACCCACGGGAGTGTGATATAATGTAACACGTACCGAAGTCCTGCCACCTGAAAGGGCGTGCACTTGTGATAATGCGCTCTCCGCTAGCCGATGGCTTCGTCATCGCGAGCAACAGAGCCTGCGCGAGATCGCGAACATCGACGTAGCAGTTCCTATCTCGGCTCTAGGTCAGCTCTTGCCTCATGTCTAGGACACAGGGAACTCACACGAGAATAGTGAAATCGCGCTTGGTGATAGCCTCAAATAAGAGCCCGTTCGAGCTATTCAAGCTCTCCGGTCCCCCACCCACCTCATGCAGCACGGGCCCGAACACCCACGGCGGGTTCACGACGACCAAGTCCCACGGGAGCGCCCCTTGACGCTCCTCACAGAACGCACGCGCCGCCCGCTCCGCGAATATCTTGCTCGCGCTGTACTTCGCGAGCGGCGCCGCGGCGCGCCCGAGCGTCTGCACCGCGTCCGCGTCCGCCTCATTCCAGCACGTCTCGTCGTACACGCGCGACCCGGGCGCGTCGCGCGTGAGCACGGTTGCGCACGAGGAGACGTACACGATGCGCTGGACGGATGCGGCGGCGCGCAGGACGCCGAGGGTGCCGCTGACCGCGGGATTGATTACTTCGGCGGGGTCGTCCGCGCCGAGGTGCACGGGCGAGGCGGTGTGCACGATGGCGTCGACCCCGAGTACGGCCTGGTTGAACGCCCCGTCCTGCGAGTCGCATTAGCCTGCTGTCTGTGTGGTGCTCGCTGGCGGACGTACGACCGTCATGTCCGGGACGATGGCGAAGTCGAGCTTATCGCCGTACGCGCCGAAGATGGTCCTCAGGTGTTCGGTCTTGTACGGGGAGCGCACGACACCTCGCACGGAGAAGCCTGCGTCGAGGAAGGCTTTCATCGTCCACACCGCGATGAAGCCGTTTGCGCCCGTCACCAACACTTTTCCGGAAGAGATCGCAGGCATTGTGGGTATTCTGGAGGGCAGGAGAATAGTGCACGCCCTTCCTGCACCCTTGCGTTATATGGCTTGCTCTACGGCACCGACCCCGGCGAAGAACCTCTACGACGAGTACCCTACTCTTCTATATGTTATTGACATGCTTCTTGTCGACGTGAAGAGCCAGGCTTGGGGACGCACCGCCCAGCGCCGCACTGCTACGCGGCTTATGTCCCCACGTGAACTCTTCGACTGCGGCATACTCGTCTCTCCGGGAGCTCTGGGCCCCTGATCCGTGCTTCCTTGGCAGGATCTTCATGGGAAAGGGAGCCAGCTATGCAACGCACTGCTTCCGTACGTAGTGCGATCGGAGGATAGCTCGGGCGTCGGGAGCATTGATTTCGGTGCTACACGGTCAGTATGGCGCCTCCGATCGGTCATAGAAGGATAGACTAATATCAGCTCGTGGGATCGCCGAGATGCTCATGCCGCTCTCTGGATAGATGACCTGCAGTCACGATGGTGCAAGCTGTATATACAGACAGTCCAATGTATTCGAACGATGTCTGAGCGCCGACTGGCGACGAGAAGATAATATCGATGACGTCGCCGTTGAACACCTCCTGTACAGTACAAGCATGGATCCGGAGGCAGCATCTACTAATATACCCATATACGCATCATAGTACCGCCCTACATCGAAGGGAAACCCATCAGTACCGTCATCTATGTCGTACAAGACCTGCTTCATGTCCCCTAGCGAGTCAAGCCGAGTTACAGCGAGAACGCGCCAGACCCTCTGCGCTTCATTCTGCTGCTGCGTCGACCCCATGTCAGTGACGGGTATCTGACTAGCTCTGTGACACGAGAACTCACATGAACTGCTCTGGGGATGAGGCAGGATATACGCGTTCTTCTCGTCGTCATTCATCTTGGCCAATATGTCTCCCGCCACCTCTCCAGATCTGCCTTGCAGCAGCGATATCTCTACCAACCGAGCGGCCAGGCCGTGACGGCACAGCCGTTCGCGAACGCCAAGGGCCTCTGCGTCGTCCTCCTTCCAGAGGGCGGCGATCGCATCCAGCGCCACGATGACGAGCCGTCTAAAGACCCTAGCGGCGGCCAATAGAGTATGCCCTGACAGCTGGAGCAGAAGGCGGATGTGCTCGTGGGGATGGAGTCGGCAGGCTTCGCAATGTGAGTTGGGGTCCGGAACGTTCTCTATGTTGGTGAGCATCAAGAGGCGAACCAAACCCGCAGCGATACGGTCTTGACTGTCGGGGCTGTCTGCGTCGAAGCGGAAGTGCCGCACGATGTCCGTCTCCTCGTGGAGTTGTTGCTCGCTCAATGCGCAGAAAGTGACGATACTTCCCAACGCACCCCACGCATGGCGCCGCGCGGTCAGCAGACGTTCCTTCGGCCTCTTCGTCGACAGCAGTGCGGAAAGGAACACCAACAGGCCGCCGAGCACGTCGTAGCCTATGCCGTCAGTACGAGCAGTATAGAAGGCTAATTGCCCGGAAACACGGATGAAATCAACGAGAACGTCTTCCGCCATCGGGTTCGTGAAGTGTCCATCGGTCCAGCCGGCTAGCGTCTCATGCACCGACGCATATTGCTGGCGGAACACCACAGCGAGTCCCTTTGCCCAAGAGTGCCCGTCCCGGTTCTCGGCAGAGAGCAGCGCAGACACTGCCCGTAACGCCTCTCTACACATCTGCATGCCAGCCTCCGTGGTGCATAGGGGGCCGCTTCTTAGCATTACGGTCAGCCCCTCTAGGCCTACGAAGTTCACGATGATGTCGGCGGTTTCCGGGTGCCGCCGGCTCTCTCTGTCCTGGAGTTCTCCCGTCGACTTCGGCATAGCTCGAGCAAAGACGTCGTTCAGAATCGCCAAGAACGATTCCCGTGTGTGGTCGTCTATGCTCCGTCCAGCGACGCCCGTGCCCATGTCTTCGGAGATGTGCCGGAGAGCGGAAACCAATGCCTCTCCCGCGGACTCGGCGTCGGGTTCTATGGCGAATGCGAGCTCGTGGGGATCCACAGAGAGGGATGAGCCTCCTCGATACGCTTGGGAGGCGAGCGTGATGATACGGCCACTCGCCCCATACATCCACCATCGAACCTCGCGCGAGAGAGAGTTACGCATCGCCTTTTCAGATGACGACTGGACAGGGAGATCTTCTGAGGTTTGAGGTGCTCGCTCGGGATCGGCCGTCGTTGCAAGGGCTCGAAGGACGCTGAAGACGCTGTGAAGGAGCTGACCAGCCCGAGATCCCTTCAGGATGGCAGGCCTGGGCGTATGGAATATTGAGAGGTAGACGGCAATGCGCGTCATCGAAATGGCGGCCGTCACTCCGTGTGCCCCCAGTTTCTGGATGCGGTCAAACGTGAGCAGCTGGGCAAACTGGAGAGATTGGGTGGGCACCGCGTGGTTGGGGAGGAGCAGACCGGCTACGAGGTCCACGTCCTTTTTCCGCTTCGGAGGAACACACCAGAGAATACCCTCCAGCGCGGCTAACGCAGCGCAAAAGACATCGGGGTCCGTGCCAGAACGAGACGTGACGAGAGAGGCGAGATGTCCTGCAAAAGGGCTGACTTCACGGAGCCTAGGTATGCGAGGCTTGACGATCGCCCGGAGCCGAGGGCGTGGTTCGACGGTAGTTCCTAGTGATCGTTCAAGAACGCAGACCGCCCAGGACATTTGGAAACGAGCCGAGTCAGGAATCGATGGTTGTGGTAAGAGCGTTGATATATACTTCAGCCAATAACGCGCATCTCCTATGAAGGGGATCGCAAAGCCACTGCGGTCTGGGTACGATGCGTCGTGAAGGGCAAGATAGATCACCGTGTTGACCGCGTGTGTGATATGGCGGAAGTCATCAGAAGACGGCTGGAGCTGGGTGATATGTTGGAGGAACCGCTCGACCAGGGATTTGTAGGACACGGACGCGGACGGTTGCGCGAGCGGGATCCGCACGGATAGCCTTAATGCCGACGCTACTAAAGGAAAGGGTAGGTTGTCAGCATCGCCGAGCAGTGCAAGTACGGTAGGAAACGTGGAAGGGGAGAGGGGAGAGGCCGTGGGGTTCGTGGTGGGCCGAATCATGAGGAAAGGCGTCTTCACTTCGCTGACCACGTCCTCGGGATCCAAGGCAGCCTTGTACTCGGGACCGGTCACCCCGACTTCAGATTCGAGAACAGAGAGAGCACGTATAGCAGATGTGATAGCCTCCCGGCGCTCTTCACCTGCTAGGCCCGAGGACTTGAAGCCGTCCTGCATCCAATTCCGGAGGAGTCGTTCTAGGTATGCGAAGACGCCCTTGTGGATGAACAGCCGTCGGTGAAGCACCAGATAAGGGAAATGCACTATCGCGCGGCTGAGTTTCTCGGCATCGTGAAAGCGATCCGCGTTGCGCATGAGCCAGAGGAGAATGCGAGAGTCCATAAAGGTCTTGTTGGCTTCGATGAACTTCTCGTCCTGATGTCGAAGGGAAGTGATGCGTAGCGATTCGTAGTGTCGGGACTCTGATGCGATGACTGTGCCGGTTCTGTGTAGTGGAGCGGCGCCGTCTTCTATAGAGGTACCGCGACGGCGGCGGTTCCAAGGTCTCCACTTGTGCAGCACGTAGCGCCAGTACGTAAGAAGATGTCTTCCCAGCGTAACAACTGCAAGGCGGGCGGTAGCGTAGGCGACGATCAGGTAGTCAATGGATAGAGCGAGGAGGACCGTGACGGAAGTCTTGAAAGGGCAGTCTGGGTAGACGTACGCGAGAAGGTTCGCGAGAAAGTACACAAAGGCTGTGATGCAGACGAGGACAGCAGAGATGATGGCAACAGTGTCGTTCAGGCCCCAGATGAAATCGACGAGGCCGGTGAAGAACAGGAGTAGTGAGATGTGAAGTAGGACCGGTAGGAAGGAGAGGACCGCGGGCAGGTTCCACCGGCGCATGCCGTCCATGCGGTATTGGCGATGTCGGGCTCGAGAGGACGGAACAGGAGATAGACCAGCAAGCAAGTAGTTGACCCACTGCTTTGCTAAGATAGCGATGAGTGCTGTTGACAGACTCAGAATGAGGCTTGTGAACCAGTAGACGTTCACCCGCACGGCGGAGGCGGCGACTTTGAACTGCTGCACCAGTGTGCTAGGAGCCGTGGCGGGATCGCGGGTCATCATCAGCTCGACTAGAATCGCTTGAAGCAGCACGGATGTTGGATCTGGTTGCAGATTTCGGTAGGACTCGATAATGAAGGTGGTTAATGCTGACGAGAATAGAGCCGCCTGCATCCACCGCTCAGTGAGCTAACGCCAGGTTAGAACGTGCGAACGATTAGACGCACGAATATGAGAATCGAATCGAGGTCTGTGTTCCAAGCTTGTACTGTTTCCTTATCTTCGGCCCCGGTGCGTAGAACATACAATGGCCAAATTTCCGACATCATGCTCGCACCTAGGGTTTCCTATGCACAGGTCTCGTCAGATATGTATCATTCTGTACGTCTAGTTTCTCTTACCTCGCCGTCAACTTCAACGGTGGTAGCATCCTTGGGGTAGGGTTGCGTCGAGACCTAAATCACGATTCAAGATTATTCAGTCGTCGCTGCAGCTATTCAATCACTTCGATTAATTGACCTTTTCTTGATCCCTCAACGGGACACCGTTCGATTCGATTGGTTTGACGGAGCCCAATATAGCGGGCTCTGGGTGAATCGTCGGACTTGGTTTCTTGCGACCCCTCGGTCGACTCCGGGAGGTCTTGCGCTTTGGGTCGAAAGATTCAAAGTCGGTTCCGGCACCGTTGTGCAGGCCGTCATGAGCCATCCGTGCCGTCTTATATCCCCCGTGGCCATCGAGCTTTCTGGGGAAGATGGAGGACTGAAGGAGATTTAGTGGTGGCGATCGTGTAAATTCATCCGAGTCGGTTGGCGAAGTCGCAGACGGAGAAGATGCCACGAGACTTCGCACGTCTACCATGGCCCAGTTCACAGCTCTGGAAGGGGCAGAAACCTGGTAGCCTTGCGCATCCAGCCTCTCGATCGGCGCCCACCGCCCGTAGTCACCACCATCCAGACTGGGACTCCGACTACTCCGACTCCGAGACGATCGTTGAGGAAGAGAGTCGCCCAGATCTCCTATGTCTTCAACATCAATGTACGCGTCACCTGGAGGTGCTTCATCGCTCGACTTCGACTCAGACTCTGAGTGGTGATCGTCATCCGTTAACGTCTGAGATGGGCTTGAGAGAACGAAATCGGTCTAAAGCGAATCGGTATTGGTAATGTCAGGAATGAACGGACACAGCACCTTAGAGAGAAAATGTTTGCGCACTCACCATCTTGCTGCACAGAATCGAGGGGAGGTGGTGGATCGACAGCGATCGACAGGAGCTCGGAGGCTTGCGAGTCAATGTCGTCCTCTGAGCTTACTCCGAGTTCTTCTAGACGCCATCATCGCCCCCTGGCGCGTCCTTGGACACGTGTGGCTCATGTTTCCAATCTCGTTCGTGACAGCGCTGACCACATGTTGGCAGCAAGAAGGGAACAAAATACGTATACCTCTTAAGCGCCTACACTCACTCGGCGTGGTTCCCAGGCGCCTCCCTCGCGCGCTCTTCTCCGGCGCCCACTTGGCACTCAAGTTGCTCCGCCTCGAATCCGATTTTAATTCGGCTTCTACATGTAACTCTGAACGAGTGAGTGACTTGAGAATAACGCTGTTGTTGACACTGACCACTGTGTTCAGCAAGGTCTGTTGCATGTCTATGCGCGTGACCTCCGCCCAGAGCTTCCCCGCGAGGCAGCCTGGACGGGCCCCAGCAACGGCTTCCCGAACTAATACATGCGGATCGCATACCGGAACGCCGCCGTATCCGCCTGCCGTATCCTCCTGGGCAGCGCGAATGCCCCGAGGTGGAACACGAACCGGCGCGGCGCGTTTCAGGACATCGCCGCGAAGGCGGACGACGTCGTGATTTACGAGACCGGGTTCGCACACATGCAGGGCACGAGAGTACAAAGACCTATCGTCGCGAGCATCATCGCGCTTCTGAACGACCGCCTCGCGACTGTGTGGCGGCCGCAAATGGAGTTCTCGAGCCCGTGGCTGTACATGGAGGGGTGGCAGACGTTCACGGATGTTACAACGGACGGGAGCTCCGTGCAGTGTTCGCGGGCCGTGCCGTTGCACCAGACTAACGCTACGGAAGGGCGAAACCCGGTACGTCTTCTTGGCAGAATTTGTTGTCGCAACGTAGTACTGAACTGTTTTCGTACATCACCGGGATGGGACGCCTCAGTTGGACAAATTACTCGCGCTCCTGGACCTGTGAATAAGACTCGTCAAGCTTGGAATATGTTTGCGACTGGCTTTCATGACTACTCTCGGACCGGAGGTTGGGCTCTTGCATGCGGACTTTCCAATGATGGACTACCATCGCTGACCTCATGCTGAACTGGTGATACAATGCAATTGTGGTACACAACTTAGCGTACACAAGCTGCGCGTACCTGCTCCGGGCCTTCTAGTCTAACGCACGTCTACAGCCACCCACGCGCCTTGAAGTCCTCGATCGTGTCCTTCGTCGTATCGGCTACCGTGCGGAACTTGATGCCGAGCACCGTCTTCGCCCTGGTGTTGTCATACGTCGTCGGGAACTTCACCTTTGACGGGTCGTAGGAGGTGTTGCCCGCCGACAGTGTGGGCTCAATCTTGTGGGCGACGGACACTGTTGGAGCAAGGTCAGTCCTGTTCGTCCAGGCTTCCTCAGGGTGGCATAACGCACCGAAGTCTTGGAACCTGAACCCGCCTGAGCTGACGATGAACCGGTTGCCAGCAGCCTCAGGCTTCAAGAGCGCCTCGACGTGCGCCTGCGCGATGTCCCGTACGTCCACCCACGATCCGCTGGAGCAAACCCGTCAGTCCCGCCGTCCCCCTGCAAATCGCGAAACAATTAGCACATACCCGTTGTTCGCAAGCGCCTCGTTGTCGAGCGTGCCCTTCACCACCGCAAAGTACCAGGTGTGCGCAGACGTGTTCAGATCCTCCGGCTTCGCCACCTCGTGCAAGAACGGCCCGAACACAAACGGCGGGTTCAGCGTGACCAGGTCCCACTGCAACCCCTTCTCCTTCGCGACAAAGTCCCACGCCGCGCGCTCCGCGAGGGTCTTGCTCGCGCGGTACTTCACGCCGCCCTCCGCGGCCGCGCCCTTCTCGCGCGTCGTCACCACGTCCTCCTCGTTCCAGCTCGACTCGTCGAGCACGAGCGTCTCCGCCGGGTTCGGGTTTGTACGAACGACCGCGGCCGTCGAAGAGAGGACGATCACGCGACGCAGCTTCGGAGCGTGTGCGTGCGCAGAGCGCAGGACGCTGAGCGTGCCCTGCAAGGCGGGGACGATGAGCTCGTCAGGCTCGACGGCCTTCAGGTGGAAGGGCGAGGCGGTGTGCGCGATCGCGTCGACGTCGCCGACGTGCGCGTCGAATGCGCCTGCCTGTGGGGCGCGTCAATATTCACGCGGACCGAGGGGAGATGAGGAAAGGGGCAGACCTTGGTGATGTCATCGACGATGACCACCTCGAACTTGTCGCCCGCGGAGGCAAAGAGCGTGCGGAGGTGGCCTGCCTTGCGCTCAGAGCGGACCGTGCCGCGTACGGAGAAGCCGGCGTCGAGGAGGGACTTTACGACCCAGACGGCGATGTAGCCGTTCGCGCCGGTGACGAGGACCTTGCCAGATGTTACAGCGGGCATGTTGGTTTCAGTGGGTGTGTGAGCGAGTTGATGCGGTGTGGAGGATGTCGAATCGTAGGAGAGGAGGATGGGAGTTGTTCGGACCGCTGCGAACGTTGCTCCCCACCTTATATACTGTCCGAACGGCAAATGCGCCCATGGCCGAGTTTGTCAGCCGTTCTTCTTACTGCTTCACGTTAACTGCTATCCGCTGCAGCGCTGCTGAATAATGACTTGAATGTATACGCCGTCGGGGGATCCTTACATGTCAAGTGAAAGGATCGCCGAGGTGCGAGCAGTGATATCACACCAAGGCGCGATCCTTGCACAAATACTCGTCCCGGGCCCGTTCAACGTGTGAAGCAGGCGCGATCGGTTTGCTTTTGGGATCGGATTGAGGCGCTGCATTCGGCTTTCAAAAACAAACGGTCTCTCAGCTAGCAGGCAAATCCTGCAGAAGTACTTATCTGATCGGCGAAGTCTTCTAGGGCCTTCCTCCGGGATCCTTCTTCGCGAGCATCGTATCTCAGGCGGAGGGGTGCGTGCGAATGGGCATGAGATGCCGAGCGGGTAGAGTACCTAAAGTTGTGCGAGTTGTGAATACTTGACTTATACTTTGCGCAGGCGTGCACATGGTTGTCGTCATCCCACGTCGCTCACACATACGGACCTGAACCTGGCGGGGCAAGCAGGTGATTCTCGACGCGATAAACATGAAATGCTATCGGGCGTGAGTACATCAAGCCAATTTGGAGTGTGCTCGCATACCTTCCAGCAAAATGGACATGGACGTCAGGACATCTACAGCAGGCTCGACGCTCGGCGTCTTGTTGAAGGTTCCGACCGGCGATATGTCATGATGTACTCGACTTCATGAAGCAAAAGGTGAGCGTCAGGCGCTACCAGGGCTCGAACCTGGGTTTTGGGAACTCACGAAGTCAGAATCCCAAGTGATAACCGCTACACTATAGCGCCATATTCATTTTGCCCCTGCAGAACATTCCAATGGCGTAAACCTCATTGGCTCAGTTTCGGACCGAGCCGATGTCAACAACTTCATGCTCTCGACTCTCGAGTCTCTTGACTATTGCATAGGGCTGCTCAATTTTGGCCGGACGTAGTCGCTGGACTGAAGCTAGATTAGCCCAAAATTCCTGCGAACGGTGTAAACCCATCCAACCCATCGCCCAAAGTGCTGCCATGAGCAGAGGAGGTTTAGGGATGAGTTCCAACAATTACTGGATCTGGGAGATGCGTACGTCGAACGACCGGGACGATTCGACGTTCTGCACCTCCTCGGGTATTTCCGCTTTGTTCCTTCAATGCACACATCCTCTGGAGCGACTCCGTCCGGCTAGAATTGAGCAGCTCTCATGACCCTTAGTCGAATGCGAATCCAGACACGCAGCGTTCCTGCAGGCCTGGGGGCCTGGTCTGACAAGATCTGGACATAATCAGTATGTCATTTCCTTCGCAGCTCGAAGCGCTGCAACTTGCCCGACGGAACTCACGGAGAGCATTGTGTCCAAGACGCCTCCCCGGCGTCCCAGGTTGCGGTGTCCCGCTCAACTCGGAGCCGGCGGCGTCCATCCAGACCTATCCAGACTCCACGGAGCGGGTTGCGCATTGCCGGAGCGCCTGGCGCGACCAAGGCGTTTCAGACCCGTACGTCTGGCATGAAAACGTCCGACGTGGTCTGCATCGATTGCATGGAGCTCACCTGCGTGCATATGGCGAAGCGCGAAATGATAACGGCGTGTCCGCGAAGTGCGCCTCAAGGGCCGCGCTTGCTGTTCTAGACAGGGCAGGCACGCCGCGGCAGCGAATGCTGTCGTAAAAGAATAGGCGAGAGAACGTCGGCATTGTGGCATGGCCCGACATGCGTTTTCCACGCGAGCGGAGAGGTGGATGGATGATCGCGAGATATCGATGCCCTCCAGAGACCGATGCGCGCTAGCGTGTGCAAAGCTCGGAAATGGGTCGACCGTCCAGGGGTGAAACGTCGATAGCGTGCGCATGCGCGCCATTCTTGTTGCGATGGAACAAGGCGGGTACCTGCGACTGCATAGCACAGATGGTCGTATGGTTGAGGACGCCACTTCATGTCATGCTTCCACATCCATTTCTGGACCTCAAAAACGAAATTCTACATACCAAAGGACCCCATTTGAGCTCAAATCCCGACGTACAGAAAATTCTGGGCGTCTAACCCTAACCCTAGAAAAAGCGCCAAATCGGCCGGGGGTCAACGACAATTTAAGCGCTCGATAGGGCGGTTGAGAGGCTTGAGAGAGCTGAGAAGGGGGACTACAAGTTTAAGCCGGCTTTGAAGTGACCGTCGGCCATGGGGGTGCCTCATAATCCGACAGGAAAGACAAGGAAAGTTGCCTACAGTGACTGAGTGCAACAGCGGAGCTTGAACTCGCCAATTAGACGCCTAAGATGCCATATATGGGTATGGCTTAGTCAGCAGGGTGCGCCAAATCGAGGACCTACGACATAAATTTTGGAATTTCGGGGAAACAGCCCGACAGGATTGTTAGCATGTCCTTTCTGATCGTTTCTGCACATAGAACAAACCCTACAAGTGTTGTGTGAAGGAGCCTTAGCAGGATTACAAATGAGCACGGGCGCTCGTCACAAAGAGGCGTCCTCAACCATACGAGCACAGAAGGCAGGGCCAATAGAAACAGATTATAGCACTCGTGCGAAAGTTGGGGGCTACTATTGGGATGTGCCTAAAACGGGCGGTTAGCATCCCCCCATCTACGATTTTTGCGAAAGTGAGGCGACCTCCGACGACGCCGCCTAACCTTCGATTTAAATACGCACTGGGCCGACCACCACTAACCGCCCTCGCCCTTCTCCTTCCTTCCCCCATCTCCCCTCCCTAGACGTCCCCGCTCGCCCAAAATGTCCTCGAAAGGTATGCAGCTACCCATCTCTGCGCATTAGATGCGCATGTTCACAAAGTGCTGCAGCCATCCGCGAATACGACGCGAAACTTCTGCTCGCGTACTGGCTCGAGCGCGCACCTCCCGTCGACCTCTCCGCGACCGTCAAGACGAAGCTCGTCTACCCCTCGCCCAAGGTCGCCCAGGTCTCATGGGACCCCGCAACAAACACGATCACGCCCGACACCCAGCTCCCCGGTTGGGTCTTCAACACGAAGCTCGTAGCGAAGCCTGATCAGTTGATCAAGCGCCGTGGCAAGGCCGGTCTCCTTGCGCTCAACAAGACCTGGGACGAGGCGAAGCCGTGGATTCAGCAGCGCGCGGGCAAGCCCCAGAAGGTGAGTACAGCTTCGCGTTTCCCAGTCCGTGCCCCCATCAAGTCGAGTTGTGGCCCCTGGCATGTCAAATGCTCAGACGCGTTTCATTGGGGATGCTGCGTCTGCCCCAGATCGCCATCGTACACCACAAAATCCACCTCATTAACCTCATGCATCACGGCGCGTCCGCGACGCGCCTTAGGGGTGAGGTCGCTTAGCACGCGTCGGTCCCCCACGTGATAACTCTATTGGATCTTGCCGATCTACACATCCAACAAATTCCCGCTACCGAGAGGTTGTGGGTTTTTTTTTTTCATCTCGCTCTCCCGTGAGAATCGGTCCTGTTCTTCATATCCCTCGTGACACCGGGTCCTATGGCTTTCACCTCGGCCTTGAGGTCTTGTTCTGCGTACTCGCGACTCAGCCGGCCATAGGGGCAGCTGGCTAGTCCATCATGCATTCTCCCCGTATCCGAAGCCACGGCGATAGAAGTCACCGCGCTGGAGGATGTTCGGTCGAGCGTCCAAGTGTCTGCGGCGCTCCGGGTGGTTCTACTGCTTTCCCCGGGCTTTGCGCAATTTTGGCAGCTCGGTCGCGGGCAATCCTGCTAGCTGGCGTTACAGAATCATTGACTCTGCGTGCTCATCCTACTCCGTTATAGGTCGAGTCCGTGACCGGCACGTTGAACAACTTCATCGTCGAGCCCTTCCTCCCTCATCCTTCCGATGCCGAATACTACGTTTGCATCAACTCCGCGCGCGAGGGCGACTACATCCTCTTCACACACGAGGGCGGTGTCGACATCGGCGACGTCGACGCGAAGGCGCTCAAGCTCAGTCTCCCCGTAAATGAGCCCTTCCCCTCGAGACAAACCATCGCGGAGACCCTCCTCCCTCACGTACCCGCGGCGAAGAAGGAGACGCTCGTCGACTTCCTCACCCGCCTCTACTCGGTATACGTCGACCTGCACTTCGCGTACCTCGAGATCAACCCCCTCGTTGTGCTCGATGGCGTTAACGGCGCGGAGCCCACGATCCAGTACCTCGACATGGCTGCGAAGCTCGACCAGACTGCGGAGTCTATTTGCGGCCCGAAGTGGGCGATCGCCCGTGACCTTTCTATCTACGAGTCGGGTGCCCAGGCGACGACGACCAAGGGCAAGGTCATCGGCGCAGACCGTGGACCCCCGATGGTAAGTATAGCGTCGCTCTTGTTGTACACATCTTCTCACCGTATATTTCTAGGTCTGGCCCGCACCCTTCGGTCGTGACCTCACGAAGGAAGAGGCGTACATCCAGAAACTCGATGCGTCGACCGGTGCCTCGCTGAAGCTGACTGTGCTCAACGCCGAGGGCCGCATCTGGACGATGGTCGCCGGTGGTGGTGCCTCCGTCGTCTACTCCGACGCGATTGCCGCTCACGGCTTCGCGGACGAGCTCGCCAACTACGGCGAATACTCCGGTGCTCCTTCCGAGGGCCAGACGTACGAGTACGCGAAGACCATCGGTGAGTGCCATATCCCGGGATACATTGTTCGATGCTAAGACCTGCTTCCAGTTGACTTGATGACCCGCGGCACGCCGCGCGCTGAGGGCAAGATCCTCATCATCGGTGGTGGTATTGCGAACTTCACGAACGTCGCGGCGACCTTCAAGGGTATCATCCGCGCGCTCAAGGAGTACAAGGCGCCTCTCATCAACCACAAGGTCAAGATCTACATTCGTCGTGGCGGCCCCAACTACCAGGAGGGTCTCAAGGCGATGCGCCTGCTCGGCGAGTCTCTCGGTGTCCCCATCAAGGTCTACGGCCCCGACACCCACATCACTGCGATCGTCCCCCTCGCGCTCGGTGTGACCGGCAAGCCCAAAAACCCCCTCCACTCCGTTGCCGCGACCCCCGCACCTTCTTCGCCCAAGAGCCCCGCTGCTGGTGGCGACCTCGAGCCTGAACACACTGTCGGGACCATCCACCCCGACGGCGAGCGTACGCAACCGCAGGACCAGATTGTATCCTTCGACACCAAGACGGGTGCAGCACACTCGCGTCCGTGGTTCCGCCCCTTCGACGCGAAGACGCGCTCGTTCGTGTACGGCCTGCAGCCCCGCGCCATCCAGGGCATGCTCGATTTCGACTACTCGTGCGGGCGTGAGACGCCCAGCGTGGCAGCGATGATCTACCCCTTCGGCGGCCACCACATCCAGAAGTTCTACTGGGGGACGAAGGAGACGCTGCTGCCCGTGTACACGAGCGTCGCGGACGCGGTGAAGAAGCACCCCGAGGTCGACGTTGTCGTGAACTTCGCGAGTTCCCGCAGTGTGTACTCGAGCACGCTCGAGATCTTCGAGTTTGCGCAGATCAAGAGCGTTGCGCTGATTGCGGAGGGTGTCCCCGAGCGTCACGCCAGGGAGATCCTGCACATCGCAAAGAAGAAGGGCATCCTTGTCATCGGCCCTGCGACTGTTGGTGGCATCAAGCCCGGCTGCTTCCGTATCGGTAACTCTGGCGGGTGAGTGTTTGCGTTTCACACTTGTGTGTTTTCTGAACTCTAATGGTGCATCGCAGTATGATGGACAACATCATCGCTTCCAAGCTCTACCGCTCCGGCTCGGTTGGCTACGTCTCCAAGTCCGGCGGTATGTCGAACGAGCTTAACAACATCCTCTCCCTCACCACCAACGGTACCTACGAGGGTATCGCCATCGGCGGTGACCGCTACCCCGGCTCGACGTTCATCGACCACCTCCTGCGTTACGAGGCGGACCCCGAGTGCAAGCTCCTCGTCCTCCTCGGCGAGGTCGGCGGTATCGAGGAGTACCGCGTGATCGAGGCAGTCAAGAAGGGCATAATCAAGAAGCCTATCATCGCGTGGTCTATCGGGACGTGCGCGAAGATGTTCACGACGGAGGTGCAATTCGGGCACGCTGGCTCGATGGCCAACTCGGACATGGAGACCGCAGACGCGAAGAACAACGCGATGCGCGCTGCCGGCTTCATCGTGCCCGACACGTTCGAGGACCTGCCCGAGGTGCTCACGCAGACATACGAGCGCCTCGTCGCCACGGGTGTCATCAAGCCCCAGACGGACCGCGAGCCCCCCGTCATCCCCATGGACTACAAGTGGGCGCAGGAGCTCGGGCTTATCCGCAAGCCTGCCGCGTTCATCTCGACGATCTCCGACGAGCGTGGGCAGGAGCTGCTGTACGCCGGGATGCGTATCTCGGACGTGTTCAAGGAGGACATCGGTGTCGGTGGTGTCGTCAGCTTGCTGTGGTTCAAGCGCCGCCTCCCGCCGTGGGCGACCAAGTTCATCGAGATGGTGCTCATGCTCACTGCTGACCACGGTCCCGCCGTGTCTGGGTAAGCCATCAGTGAGCATTGATACGTTTGGCAGACGAGCTGACTCGAGCTTATAGTGCCATGAACACGATCGTCGCGACCCGTGCGGGCAAGGACCTCATCTCCTCGCTTGCGTCCGGTCTCCTCACGATCGGCTCCCGCTTCGGTGGTGCCCTCGACGAGGCCGCGAGCATGTTCTCCAACGCGCGCGACACCGGTCTCACCCCCCGCGAGTTCGTCGACACCTGCAGGAAGCAGAACAAGCTCAGTGCGTACCCCTCTCCTGTGCCACGTCTGAGTATGCACTGACCACTCCGCCCACAGTCAGCGGTATCGGCCACAAGATCAAGAGCGTGAACAACCCGGATCTGCGCGTTGAGCTCGTGAAGGAATACGTGCGCAAGAACTTCCCGAGTCACAGCCTGCTCGACTACGCGCTCGCGGTCGAGAAGGTCACGACGTCGAAGAAGGACACGCTCATCCTGAACGTCGACGGCTGCATCGCTGTCTGCTTCGTCGACCTGCTCCGCGACAGTGGCGCGTTCACGTCGGACGAGGCCGACGAGTACATCAAGGTCAGTGGTCTTTTATTATCGCGTTGCGATCGCGTGTGCTTATTGTCTGTGCAGATTGGTACGCTCAACGGTCTGTTCGTCCTCGGTCGCAGCATCGGCTTCATCGGCCACCACCTCGACCAGAAGCGCCTCCGCGCGCCCCTGTATCGCCACCCCGCAGACGACATCTTCATCCAGATGGCGGACGTTTCGCAGCCGCGCGTGCTCGGCAAGATGGCGTAGGCGGCTGTGCACGCTCTGTGGGAGGGAATGAATGTACTGCTGCGGTGTGTTTTGCTTTCGAACGTCAGATACGACTCTCTGCACGATCATCACGCGTTTTCGATGTACCTATCTACCATGTGAACTATAATGACATACATAGATTTTGCTTCGCGTCGTATCTCTGCACGTCCGGTCTCGCACACCTCGTTAGCTATTAAACGCCCGGGACACTTTAGGGCGCAGCTAGCGTCAACTGCAACTCGGCTGTGCATTCCTGGTGCGCCCACGCTGTTCTTTCGCCTATACGTCGGCTGATCACACCGTTCAGAATCCAGATCATGCCCATAGAACCGCGCCCCAAGAACCGTGCCCCACACGTGCCTTCAAACGCCGGAAGTGTTATCCATAGGAGATCGAGGCACTGCTCACGCTCGGTATACTAGGAACCACCACCTAGACTCCCTACGGCCAATTTTGAGAATGGTGCGTGCAATCGTGATTCGTATGAAAAGTAAAGCTCATCCATTGGATCTCCTGCTGCTATGCAGACTTCACTCGCCCCCCAGCCGGGAGCCCAGCTGAAGGACCGCGACGACGACAAGACGACGAGCAAAGGTGGACATCGGGGTGCCCACCTTCGCATGGGAAGCGACGCTACGCAAAAGCCTGCAGCACCCACCATAAGCCGCACTGCTACTGGCGGGGACGCTAGCGGGGCATCTATTGGTGATAAAGCTGAGCGCTCGCCTCAACTTGGGCGAGGGCAAAAGGTACGTCCATGCCTCGGGGCAGTAGCAGCTCCGCACTGATTGCGATATAGCCTCCGGCGTCTGAAGCAAAGCCTTTGGATGAGGTTGAGAACGAGGTCAAGGACAAGGTAGGTATAATCATGCAAGTGCTTCGCGTTCCATCTGAAGCAACATGTTATATAGGCACTACTGAGTGCGAACGCGATGTCGATGATGTGGCCGTTGTACCTAGAGCATGCCCCGGCAGAAGACAGGGAGACAATCAAGGCGTGGAATGCCGATCTCGATGCGATCCTCATATTTGTACGTTTCGTCTATTCTGTGCTGTCTCAACTCGATCGTGCTGAGAGTCGATTGGGCAGGCGGCCCTGTTCTCAGCTGTATTGACGACATTCATCATCGAGTCGTACCAAAGTCTGCAATCGGATCCAGTGCTCGAATCACTCCAAGCCATCCTATACGAAGTGCAGGTGTCTCGTAACGCTTCCACTACGAGCAGCCCGATGCCCGTCATGCAACCCTTCCAGGTTGCTTCATCTGCCGTTCGAGTCAACATCTATTGGTTCTCCAGCCTCATTCTGAGCCTGGCCACCGCGCTCATCACAATCCTGGCTAAACAGTGGATCAACTATCTCCTTGCCGGCCTTTCGCAGGCCATCCCAGCCAACCGAGCGCGTCATCGCCAGTACCGCATGGACGGTGTTCATCGATGGAAGCTGCCCGCAATACTCTCCATCTTGCCCATCCTCCTCCACGTTGCGCTACTCCTATTCTTTGCTGGACTCGTCGACTTCGTCTGGGACATCAACAGATTTGTGGCGCTCATCTCCGCCATCCTCATCTGTATCACGGCTATCGTCTACGTGGTAGCAAACGCCTTGGCCTACGTCTACCCCGACTGCCCTTTCAAGACATCCGCCACGGTCTTCTTCGCATTGGTTATGGATCGCTGGGTCGCGGCCTGGGGGAAGATACGTGCTATATTTGGCGGGATAGCGCGGACGCTTCACCACCTCTGGGATCGAGTGGTACATACCTGCTCAGGTTTGTGCGGGCGTCGGCGTCAAAGCTCCTCTGTCGAAGACGGAGACTTCGAACTCCACACCCCTGGCGCCATCGCTGTGTCGGAGTCCCGAAAATACGATCTGTTGCGCATCTCGTCCCTTCGAAGTCACGACGAGAAAGTCATCAAGGAGAGAGAATCGTCGTTGGATGCGCGCATCCTTCTTTGGTTGTTGCGCAATTCGGACCGGATGCACGAAACGGAGGAGCTCAACTACGCTGTTCGGCGGTTCCCACACCTGATTCTACATCGGCGGCTGTTTGTTAAACAGGGCGCGATCACCTCCATAGAACAATTCCTTCAGTCCTGGATGTCCGCCGTGCCCTCCTTTCAGGCGCTGTCTGAGCCCCATAAAGAAGCGGCGGCCCAAGCCATCTATATTCTCGCAGTTCTGCATTCAGAGACTACCCTGGACAGCCCTGAGAATGAGGAGGAAGACCCGACAATGCCTACGAGCAACATGCCGACGGTACAGCCGTTCCTCATGGTGCCACCAACAGTTAGCCCTATGCCCTCTCTCCTCTCTCCGTCTACATATCCTATCGTCGTCTCACTTCTCAAGGACTACCAACGCCTTCCTTTCTCGCTGCTGGCATCGGTATTACGACTCTGTGTGTGTATTCCAGAAAGCGGAACATGTCGTGCGCCGTGGTCGGAGGATTTCCCCGCCGAAGACGTTGTCCGTCACCTCTTTCGCCTCACCCTGAAGCCAACCGTACGTTCGTCATCACGTACCATGGATCCCGACAGTGAAAGGCGTCAGGACCACGAAGACCACATGTACGCAATCAAGACGATCATCTACCTAGCACTCCACGACGTCTGGTATCCTAAACGCCACGGCTTTATGCTCCCAGTCCTCTACAGCCCCTACGCTTGGCTCGGACACATGACGCTGATGATGAGGCCAGAAACACGTGTCTCCCGCGCTGCTCGTCACCAGTTGTGCTGGGCCATCTGCGCTATCGCACCAGCCTTCCGATCCCTTCGACCTGGTGAGGCTATCGTGGAGCCCCGCGTACCAGAAGAACTCAGCACCATATGGCCCTTCGCGACTCGCCTCACCGCCTTGCTCTCGTTGGATACAGACCCGACCGTCCTCTCGCTTGCTCTAGGCGCGTTGGAAACATTAATCCGGCCAACAAAAAATGGACTCGGGAAGGACAACGACTCGAAAGCGGTACTGCATTTGCTGTCCAATGGTCCTACGATGGTCACCCTCGTCACTCAACTGGAGGAACGACTTTCACATGGCCCTGTGGAGCATTTGGGATCCCGGGTAGCAGGAGAACCTGACGCGCTCCCCGAGGGAGCGTTGAAACTTGAAGATCTTCGTATCAGAGCGGTGATACGTATCGCTCTCTACGTTTCGTTTTCCAGCTATGGGGCCAGTGAAAAACCCAGTGCCGCTCTCATTTGGAGGCTCTTGGGGGTTTTTCGCCATATCTTGGCATCTGGCCAGTACTGTGAACAAGCAGACTTCCCGCGCGCCTTTCTGGGAATTCCCTCATCTCCCCCCCTGTATTGGATCTACTCCCTTACCGGCTACGTTACCGCGCTTTTCCTCTCGTGGCCGGATCACTCTTCTGCCCTTCGCTTGGTGGACGACGAGGAGCTGCTGTCCATTGACGCAAGTGCCGACGGTGCAGCAAGATCGTTGTGCATGGCCCTCCAGAGCATCATTGACACAGCCTGGCTTGCGCCGCCTACGACTCCCCATGACTTGCCGCTCGAGGTGATGATGGTCATGGCCAGGGATGTGCCGATATGGAGGATAGGGCTCCCCCTTCTGGAACCATTCACCGCGATTTTGCAAGATATCTTGGCGCGGTGGATTCGGTCTATGAAGTCGTCGCTGATGCCGCCTACCAGCGATGACGACAGCAACAAAATCACCTCGGCGATTATCATACAACTCATCCAAAGAGGAGCTCTTCACCGACTTCTCGACATCTCGTATCAGGTGCGCAATGGCACGTTGTTACGCCTTGGGGTCCTAGAGCCTATGCTGCGAACAATATGCGCGGTGTTCCGAGCTCATGGTACCTATGTACTAGAGGAGGGGCTTGACGGGCTGCCGACTCTGCATCACAGGAGTGACCCTGGTCATCCGGCCCGCATGTTGGCTCTGGCGCTCTCTCAGTCGGACCACTATAGCGCAGACAAGCCACTCTTTCTTCTGCTCAAATCCGCCTCATCTGAGTGGAACCAGACGAAGTTTTCCGCTGAATCAAGTTTGCTCGTCGACCTCATTCGCATCGCTGGAAATGTCACAATGTATAGCCCTAAGCCGCCATACGCCAATGATGGCCCGCCGGGCGACATCCTAGTGTCCAGGTACTATCCGTATACCCCCTCAGTCCACGACCTGGTGTCATACCTTTCCCGACTGGTAAAATCGGCGGTCCCGATGTCGTCGTCCGTCCGTCGCCACGTCTGGGGCACACTGGGAAGCATCGTCACCCTGTACGCTTTACCCTTGCACACGCTGCTCGAAGACCCCGACCCTGGGCGGTTTTTCCGCTTCGATACCTTGGATGCGGACCACATTGCGACGGGACTCGTCCGCGCATCGATGCTGTGGGGCTTCTGGATCCGGCTCACCGAGATGCAGTTCGGGGGGCCGGACTTGCACCAGGCTCCCCGCCATCGCCTACTCGAGGCACACGAACGCGAGCAGGTGCTCAAACACCTACAATTGTCCTATAGAAGATGGGGAAATGACTATCAGCTACAACTGGTATACAAGGAGGTCACCGAGTTGGCTCTAGTGGTGATGTCCATGCTGTGGGCGAGCGAGGACGCAGAATCCGTGGCAGTCCGTAGCAATCTCCGACGGGAGGATCTCGCTCCTTGCTTTCTACCAGTGCTCTCGCTGGAGCACCTGCCGGCGTCGACGAGGACCTTAACCGAAGAGATTTTGGCTAGGCTACCACCGCCGGAGGACGTGCCACCCCCGGTCGATCAAAATGACGGGGACTCTACGAAGACTTTGGCCGGAGACCTCGCGGATGGAAATGCGGTCCCGGTGGGGAATTTGCCTAATGAGAGGTGAGTTTTTTCCTGGTATGGATCTGCCAGACCCCACTTACACTCGTCTTACCATGTGTAGCGAGCCACAAGGCTCCGTCCCTCCTGTAGAGCGCAGGGATAGTCTCAACAGTCAGTGCTCAAGGTACGTAATCTGCGGCAAACTCCAAGAAGAACTTACTAATTGTTTGATACAATGATACAATAGAGATCCCTACATGTCTGAGTTGCCTTTTTACGAGCGGACTGCTAGCCCCTCGTGAACGGCGGGCTTTTGAATAGAGATCGCCCGGCCCCCATGTAGCCTGCGCAGCGAGCGAGCGCCTGCTCACCGGCACTTGCCGAGGCGTTCAGTATCACACGCGAACGGTGATTTATGTATCTACCCGTTTGCCTCCGTTCCACGACGCTACTGTACGGGATAGCCGGAACTCAATCGCTTTCACTCCGGACGACTAGGTTCATCGGCTTTAACACATATGCAAGAGGGAATTTTAGACCCGGGATGATTGTGAAAGAATGTCGGATAGCATCCAACAAGAGCACATTTTCCGAAGTCGACATGTCACGTTTATCATCTATAGGGTCAGGAGTTCGAGCAGCTTGTCGAAGTCAAGAATCAAAATAGTCGACTTCTCTGCAGCGACGGGTATTCCTGCGATAGCAGATCCATTCGGTCCCATACCCCCGTAGAATTTATGTGATGCCCCGGCGCACTGCCTAAACGCTGCACCGACTTCCCTCCGTCGAGGCGTACATGTAACGTTCACCACGAACGCCTGGAACCAGTTGGAGCCCCCCCTTACACAGCCACGGGTTCGAGTACACCGATCGGAGTTTGGCGCTGGCGTAAGTGGGATTCTTGCCAAGCTCTTCCTCGCCACCCTCGCAATCACCGATCGGGAACCCGAGCGTCGAGAACTTATATGTCCTGGCGTCGACGTCGACTAGCATTCGCTGAAAGGTATGCGAGCGTACTCTACCACCCGATAGCAGTCTTGCATGTTTATCCTGGTGAAAATCACCCGGCGTGTACAACATGATCCAGGTCCAACGTTCAGGCCCTCTAGTGTGCTCGCACAAGCAGCTATGCCTCCTATTCGGTCATTTTCACCCATTCGCACGAGGTTCGCGAAGAAGGACCCAGCAGTCAGATGGAGGAAGGCTCTGGGAGGCTCGACAAGAGAAATACCCTGCAGCTGCAGAGCTGTGCAAATGTCAGCTGCTGGCTCAGCGCTCAACAGAGGGGTTGTTTTGAAAAGCTGAAGATAGCCCTCAACCCGCTCCTAGACGCAAACCGATCGCGCGTCGTTCGATCCTAACCCGCTGGAGAGCTGTGACGGACTACGGGAAGAGTGTGTGCGAGGATCGCGCCTCGGTTCGATATCACTATTCGCGCCCCGATCCCTTCGCTTCACATGCATTCCCCGACGGCGTATACATGCAGGTCCTTATTCAGCAGCACCAGTGCAGCGGATAGCAGTTAGTGCGAAGCTGGAGGGAGGACGTACTAGCCATTCCGGATGGTATATAAGGCGGGAGACGACCGTCGTACAGATCCGAACAACACCCATCCTCCCCTCTGAGCTATAACTCAGAACCCCCTGCACCACTCAACCAAACATCCAATATCACTGACATCAACATGCCCGCTGTAACATCTGGCAAGGTCCTCGTCACCGGAGTGAACGGCTTCGTCGCTGTCTGGGTCGCCAAGACGCTCCTCGACGCCGGCTTCTCCGTGCGCGGCACCGTCCGCTCGGAGAGCAAGGCGGGCCACCTCCGCACGCTCTTCGCCTCCGCGGGCGACAAGTTCGAGGTTGTCATCGTCGATGACATCACCAAGGTCCGCCCCTTTCCTCCTTCCCCCCGATCTACGAATATTGACATGCGCTACAGGAAGGCGCATTCGACGCGTACGTCGGTGACGTCGTCGCGATCGCGCACACTGCTTCGCCCTTCCACCTGAAGGCTGTCGAGCCCGACGAACTCATCGTCCCCGCCTTGCAGGGCACGCTCAGCGTCCTGCGCTCCGCGCGCGCGCACGCGCCCAACCTGCGCCGCGTGATCGTGCTGTCCTCGGTCGCCGCCGTCGTCCGCAAGAACCCGAACCCGGCGGAGACGCTCGTGCTCGACGAGGCGAGCTGGAATGAGGAGGACATCGTGACGGTGCGCGAGCAGGGCGCGGCCGCTCCTGCGGTCGCGAAGTACACCGCGAGCAAGACCCTTGCGGAGCGCGCGGCCTGGGACTTTGTCGAGAAGGAGAAGGCGGCGGGCGGGCTGGGCTGGGATCTGGTGACGCTGTGCCCGCCCTATGTGTTCGGGCCGGTCCTGCACGAGGTGGCGAAGCCGGAGCTCCTGAACACCTCTGCGCAGCTCTGGTACTTTGTGGTGGTGAAGAGCATGTTCGACAACGAGACGCTCGCGACCAACGGGTAGGTGCCCGGCATTTCACTCTGCGGGGGGCTCGTGTGGCTGACACGTTTGGGATAGGGGATCGTACGTGGACGTGCGGGACATCGCGCAGACGCATGTGCAGGCGCTTCTGAAGCCTGAGGCTGCTGGCAACCGTTTCCTGGTCAGCTCAAGAGAGTTCAAGTTCCAGGACTTCGGTGCGTCACGCTACCTGGAAGCGTTGAGAGCTTTGCAGACGTTGACCCTGTTGCATAGTGTCCGCCGCCCACAAGATCGAGCCTACGCTGCCCGCAGGCAACACCTCTTACGACCCGTCGCAGGCAAAGTTCGAAGTTGCGTACGACAACACCAGGGTGAAGACGGTGCTTGGCGTCAAGTTCCGCGCGATGGAAGAGACGACGAAGGACACGCTCGAGGACTTCAAGGTGCACGGGTGGCTGTAGATGTGTGTCAGAATAGAGGGCCTTAAGTAGGCACGCGCCCTTGCGCCAACGCATCCATGTACGCCAAGGGCATTGTAATACCAGTTCGATATCGAGTCCGTCATAGTGGTCCGTCATTTGAAAGTCGGCATCCACGAGTAGTAGACCAAATAGCGTCCAGTAGCGAATGTCCGGGTGTTCTACAAAACCGTCTTACTCAAGCCCAAGCTGCTTGAGAAGTCTTGTTCACAGATTCAAGAGCTCGAGCAACTTGTCAAACTGAGGCGTCCCAAAGCCGGTAACCTGTGCCTACCAATGAGTTCCACAGCACGACGACGTCTCTGCAAAAGATCACGCACCGGGTCCCACCCCTCCGTAGCGTTAATCTGGTGCACCGGTACCCCACCCGAGCACTGCACCGAGCTCCCGCCCGTCGTCACGTCCGTGAACGCCTGCCACCCCTCCTTGTACAGCCACGGGTTCAAGAAGCCCATCGGCGGCCGCCCCGCGCTCGCGAGGCGGTCGTTCAGCAGCGCGATGATGCTCGCGACGATCGGGCTCGACGCGCTTGTGCCCTGCAGGTGCGCGAACACAGTTTCGTAGATCACGATGTCGTCTGCCTTCGCGGCGATGTCGGGGAACGCGCGCCCGCTTGTGTTCCAGCGCGCGGCGTTTGTGCTGCCTGCGGAGGCGAGGTAGGCGGAGACGGCGGCGTCTTGGTAGGCGGGGCGCGGGTAGTAGTTGGAGAAGCCGCCGCTCGAGCCTGTCCAGGCTGCTTCGGGAGAGAAGCTCTGTGTCCCGCCCACGGAGGTCACGCTGCAGGAGAAGGGTCAAGCTTGTGTCATCGAGAAAGGGGACACAGATGTGTGCGTACAAGGGGCAGTCAGACGGGAACGTGGGCTCGAACTTGTCGGAACCGTCGGGCGCACAGTTAGGGCCGCTGTCGCCTGCGGCGAAGAGGACGGTCGTTCCGCGGGCACCGAGCTGCGCGTAGGCTTGGCAGACCTTGCTGTACACACCGGTCAGCGTCGATAACAGTGTTATTATCAACATACTCACTCGACCAGAGAGAAGGAAAGGTCGCTTTCCGAGAAGCCATAGCTAGTCGTGAGCACCTGCGGCGGCGTGTCCAGGCCGAGCAGAACATTCGCCTCGTCCAGGAAGCCATCCAAGTCTCCGTCCTGGTTGTCGAACCCGATGAAGTAGTACGTCACGTTGACGTCCGTAGCCAGTCCGACGGTGTACTGGATGTCGAGCTCCTAAGGATATGCATATAAGTGAGTCGAGAAGCAGGTATTGTGAGGTGCACACATACTCCTTCAGAGACGGAAGGGACGTCCTGATCGTTTGAACCGCCATCGATCCCAACCACGCTGAAGTTAGTCGCTGGGTCCATGTCGGGACGGTAGGTCTCAAGGAAGGTCTGCAGAAAATTAGAACAGAGATCAAGGGGTTACAGGTCGGAACGGACCTCGAGCCACGCATAGTGTGCGTTGTTTCCGAAGAATCCGGTAACACCGAGTTGTAGGTCCTTGTTAACGGCGGGGGTGAGCGGGATGTTATAGAGCGCTTGTAAACACGCCGGGACGGTGCCGTTGGAGCACGCGGACGCTACATCACGCAGAGCCAGTTTGGGAGACACAAAAGCAGTAGGTTCCCGCTTGGAGGGAGCCGCCGCAGACCGCGCAACGGGTACCGGGAACCTGAAAGTACTGCTTAGCCGATGTTATACTAGACTGATATTGCGACTTACGAGATGGTCGGGTGGACCAAGTCGACGTGCCCCTGCAGGGAGCCTGGAAGGGAGTATTCTAAGGTGCGGACGGTCTCCCCACCCGTTGCGGTGTGCTTGAAAAGAGTAAAGTTGGTGTTGAACAACTCGTTGGCTTTCGCCACTGGGATGTCGACACTGAGCCAGTCGCCTGCGGAGGAAATGGATGTAGCTGTGAGGCTGTTAGCCGCGAGCCATGCGTTGACAGTCGAAACAGTGTCGGGTTTGGGAGCGACGAAGCTCTCAACCTAAATACGGGTCAACTCCATACATAGTAGCATCGAACGAGGCCAGCATGATGATGCGCACCTCCTCTTTGGATAGGTACTGTCCATGTGATTCACTGTCGGGATCGCTGACACGGTAGAGCGCGTCAACCAGGCCATCCGGGTCGTTTTGGGCAAGGGCAAGGCGAAGGTTTAGCGTCGTTTGCGGCGAAGCCGGGCCAACCTCCGTAAAGCCGGAAGGAACAGCCGGACGCAGCTCATGAACGCGGAAAGTCGTCGCCGCGAGAGGGCTTGCGGTGGCGACCCCTGCAAGCACGAAGGCCAGGAGTGCAGACGCGGCGGACATGGCGGTAGCACGAGAGACAGGAGAAACTCTCGAGGGGTCAGCGCGGGGACGGTGCCGTTTTATGTTCTTCGGCCTAGCGATGCATTGCTTCCGCACATCAAGCGGGAAGCCCGCTGGGTATCACCTGTGCAAAGATCAAAGTTGAGATCAGAGGTTACGCTAGTGATAGGGCAGGATATCGGGCATATACGCACGTCGTGGAGGATTTCAGCGAAAGGAGCGCGGAGAGTGAATGCATGACTGCGCAGGTGTTCATAGCTCTCGATTCATTTCATTTCAGACTCATCTTCAGAGCGATCTGCGCGCAACTGCTTGTCTCATCTTTTCCGTGGGAGGTCGAAAGCAATGGCGAAAGCAAGGGCCATTGGCCCTACGTGGGAGTACTAGTAGTCCGGCCGGGCGAGATATATTTACCTCGTCACGCCGTTTACGTCGATCTAGGGCCAGAGCGAGTGGAAATTATGAAGTCAGGGTGCTTTACCGCATGGGTACCTATGGGTAGTGAATGGGAATCAGTCGAGTCTTGATCCCACCGGGATGTGTTACAGCATATCTGAGCGCCGGGATAGCCGGAGCGAGGGTCACCAACACGAACTGAAGGAAGAGGTCGAAGGCAGTATGTACGCGGTGTCCTACAGCTGCCACAGATATTCAGTGATAAATAAAGCAAGAAAGCAGATGTAGTACTGTGACTCACTGCAGCATTTGCGTATGAGTACGAACGTCGAGCCCACTCACTCGGGAGATTCCGCTCCCTCGTTGAACATGCTGTGGCACCTAAGCAGGGGTGGTGGTGCCGTGCACATTGCGCAGAGCTCGCAATGCACAAAGAAGTACTGACACCGGCGCGGCCGCTCGATGGTCGGTCGCAAAAAAACAGAGAGGGTCACCTTGTGCGGATGAGGAACGACGCGAAAGGCGCCGGGCGGGGCAGACCCGAGAGGACGCTTAGCGCCCGCACGTGCACGACGCGTCGCGCGTCGGCGTCAATGTCGGGCGGTGGCGCACGCCCGCCAGCCACAGCGCCGTTGTGGCGTCGATCGTCTTCACCTCAACCACCGACACCTCTCGATCGCAGTCAGACGAAGAGAAGAGGATGGTGGTGAAGTGACGAGAAGCAATTGACGGAGGCGCGATGTGCGCCACACTGCCCCGGAGAGGCCATGTCGGCGGAGGGTGAGCTCGGTCCCGGCGTGCGAGCGGTCAGCCACATGTCTTCGACGGAAACATTCGCGGGGCTGGCCGTCGCGATGGTCTATGCTAGAAGCAGGGAACAATATGCTGTGATAAGGCGCAGGCCAGGTCACAATGGCGGCTCACCGGAATCTCGCGGCGGAGTACGAATTGCGGCGCACAGGTATATAGCCCTGCGCGCACGCCCCCTTGTTCCAATCGCCTCTTGTCCTCTCCCACATCGCCGCCCCCGTCCTCCTCTCCTCTACCCTCTCCCGCCGTTGCAGAGCCCCTTCACCGCTACTTGGCCCGACCACCATCCCACTCAGCCGTCACGCCACCGCGCGCCTCGCGACTCGCCGCTCGCCATAACGGCCAGCACCGACCCCAACGACGCCGCGGTCGCGCGGGATGCCTTGTGGATCTTTCAGAACATGGAACACACCCCGTACGCACCTCAGTTCGTCCGCCTGGTCGCTCGCCACACCTTTCAACCACGACGCCACATCCAACTCAGCGCCTCCGATCCACGCCGTCCTCGTCCTCCTTCTGTCCGCGGTGGCGCGCACTCCGACATGCCTGTGGATGCTGACCAATAGCGGATGACGCGTGTTGGGTATGGTCCCGTCGCTGTACGTGTCACTGCTTGGCTTCATCGTGCTGATCGCGCGCCAGTGCAACATCGCGGCCGCTATGTGGTCAAGAATGTCTGTCAAAAAGTAAGATCAGGTACAACTGAAGCAACGCGGAAATTGGGAGGCCGTCATACCGGTGGCGAACATACATGAAAACGCGCTCGCTTGCGATGCGCGCGGGGTCAGTGGGTTGTAGCTCCCGCACTGCCACTGGGCTGCTACTCCAGTACCGTCCGTGGGTTATAGCTACCGTACCGTCAGCGGGTCTGCGGTGCGGTCAGTAAACATAACTCCAGTACCGTCCGTGAGCAAGGGTGCCAGTGCAGTCAGTGGGCTACTTATGGCTCCGGTACCGTCAAGGCCCGGGCCATTTTGGAAGACGATGAAGCTCCGAATAAGTAGATGAGCGAAGTTGAAGGCCTCAAGGAGAAACATCGCCAACTATGGGACTCGAGGGCGATCGGCCGCGCGGCTGGGCTGCAACACTCCATATGTGCCGAAATATGGTGTGCTCGTCAACACTGTGGCCGGACCCAAACGAGCAACACGACGGCATGCCGTATGAACGTACGTCCCACCATCACGCGCCGCCGCGCTGATTCGCTTGCGAGAACAAGGCACAGCTATTTCAACCAAACATAAAGCACCGTCAACAAGTGTGACCTCGGGCAATTCAAGCAAGCCGCGAACGGCGACATACCTCTCTACCAGCGGACAGCATGAAATATCCGTGGGGTACCGTCAACAGGCGATGGTCCCAATACTGCCGAATCCCCCACGCACATTAAGGAACAATGAAGCATCAAAGAAACCAGCTGATACCGACCGCCTGAGAACTTGATATCGGCATACAAGAAGATGCCTGTCGAACACGATTCCCGCGGCGGTGATATTCTGCTCGTCTCAACCACGGTAGCGCGCGTCCAAACGTCCCAAGCGCGAGGCAAATTGTCTAACTACACGGCTTGCAAGACGTCGCGACCTTGGAGACGTCTAGCAGGCATACTCCCGATTTCCCAACACCGGCAGTGCACAACGACCAAGTCTTCGCATCAGGAACAAAAGCACCAAATCCAAAATCCATTGACGCAGCTTTAATGAATTGACAGCCGCCAATAGAGGAGATACACCTCAAGTCGTCGAGAATCTGGAATTTACGCACCGGTGAAAACCAGATGGTGTCCTTCGAGGACAAAACTTCACCGAAATAGGACTAAACGGCCCACGACGGGGCGACCAAGGTGTTCCGATTTCTTCTCGGTGGCCTGCCGAAGCAGGGCCGAGCAACAGGAGCATACTGCCAGATCGCAATTACTCCTGCGCCATAATACGAAGCTGCACTCAACTGGGATAATTCCAATGAATGGGGAAACACGCACGCACAAGGACGAAGAACCAACCTCATCGAAGATTATCAAATATGAGGCCCCTTCAACTTGTACGGATTGTTGCAGGACGTGACAACATCTTCGCGGATCAACACGCGGCAGTGGTGCTCACTTCGTTGGCGAGGGGTTCGCGTATGTCTGTTGAGTTACCGTCCTAGAAATTAACGAGAACTGCAGTTGAGCTATGCATTTGTAGACGGAAAAGAACAGCTAGAAACACACCATAGTGATAGAACTGGGCGCCGGCGTGTCAATATTGACCGCAATTGGTGCTTGAGCACCGACTCCACGTCAGATCTGCTAGTGACAACATAACCCCTACCTCCCCGCATGATCATTATGTCTCCTGAATATTACGTCCATGACAGCTAGGAAAGATGATATATTGAAGATGGCATATCCGACTCGCTCAACCTTGTTCAGAGGTTCAAAATCTCGAGCAACTTGTCGAACCGAGGTGACCCAAAGCCCGTGACCTGCCGCAACATATAAGTCTCAACAAACGGCAACATCATAGAAGACGTACCGGGTCCCATCCCTCCGTAGCGTTAATTTGGTGCAAGGGTACGTCGCCAGGGCACTGGACTGTGCTGTTCCCCGTCGTGATATCCGTGAACGCCTTGTACCCCTCCTTGTACAGCCACGGGTTCAGGAATCCAAGGGGCGGCCGCCCCACGGATGCGAGACGGTCATTGAGCAGCGCGACGATGCTGGCAACGATCGGAGTCGACGCGCTCGTGCCCGCCCCATGGAAGAACACGTTCTCGTAGATGATCACGTCGTCTGCCTTGGCCGCGACGTCCGGGAACCCACGCCCGCTCGCGTTCCAGCGTGCCGCGTTCTCCTGCCCGTGCGTGGCGAGGTACGCGGACACGGCGGCGTCTTGGTATGCGGGACGCGGGTAGTAGTTCGAGAAACCGCCGCTGGAGCCTATCCAGGCCTCCTCGGGGGAGAAGTTCTGCGTGCCGCCGACGGAGGTCACACTGGGGAGCATTAGTATCAGTTGTGTTCCGTAGAGAGAACTTTGCGGGAAGCGAGAGGCGCGAACGTACTAAGGGCAGTCGGATGGGAAGGTGGGCCCGAACCGGTCGGAACCGTCCGCCGCACAATCAGCTCCGCCGTCCCCCGCGTCGAAAAGGAGAGTGGTGCCGCGGGCACCGAGTTGCGCGTATGCTTGGCAGAGCTTGCTGTGACCGGCGGTCAGTACCAAAAGCAATGCCGCTGTGCGCCAACTCACTCGACCAGAGAAAAGGGCAGGTTGCTTTCCGCGAAGCCGTAGCTTGTCGACAGAACTTGCGGAGGCTGATCAAGCGCCAGCAGAACGTTCGCCTCGTCCAAGAATCCATCCAGGTCTCCATCTGTGTTATCGATGCCGATGAAATAATAGGTCACAGGAACGTCGGTGGCTAGTCAGACAGTATACTGGATATCGAGCTCCTGTACGAGTAGAGCTGCCTTAGTCAAGAAGCAAGCGTCGTTAAAGGTAGACGTACCCCTTCAGAGACCGAGGGTACGTTCTGGTCGTTCGACCCGCCATCGATGCCGACGACACTGAAGTTGGTCGCCGGGTCCATATCGGGACGAAAGGTCTCCAGGAAAGTCTACACAATGATGAGGACGTGAGCTCAGCAAGGTCAAACTACACGAACCTCAAGCCAGGCGTAGTGCGCGTTGTTGCCGAAGAAACCGGTCACTCCAAGTTGGAGGTCCTTGTGGACAGCAGGGGTGAGCGGGATGTCGTATAGTGCTTGCACACACGCCGGAACGGTGCCGTTGGCGCACGCAGAGTCTACGTCGCGCAACGCATGTTTAGGAGACGCAAATGCAACGGATCGTCTCCGTTCGGGGGCAGCCGGCGCGGATCGTCCAAGGGATACCGGGAATCTGCAAGACTTAATCGAGATCAAGTAACGCTGCTGCGTACGACTCACGAAATAGTTGGGTGGACTAGATCAACGTGTCCCTGTAGAGATCCTGGAAGAGAGTATTGCAAGGTGCGAACGGTCTCCGCACCCGTCGCGGCGTGCTTGAAAAGACTGAAGGTGGTGTTGAATAACTCGTTAGCTTTGGCGACGGGAATGTCGACACTAAGCCAGTCGCCTGCAGAGGAGATGGATGTAGCAGTGAGCTTATTCTCCGTGAGCCACGAGTTGACAGCCGCAACCGTGTCAGATGCGGGGGCAACGAAGCTCTCAACCTAAGATATCACCGGTCAGCTACGCAAATAGTGATGTCCATTAGTGGTACCCACCTCCTCCTTGGACAAGTACTGCCCGTACGACGTACTGTCGGGATCACTGACACGGTAGAGTGCGTCGATAACGCCATCGGGGTTGCTCTGGGCAAGTGCAAGGCGCAGGCTGAGCGTCGTTTGCGGAGAAGCTGGGCCGATCTACGTAAATCCGGATGGAACGGCCGGGCGGAGCTCATGGACGCGAAAAGTCGTCGCTGCGAGAGGGCTTGCAGCGGCAACCCCTAGGAGAACGAAGGCCGCTAACATAGCGAACATGGCTGCCAGACAACGAGTAACGGAAGAGGCCCGAGGGGTCTATACAAAGGCGACGCCGTTTTATATTCTTTGGTCTATCAATGCGCTAGGTGCTTGCGCGACATCGAGCACATCAGCCGGAAGCCGATTAGGAATCACCTGTGCGGAATCGAAATTAAAATCAGAGCTGACACTATGGTGATGGGTTAGGATGTCCGGCATGTACGCTCACCGTGGACGATTTGAGTGGATATCACGCGGCGAGTGAGTTCATGAATACGCACGGTCGCCGTTGCTTGCTGTTTACAGCTAGCCGTCAAAGCAAGCGACTTGATGTTTCCCCTGGCCCCCATCCGCGTAGGATCGCGAGCCATGAGGAGCATGAAGCATATCAACCACATGAGTAGCTGGACGGCCAGATATATATACTTCGTCGTTACGTTGATCAGGGCTAGAGCGAATACTAGAGATGACGAACTTGTCAGCGGGGTGAATAGATGGATGTAACATGCTTACTCACCTCACTGTCCGAGTTGACTGTCTTTTAGAGCCAAGCAACGCCTAACTCAGGCAAAGAGGTTGCCCTGTGACATACCCTTACATGCTGGAGGTTGAACGTTGACTGGAAAGCCGTGCGCAGGCCGAGCGTCTCTGAGTCTCTTCACGGATCTCGCGCATGCGAGTCGGCAAAACCCGATCCCTCACTACTTCAAGCGCTGGTCCCTTCTTGAAGTTATTCGCTCACTACTCAGAGGTACTCCTTCCATGGTCCATCGTGCTGCATTTGTTGCTTACCATCGTTTGAGGCCGTTGTTTATCGCCTCCCCTTTCAAATGCCTTGGTATCGTTGGAAAGTGTCATTGTGGGATGTGATAACGCCTTGCCGACGTATCTAACAACCCATCGTGAATTCGTCGTGCTTCGACTACCATACATTTCCATTCCATTCCCTCCAGGTTCTTCTCACCCTCTCGCAGAACGCCCAGCGCTCAGAGCTCAAGCTTGATGCGGTGGAACAACTCCGCGCTCTTGCGCATCTCCTCCGCCGTCGATGGCGCCGCGGCCTTTCCGTCGAGGCCGTACGTCTGCACGCCGCGGTACTCGAACGGCGGGACCACGGCGGGGACGCAGTGCGCGACCCCAACGCCGTAGTCATCGTACGTCCACGGCTCGCCTGGCTCCTTCGGTGCGGTGAGCAGGATGGAGTTCGTCGACTCCATCGACACATCCGCGTCGAAGTAGTTGAGCGGCGTCAAGAAGAAGCTGTTGCAGGATCAGCATTCGCGGGTCTCATCATGCAGTACGGTGAGAAAGTGGAGCGTACCTCGAAGCCGCGAGGTTCGTGCGCGTGTTCGGCGCGTCCTCCGCTTGCGGAAGGTGATGCATGCCGACGTTGATCCACGCGACGAGGTCCGTCTGTGTGATGTTCTCGCCGTCGAAGAACTTGTGGAAGTCGACCATCGGGTCACCAGGAAGGTTCAGGTTCCATTGGGAACTCGAAGTGGGCTCCGTCTCCTTGCGCTTCGACACCGCGAGGTTGTACCGAGCCCAGTTCGCGTTTTCAAGCAGACGCTTCGAGCCTACGACCGTCTGCAGGGGAAACCGAGGTGGTCAGTTGACAGATCGTGTATGCGCAAGGGTTGGGATACGTACGTTGTGGACAGGCGAATAGCCAGGGTGGATTGCGTACCCGCGGGGGATGCCCCAGCGGTTCTTCGCGTCCTTGTTGACGAGCGAGTAGCCGCCCTGGAGGTTCTGAGGGAACTTGAGCAGCGCGTCGTCCTCAGTCTCGATGAACTTCTTCGAGATCTTCTGCTGGATGACCTCTGAGCCCCAGTCGTCCTCGAACCACGGCTGGGTGATCGACTCCGTAGCGGTACTGGTAAAGAGCAGCGAGTTTTCCTCTCCAGCGACGTCCAGGTCAACCTGCAGTTTTCATGTTAATCAAAACGCAAAGTGGCGCAACCCGCAGAAGGCGTACCTTGTAGTTGATGACATGGTCGTGCAGAGATCCCACTACGATGCCGAACAATCAGCGCCCGGGCGAAGGACGACGCAGCGAATAACTTACTGGTCGTGTCGCGAATAGCGGTGCCGTAACCCTCTTGGGAGGCTTCCCAGAAGCCACCTTGCAAGTAGCCTGACGCTGAGATGCGGACCTCGATGGTGCCATCGATTTGGAAAATGTAGTCGAACACTGGATGGATCGCTTTAGTGTCAGCAACTTTCGCTCTAGCATGCCTCAAGATGCCTCAACTCACGATAATCGTAGCTATAAAGTAATGCACAACTCAGTCAGTACGTCGTCAGAATTAGATGGTGGGACACGCACTTTCCGACCGTAGAAACGCTCCGTACGACGAGCTGGTATCCACGCGTTGCACCGAACTCGCCCTCGGTATATCCGGTGTGGCGAGTGATGGGGCGCCCGGAATCATGCTCGAAGATACAGATCGCGCGCTGACGCACGATGCTGCCCTCGAAGTTGTGCGTCGTCGCAGGGAGGTAGACAGCCTCATGAGGGCAGTCGTATCCCGGGATCATGTCGCGTACGGCGGAGCCCTATAAGTCATCACAAATGAGACCTGATATCAAGTTAAATGAGCTGAGCGACGTACCATGCCGAAGAAACGGTCGAGCCATGCGGTAGTGGTCTGCATGGGGTCGTTGCCGGCTGGGGTAGTGTCAGCATACGCTACGCAATCAGATATATACACGACAAATATGCTCACCATACTGCGCGATGGCTTCTTGAGGGGCAAGCTACCGCGGCCAGTGAGTTTAGCAGATACACAACCAGCATGCGGGGCAAACTCACCTCGTAGATGATCCGGTCACCCCGGAACCGCAGGTCCCACAAGCTGAGACCCATATCCTTGTCGAAGCCGAGGTACATGCCCCAGCCCATCCAGCTCACATACTGCAGCGCACGGTCGACGCGGAAGCGGAGTCCGCCAAACGAGACAGAGCGCGGGCCAGGGAGGTTGTCCAGGTCGCGCTGCGCCGTGAGCGTCGGCCGCTTGCGCGTGCTCCATTCGCCCTGGCTCGGATCCTGGTCGGGCCTGTGCGGAAGACGCTTGAGGGTGCCGTCATGGTACGCGTCGAGGAAGGCCTCGGTGCTGTTGAACACCTGGTGGTTGTACACGAGCTGTTACGAAAGTGTCAGGGATCTGCGCACAGCCACAGTGTGGACATCAGGTTTACCTTGAGGAGCTTCCACTGGGAAGGGTCCGTCCCGCTAAAGTCGACGTACTGGAAGAAGTTGACGGGGTGCAACCAGGGCCCGGCGATGTTGCGCCTCCATGACACCCAGCCACGGCGGAAGGCACCGTCGAAACTCAAGGGCGCGACAATCGCTGCGACAAGGGTGTCGTTCGGGAGACCACGCGCAGAGCCGCCGAAAAGGTCCTAATATCATAGTGGTCAGCGTCGAAGCAAATCCCATCCGCATCAGAACCACTTACCTCCGTAACCTCAGACAGGGGCGGCATGATCACGGTGAGGAGGGGCGAGAGCTCCCCCATCGTAGTATATCCACGCGCATTGAACGGGATCGAGTCGCGGTGGTAGATCTCCGTGAGCTTGCGCATCGACGTCTTCTCGCTGACCGGGAGCGGGCCCACGAGGTAGTCCATGACATACGGCTCGGCCGCCGCGCCATGATGGATGGTGACGCGCGCAAACCGCTCTGGGGGGCTCACGGTGTCGGGGTTGTCCAGGTACGCAACCGCGTCCTTCTTCACGGGACGGAACGCGTCGACGTGGTAGATGAGGTTGTCCGCGAGTTGCGGGTTCTTGTCGCCGCGCGTGAGGTTGAGCCCACGCTCGGGCGCAAGCAACCACTCCGAGACCGAGACGGTGTCGGCGATGGTGAGCGATGCGAACGGATTCACCTTCGTGGGAGGGGTCGCAGCAGGGGGCAGGCCCGAAGGGCACTTCGCCAGTTGATCATCGGCGTCAGCGTCGAATTCGAGCGAGCCCTGCGCGGCGTAGTTGGCGCCCTTGGATGGCGCGAGAGTGTAGAACGCGGAGAATCCGACGACTCCAAGCAGTGCGATCAGAGTGAGCGCTTTTCGCCGAGTGCGGGGAGTGCGGGGAGCGTGACCCTCTAGTTCCGAAGCGTCGCCCTTGAGCTCGAGCAGCGGCTCGTATCCAGCAGGTGCCATCTTGACTGCAGTAGAGCGACAGTCGAATTCCCGGCGGTGGGGGAGTCGGGTGGGAATTCTGCACAATCTCACAGCTTATAAACTAACCCACTGGCTTCCCGCAGACGGCGGTCCGCCGAGCAGGGCATGCGGAGTCAGTGCTGCGAATGTCGCAAGCCCTTAATGCGGGCGCCTAGATATCCCAGAGACGCGGTCATGCGCGAGCGTGAGCGCGTCCTGCCACACGCGACTTCGACGCGTAGTCCGCAGGCACGCCTCCGTGACGCATCTCTATACGTTTCTGCATTCCTGATCCTCACGAATGCTCAACATGACTGCGTATGTTGAACTGCGCAGGACTCACAAAGGCATTTTCGGGTCACTGTCCATGGCCGCTGGTATAGATAACATGACCACAGACCTGAGAACGGAAGGCAGATAAGCCTCACGGCAGCGGCACAGACGTCGCGGCGCCCCTTAAGATAGCCACTATCACAACCGTCGGCCATAGCTTGAAAATCCTCCCGATAGATCCTACGAACGCGGATAAATTGTTACACTTTGCGATTACACTGCTTCACGTTCGTTCCTGCGCCGCTGGCTCTACAAGGCGTCGATAGCGCTTGCTAGGCGGCCTTGACCTCGATCTACCATCTTCCATCGGTCCGTGGGGGGAGTCACTCCTTCCGCCACTTCTGATAGTAGTGGATGAGGCCCGTGGTCTGGAGTGGTGATAAGTCAGCATTCGACCCTCGTCTGGGTGGGCGGGAGAAAGAGTACGCACCGAGCTGTCGTGGCCCGTGACGTCTGCGGGCTTATCGAGCTGCTTGAGGATGTTCTTCGCAAGGACTTTGCCGAGCTCGACACCCATTTGGTCTGGAGCGCGCCGATCAGGGTCAATTGTTAGACACGACAAGGGTAGTGCAATGCTTACCGAAGGAGTTGATGCCCCAGACAACACCTTGCGTGAAGATCTTGTGTTCGTACATGGCAATCAGGGAGCCTAGAGTAGCGGGGGTAAGGAGGGGGAAGACGATGCTGTTGCTCGGCCGGTTGCCCTCGAAGATCTTCGACTTGACGAGCGCGTCAGACGCGTTGGGACCGAGCTCCTGGGAAACCGGAATATCGGCTCAGCATTCAAGACACACAATACATTGTCGCTGCATGTGTCACTAACCTCGCGGACCTCCTCCTCGGTCTTACCGAACGCCAAAGCCTCGGGCTGAGCAAAGAAGTTGCTGAGGAGGATGCGGTGGTGCTTCGAGTTCGCGATCGGGTTGTGGGTCGTCGCGGGCGCCAAGAAGTCAGCCGGGATGAGCTTCGTTCCCTGGTGCACGAGCTGGTAGAACGAGTGCTGGCCGTTCGTGCCGGCGGCACCCCAGAGGATGGGCTAGCACAATTATTAGTGTTTCCTCCTCATAATGGGCGAATGAAAGACCGTGCGCACCCCAGTCTGGTAGTTAACCCGCTGGCCCTGCTTCGTGATCGACTTGCCGTTCGACTCCATGTCGCCCTGCTGGAAGTAGTCCGCGAACTTATGCAGGTACTGGTCATAGGGCAGCAGCGCGTGGGTCTGCGCGCCGTAGAAGTCGTTGTACCAGATGCCGAGAACAGCGAGCAGCACGGGCAGGTTCTGCTCGAGCGGTGCCGTCTTGAAGTGCAGGTCCATCGCGTGCGCCCCACGCAGCAGCTGCTCGAAGTTGTCGTACCCGATGACGAGCGCGATGGACAGTCCGATCGCGCTCCAGAGCGAGTAGCGGCCGCCGACCCAGTCCCAGAACTGGAACATGTTCTGCTCGGCGATGCCGAACCCGGTGACCGCCTTCGTGTTCGTGCTGAGTGCGACGAAGTGCTTCGCGACGTGCGCCTTGTCCTTTGCGGTCGCGAGGAACCAGTCACGTGCGCTCTCCGCGTTCGTGATCGTCTCCTGCGTCGTGAACGTCTTGCTCGCGATGATGAACAGCGTGCGCTCGGGGTCGCACAGGCGCACGGTCTCCGCGAGGTGCGTCCCGTCGATGTTCGACACGAAGTGCGCGGTGAGGTCGCGCTTCGCGTACGGCTTCAGCGCCTCGGTCACCATGACGGGGCCGAGGTCCGAGCCGCCAATGCCGATGTTCACAATGGTGTTGATCGTCTTGCCGGTGTAGCCCTTCCACGCGCCGCTGCGCACGGCCTCGGTGAACTCCTTGATGTGGGCGAGAACCTTGGGGACCTCGTCTGCGCCCGCCTCGCTGATCTTGAACTCGTCGAAGTTGCGCAGCGCGACGTGCAGCACCGCGCGGTCCTCGGACGTGTTGATGTGCTCTCCCGCGAACATCTTGTCGCGGAACTCCTCGACCTGCGCCTCACGCACGAGGTCGAGGAGCGTCGCGAGCACAGGCTCCGTGATCAGGTTCTTTGAGAAGTCAAGCAGGAGCCGCACAGAGGGCTCCTCTGAGACGTACTCGCGGCTGAACTTGGCGAACCGCTCCGGGTCCTGCGCGAAGAGGTCCTTGAGCTTGAGAGTCTCATGCTGGGTGTCGTAGATTTCCTGGAGCTTCTTCCAGGCGGTGTAGTCTGCGGAATGTGTAAGTCCATGCTCTGACTTCGCCGTTCGCCATCCCGGCAATGCACCCCCGCTGTCTTGCAAACGCAACCGCCGCTACCGCCTTGGGCGAGCAGACGAGTGGTCTCACAGACGGAAGCGTGAATGCGCGTATGCCGCCGCAGGTTGCGGGGTTCCGCTGTTCAGGTCCTGTTCCACTCCAATCTTTCTCGTCGGACCTTCATAAGAACTGGCCTGGGCAACCGAAGCCTATCCCGCTCCCGACGGAACCGCAGCTCGCTGTATGCGCCCATATCCACCGCCAGGGCAATCTACGCGAGAGCCGGGCCCCCGCTTCCGGCCCGGACGCCAATCAAGCTGAAAGCTGAACGCGAAGACGTACCGCTAGCCAGTTTCCCGCTCATGTTGCTCGCAGTGTATGTGTGGGACGTGGAGGATGTGGTGGACGTGCGTAGGAGAGCGCGGCGAGGACCGGGGTCTTATAGCGGTCGCCGTTGGCGTCACCGTCGATGGTATCGCGATCGCACGCGTGCGGCCCGCTCGCCCGGGTCGCCCGCGGCGCCCACACTCGGCCGGCTTCTCTCCGTCCCTCTCCAACGTTCTCATCATCACCGTCTCTTCTCACTGTTCTCAGGCGATTGGGGAAACTCGCAGACACAGAGTCAGCGTTGCCTGATTTTGGTAGATCTTTCCACGAGGACGGCGAACGTGCGCTTGCCACAGTGGATGCAGCTGAGAGACTCGGCGCAATTGCAGCCGGATGCGTGCCGCGGGGAATGGTTGCAATAAGTCCAGCTGCGCCTCAAAGTAGGTGGCCTTTTATTTATTGGCTCCAAGGGGTATGGTGTGTATCACGCCTGATTATTTGGCCCGCTGCTCCAGGATATCAATAATGACATGTGCACTCGCCAGTGTATTCCCAGTTGTCAGAGTGTGCGGTTATGACCGTAGTAGGTAGCCCGAACATGTCCGAGCCCGCACCAAGCATGCCGGAACACCAAACGAGCGGCGGTCTTCCCATCGTTCTGGGACGAGCAAGTCGGCTAACACAGCCGTGCCCAAGGCCGTGGTTTGGTTCACACTGTTTGAGGAAGGTTGACAGGTCGATCCAGATGCAGCGGCGGCCCCACGTACTGGATGACTGGCCCATAGGTCATTCAGCGAAGGTCACTCCTTACGTGTGGGCAATAATAGCGTCAGTTCTGTCCTTCCGTCCATGTGATACGATCCATAATACAGCCTAACGGGTTGCTTCGTCACTCGTCAGGTGTCGTGAGCCGAAAGGATTTGTATGAATCATTGCTCCCTTTGCACTCTGAGGAGAAATTCGAGCCATCGCCCTGTCTTCAGCTGTATCACAGCGGCGTTTACGTCAATATACCGTTGCAAACTTCGGCGCATAGAATTTGAAGTAAGGAACAGGATTTAACCGAACAAGACATGCAGCTTACCACCGGACCACCTGCAAGGCTCGTAGCCTCGTGACTGCGCAGTACAGGCGTAGTAATAGTATCCCGGACTCTGCGTACATGCTCTGCATAGCAGGCTAATTGAAGAGGAGTGTGAGTGTTAACTCACCCCGATTGAGGGGCGGACACGTCTGCAGGTCGGTATGATGTGTAACCATGAATCCTGCAAAGCAAGCACTAACATAACCCGGGCAAAACGATGGCAAGCATGATGCACGGTCACAAATCCACCACATATCGTCTACCTAGGGGAGACAACCACATCCCTCAGCAGTGTGAAATGGTAGCGATATGAAGGTTACTGCATGTCTACAATTTCACTCGCCTGAAACTTCCGTACGTTGAAACAGGAGGCCGGATATGCCGAGGGGGTGGGGGGGAGGATGTACAGTCACAGCCACAGAGGAGGGGTTGCGAGAACGATCGCCGTCTGCCAAATTCGAAGACCCAGGAAAGCGCCAGTGTGTTCACAGGTATTTTCCCTCCCAGTACTAGCCCCGGCAGAGTGCAAGCAGCGAGCCAGATCTAGGTGTAACGGTCTGGACATGCAATGTGTTGCTTACTGTATCGAAGTTAGTCCCCGAGAATGACAGCCTGAGCGGCTCGTGTCGGACTGGAATGCGATAGGATCGCTCCAAGCGCGGAAGACGGCGCCGATGTCCACCCAATTACGGCAGCTCAAAATGAATGGCGAAGAAGAGAAGGTGGAGGTCCCCGGATGAAATTGTGAAAAGAGGAGAGAACCGGGAGGAGGACGGAGCTCGAGCGTGCCTGGACCGCCGGAGCAGAGCAGGACGCGACCACCACAAGGGCGCGCGCAGACGCCCACCCAAATCGGGCAATGTGAGATCCCCTCCTCCCTCTCGTCCTCCTCCTCAGTGCGCTATAAGTACCTCCTCCCATCGCGCGTCCACTCCTCTTAGTCTTCCTCTCCGCTGCACCCTCAAGGCTCCTCCCGCGCGCCCCTCGCGATCCCCGCCGCACCCTTGCAACGTGCTACGGCCCATCGTCATCGCCTTCCGCTTGCACACTCTCGCGTAACTTGCCGAAGCGGGGTAAACGGTCACACGAACACTCCTCACCTGAGCAATTTACTCCTCCCCGCCCTTCCTCTTAAAGCGTCCGTCCGCAACGACGACAATCTCTTCGCCCTTATCCGCCCACTCGATCCTTTGCGCCAACATACGACTCAAACCCGCGTCCATCGAGCACAAACCACTTCGTGGACATAGCGCCCATCTTTCGATCCACCCTCCTGATCGAACGCATACAAACTACGCGAGTACTCCCACGTTCTCGTCTAACGTCCACCATATATACCTCTACATCTCGCCCGCCCCGCTTGCGTCGTCTCCTCCCACACACGTCTCGCCATGGTCGATCGTCCATCCACGTCGTCCTCTGCACCGCAAGTGAACGCCGAGCCCCAGACAAGTTCGCAACTACCCCGACCGGCCTCAATTGAGCACGCGCTGCATGCACGCATCGATGCTTTCACGCCTCTCTGTCCGTCTGCGCGTACGTCCTATACCCGCGTAGACTTCACTGGAACGGGAGCGAATACCCCTAGACGGGACTTCACAGGAGAGGTCGAGGGCGGAGACGGGGAGGAACGGGACGAGGATGCGGGCGAGCAGCTGGCCGAGGAAGCCATCCCACAAACCCCACAAGTCTCCCTAACATTTCTCCTGGTCTCGGGCCGTCGCCGGACGATGTCCTTCGAGCCAGAGACGACCGTTGGACGGGTGAAGGAGCTCGCGTGGAATACCTGGCCGAGTGGTGAGCATCTGTGCTGGCTTGTGCCCGAGGCGCTCGGAGCCTTTACGCGCGCGGTAGAAGCCCCACTGACGCTGCCCGCTCGTAGACTGGCAAGACGTGCGGCCGCCTGCACCGTCGTACCTCAGGATCCTCTACCTCGGCAAGATATTGCAGGACGAGGACTCGCTTGACAGTGCGTATGATCGCGTGCTGTATTCTGGCGCTTCTCTGACAGTTGTGCACCGCAGAGCTGTCCTTTCCCACTCAGCTGCCATCCTCAGCAACAGCAGCCACAATCGTGCATTTATCTATCAGGCCGTATGCTCCTCCGGCAGAGGACATGCCCAAGAAGAAGAGGCGAAACACCGGCGGTCAACCCAGCACCGGGACTGAGGGCGCAGAGGAGCAAAGCGGCGGGTGCTGCAGCGCATGCATTATTTGCTGAGCGTTCCGTGTGCAAGGTAAGTTCTGTCTACTGCCATCCATCTTCGCTGTAAGACGCCAAATTTACTCAGTTGAACAGACGGCGACGCGCCATCTTCCGTCGCTGCTCATCTTCCGTCCGAGTGCCTTCCGCTTCTGCAAATTTTGCCCCGACCTGCCCCGGACGACGCCCCTTCCTCCTGCCTGCTCCACCTTGATTTGGCGCTTTCTTTTTATCTTTTGCACGGTCATCTTTAGCTTAGGATATACCCCACGGGCCACCGAGGGTACGAGTTCACGCTCTCGGCCCTTAATAATTGGACTGTCTTATGGGCATCCGACTTTCCTCTTCCGTCCTCCCCACCGTCACGACCTCTTATGCCTCGTAACGCCTCATCCTGCCTCCCGCCGCTTCCCTCCAGACATACATGCCCATGCTTCTCGTCGCGTCGACAGCCCTGCGCAGTCCCACACCGATCCCATTTCCCGCGACGCCCGACACACTCCCGGATAGAACGCGCGGTGGCCCCGTAACATGCTTCATCTCCCCCGCCGCCCCCGCGTTTTGCTTGGCGTCTCCGCTCCCCCGCCGCAGTCATGTCTCCCCTGTCGTCAGTGCTTGGAAGCGGCCGGCCACCCCTATGTCTCACCCCGCCCCCTCCGCGCGCCGCAGCCCGCGGCGCTGCATGTTCGTCGGATCCCGGAATCGTACACTGTCCATCTGTATATTAGCTAGCCCATCGCATTGCACTTCCCGTCCTTTGCTCTCTCTGTATATGTGTGCACAGTGCGTAGATGTGCGCCCCCCACGGCTGCTGTGACTGTCTTCGACGTGAGTAGCGAGCGAATCAAGGGAGCGTTGGGCGTACTTGGGTGGGTGTCTCCCGCGAGCAGCGGCGAGGTTACTTCATTGGAGACTGCCCGGAAGACGTATGCATTCGACGTGTATCGTTGAGGTACTAGGCACTAACATAACTTCGGTCATTCCATCGGCACCTCGATGGTAGACGTCCAGTGTATGTGCTGCTTCTCATTTCGAGGTGGTGCATTGAGTTCGCGCTACTGATAATGTCTTCATGTCCGTCGCACGCATGGCGCTATAGTGTAGTGGTTATCACTTGGGATTCTGATCATATGTTCGATGTTCCCAAAACCCAGGTTCGAGCCCTGGTAGCGCCTTAGTTGGACAGAATCCAGAGTTTTTCTTTTGTGAGTTGTAGACATATCATTAAAATACGCTTTCCTTGTATCCTTGACGTGTATCATACGCTGGCTTGTCTAAAGCAAGTGTTCTGACCTCTTCATAATGGGTCCCAATTTCCAGTATTACATTTCACTACACGTACTACGATTGCATAGTACATGGGCCGTATGTTGCTTTTATGAGATCTCTGCTGTGGCGAAGAACCCCCGGGCTAGGTAGAATACAAGTACAGTAACATACATCAGTGAAGTCCGTCCCCAAGCACATTGTCCGATCCTAGTGCTGAGCTTGAGACTCAGACGGGAAGCCTTGCGATGTCGATTTCTCGTACATCCGAGGCTGCATCGTGTTTCGTGTCGTCGAGATCCTGCGCGCCCTTCTCTGGGAGATCCCCTAGGGGGAGCGCGCCCGTCGTGGTGACGTAGTCGGTCGCGCCGCGGTAGCTGATCGTGGTAGTGAAGAGCGTGCAGGAGTCTCGTGTCCACGCGCGGCGCGACAGAACGCGGAGCGTGATCAGAAGCGGGGAGATGCACTAGCAGGGAGGACAGGCTCATGTCAGCACTCGTGCCCGTGTCGCAATACAAGAAGGGAGGGGACGCACGGTGAACATGGCGTAGAACGAGAACGCGACGGCGATGTCGCTCCCGATCCCGTACGTGACGAGATACGCGGCGCTGAAGACCGTGAACGGCAGCGCACTTTCGACGACGATCGCGACCGCGCCCGTGTACGCGCGGAACTCGCCGCCCCCGCCTTTCCCGCTCGTGGCGTAGCCAAGCCGGCGCCCGACGGTGACGATGCGCCCGACGATGAGCGCGGTGACGATCACGTTGAAGGCGAATGTGGACGCGGTGTACGCAGTCACGAAGCGCGTCGCGATGCCGGCGAAATAATTGCCGTTCGGGCGCCCGGACTCGTAGAGCAGGCCAAAGGCGAACGCTGTAGGATGCATTGAATAAGTAAATGGAAGTGCAGTGTGAGGGAGTTGGGTACGCGTACCTAGTGATGCGCACCATAGGATGACTGGGAGAATGATGATCCTACGGCTATTCCAAATCACGAAACACCTGTACACCTAGGGTTGTTCAGTCAAACAATCTACTTTTATTAGGACGAGCAGAACGTACCAGGAGCGCGTCGTTCATGAGGTTGCACATCACGCACGCGACGGTGCCCCAGGTCTGGTACCACACCGACGCGAAGTCGTTCCAATACGCGTCCTGTCCTCCAGGGTAGTCCGCATGTATAACCCACATCATTTCACCGAAGTACGCCTGTGTCGTCCAGTATATTGTGTTGAGGAGAACGAGCGCGGTGCTGAACACAGTGAGGAACTTGTCCATGGGCGTGCGCTTTCCGCTAAGGCACACATGTCGCAGGATCCGGAAGTACAAGACGAGCTCGACGCCTGACGCAATTGCCTTCTAGTGAGACTCGAGTTCAAGAACGACGACGGACGGGCGCACCGTAGAGGATGGCGTTGATCATGTTGACTACATAGTAGGCGTTCTGGAAGAGCGAACCAGCCATGATCGCGGTGAGCTTGCAGGGAAGAGGTCGCGGCGCACTAGCACTAGCTCAGGATCGGGGAGGCCGCTTGGTACTTAACGAATCGATCGCAATACAGATGTCGCATGCGCTCCTCCGCTTCTCGAAGTCCCCGCCTGCCATGGTACGCTTCCGTTCCTCCGCTGACACGCCGATACAGGATATGTCGCCGCGCCTTGAAGCGTGTCGCGGCCGTTGAGTGGCGACGGTTACCCAATGCACGCCGCCGAAGTCGACGCTGTGCCTGGAAATGTATGTTAGAACGCCACTAGAGGTGTCTGCAGTGCTGCGAGGACGCACTTAATGCCCACCAGTGTGTCCGGCGGTTTGACCCGCGGTATGACGCCAGTTCACACTGCCCCGGGGATTGTGAGGCAGCTTCCGGGTGGGTGGATTCGCCGGGGTTGCGCATAACAGCATGTGTGCTGGATCGCCATCCTGTGAGCGAGGAGCCCCGCGGACAGCAGCCGGGGGACCCCACGAGGCTTGCTTCCATGCAAGTGTCACGGTGAGCGCCCTGCGTTAATCAGCGCGTCAGCGTATCGCCATCGAAATCGTCGGTAGTCGCATGACTTACGTGGGGAGATGCAAGCGCGTAGCACAGCGCCGCGCAACGAGTTTCCTGAATAGGCTGCTGTGCAGTCCGGGGGAGTCCAGGAGCGATGGATATCGCCGGGACCGGACGGTGCGCTAATGGTTGGGATGTGTGGGCGCAGAGCGAACTCGGCGAAATAGTCACGATCCGTGTGTGGCGGGGACCCGTATGACGCACTAGATTCGTTAGTAGCCAGCGATCCCCGAATAGGGGCGATGAAGCGAGCGCAAGTGCCGGCCCCGAAGAAAACCGAGGCGTAGCGAAAGTACCAGACCAGGAACATTCTGCATGAGAGAACTGCTGCCGTTACGATGAGAACAAGTTATTAACTTCACAACATACAACAAGACTCTTACATCAGCCTAGCATACATTTCAGAAGATGGAAGGGGTATATCATACAGCGTAATCAGCAGCGTTCTCGGCTTGCACGGTCGACAGGTTCATGGACGAGCTCACGTCCTTCCTCTTGTCCAGCTCATAGTCGGCATTTAAGCTGCCACCGCGCGTGGTGGTCGCCGCTGTGCGGTCCGAGAAGTTGATGGTTGTGAGGAAGGCCGATGTGGACTCCTTCCGCCATGCGCGCCGCTCGAGTACCCGCAGCGCGATGAGCTGGGGCGAGATGGCCTAAACGTTCTTCTGTCAGCCTTACTCCAAGCATCTCTCAGGAAGACTGCGCTCACCGTGAACATCGCATAGCATGAAAACGCGACCGCGAGGTCGCTTCCAATACCGTATGCGATGACATACGCCATGCTTCCGAGCGTGAACGGCAGCGCGGACTCGACGATGATGGCGATGGCACCGGTATACGCCTGAGTGCCCTCCCTGGTCACGCTCACTCGCCGTCCGATGTAGAGGATGCGCCCGCAGATGAGGGACGTCGTGATCACGTTGAACGAGAACACGAGCACGTTCCACGCGGTCCCGAATTTCGTCGCCGTCCCCGCGTAGTAGTTGCCGTTCGGTCGGCCGGACTCGATCAGCAGCCCGATGCCACTTCCTGTGGTAAGTGAGCGGGAAGCAAGGTGATGGAAAAAGTCATCAGTGCTCACCGAGAGAGCCGAGCCAAATCAGCGCTGGGACCACGACCACGGACGCGTTGTTCCATATAACATATACGCGGTACATCTAACGACGTCGATCAGCCTCCCAAATGCATGCAACCATACAGCTTTTCACTCACCATCAGCGCATCCGCCATGAGGTTGCTGATTGTGACTGCGGCGGTGCCCCATGTCTGGTACCACACCGCGACGTTGGCGGCGAGATACGCGTCCATGCCCCCGGGGTAGTCCGCATGTACGATCCACATCTGCTCTCCGAAATACGCCTGCGTCGTCCAGTAGATCGTGTTGAGCGCCAGCAGGACGGTGCTGAAGGCGATGAGGAACCTGTCCGCGCGCGTGCGCTGCCTGTTCCGCACGACGTGGCGGACGATCATGAAGTACACCACGAGCTCAATGCCTGTCAACATGCGTGAAGTCAGCCGCGGCTACTCGAGGGAGGGAACTCTGCGCGAGAGGATGGCATAGGGGGACAGTACGCACCATAGAGGATGGCGTTGATGTTGTTCACGACATAGTACGAGTTTTGGAACAGTGCGGACATGTCTCGAGGGTGCGGGTAGGGGGGGGAAGGCCTTGACGGGGCCCCAAGTTATAGGTGTCGTGGTTTAGCAGACCGTGTGGGAGGTATCTGTCGAACCCGCGACCCCACTAGCTTCTCTGTAAACCGAGGAATTCAAGACGAGGTTCGTTGATTGCACCGCGCGGCCTGAGTGGTTGGTGCGGTGACACCCTGGGTGTCGATAGTGGAGCCAACGATGTCGGGGGTCAGTCCAACCGTCGACGCTGTCAAGGGCTATATAATAGCTCGCGGTGGTTTGAGGGGTAGTTGACAAGGCGTGGTCGTCGAAAGTGGGCAAGCATAGATGGGGGACGCTGTGTAAGAGTGCGAGGTCGTCGGGAGAACGCAGGATAGGCGAGAAAGTCGGGGTGCATGGTGAGCTTCTCATGGAGCGTGCGGGTGCGCTAGAAGACATCGAAGACGAAGTGGGGTTTAGCGGGAATTCTGTTCTAGACGCTCCGCATCCCGCTTTTCCGCTTGGCGCCCACGCCTATGCTGGCGATCCGAATCGCACTGCGCGGCCATGCGATCGAGCTGCCTAGGAATGCCAAGTCAAAGACTATTCAGCAGAAGAGCCGGAGAATTACTGCGCAAGGAATAGTGGCCCCATGAGATCCATTGCTATGTATAAGGGCTTTGGATGTACGCACAGCAGGTTAAGGAGTGCTCGCGGAATGCAAGCCCGGGATCGCTGGTCTCCGTTACGGATCTGGAACCATCCCCAAATGCAGAGCGGTCAACGTAGAGCTCCTCAAAAAAGGGTCTAGCGGGTCGTCCTCTACGACAACGATCCCGCTATGTCGATAACAGTGAGGCAGGGGAAAGTGAGCGCAGTCTGGGCATGATAATGATGGACGGAATGTGGAGATCTTCTCTTGACCCATGCGTCAGATAGGCTTTAGAGCATTTGAATCGAGGGTTGCCACTGAGTACTGACAAAGCCCCGCCAGTTACCCGCCAGTATCCCAAGTTTCCCCGCGCTTTGCTTGTTGTGCTTCCCAGATTATACCATGAGTTACCCCTTGTCCTCTTCCACGCATTCTTCTAGATAACCAGCCTACATAGCAAGCGCATCCCGATGGCTCGGATGCTCTCGAAATGCGCTTAGGATGTAGGATGATTGTTCGGAAACAGCGGTTTCTTGCGTGGGTCGTTTTTGTACATCCAGCATGGGCAAGAGTAGCGAACGACGGTGACAAAGAAGTGGTGGCAGTAGCAAGAGCATCCCGAAGTGAGGTACGCAGAGTCCAGACGGTGTATTTGTGGATATGAGAGGTGGATACATCGTGTATGCGGTCAAGTACTGGAGCGCCCGTGTATATCAATGTATCGCGACGCATAGCTCCCAGACGCCAAAGGTCGAGTGTATGTCTCTCTCTGACTCTCAGAATTTTCCTGCATCGCGATGATATGAGCCTGCCCTAACTGAGCGCGGAGCCTTCTCCTTCTCGAAATGTTTGTTTAAATGGCGCATATATCACCAAAGCTGCGAACACCTACGCCGCAACCCCAAATTTGGGCCATGCAAGGATACGTTCATAATACACACAACATCGCGAAGTAGATGGACATAGCACCTTACATCCAGGATCACCGAGTCTATACTACACTGCCCTACCGCTGCTCCCTTGGTTCTATATCCACCGCTATCAGCATCATCGCCTCACTCATGATAACAATGGGGAAGGGACTTACGTGACCACTGGACGCTCAGGATGAGGTTGTCGTACCCACGACCGTGCATCTTCTCCATCGCCTTCTGCGCCGACGACTTCTCCTCGAAGCTGACGAATGCGAAGCCCTTGCCGGCGCCCGTCTCGCGGTCGCGACCCACATACACACGCGCGACACGCCCGAACACACCGAAGAGGTCGCGCAGGTCGTTCTCCTGCGTGTCTTCCGAGATGTTCGTAACACGGAGGGTCGGGAGGTCGTCTCGGTTGCCGCCTGGGCGGCCCATCGCTTCTCCGGGTCCACGTCCGCCACCGCGCATTGATGGGGGGACGTACTTGCCGCCGATGCTGGAAGCGGGGGCGGCCGCAGAAGACTCGGCGGGCGCGCCGGTGTCGTCTCCGCCGGCGGGAGGGGTGTCTGATTAAACGCGTGAGACGGTGGCGGGGCCAATCACTGGAAGTGTACGCACCGGTGCCGTCGAGACCAGAGAGGGAGTCCTTGTAGGGACATTTTGCGGTGAAATGGTCGCCCTTACACAACCGACAGACAACCTTTCCAGCACCCGCCTTCGCGAGGCTTGCCTTGACGGATTGCTCCGCAGACTGTTCCGGCTCAGAGGACTACCAACCGCATTTACATATGAGATAGGCTCAGCACGGATGCGGGGAACACGCACCTTGTTGCCCGCGCTCAGTTTCAAGTAGACGTTCTCTCCTACGGTCGTCGTTGCGCGATCGGGGCCGGGCTTGCTCCCCTTCTCCAACCCGAACTTGGCCCATGTTTTCCGCTCAGCCACGCTGTGGTCTACCACTGCCTTCTGGAGTACGCGCTTGATCTTCCTCGTGATCTAAGGGGGATGAGAGCAGCGTAAGCCTGGGAACGCGGTTCTCCAGGCGGCGCGCAAGACTTGCCTTGACCTTCTTTCCGTCATCATTAATGGTGTACTCCACGGTGGTACGGATGCCGTTCTCATCTGTGTAGTCCTCGCCCTTGGGAGGGGTCTCTGTGTTGCGCACCGAATGAGTCGATGCAAAGCGGGCAAAGGCTAGACTCGCGTACCGAACTCATCGACATCGTCTGCCCAGGACGTTTTGGGTGCGCTACGATGTCAAACCCATTCAATATCTGTCTGTTCATATCCCAGATGGCTAGAAACATACTTTGCAGCGGCCATAATGATGATGCGGGGGAGGGAGGGGTGTCAGGGCTGTATGCTGTCGAATCTGCGCTTGCAAAGCAAATCGCAAGAATGTGACGTGCTGTGACTTATCTGTTACACAGTCACGTCACATATCCCAAACGCGTGCCGCGCCTCCGCCGTCGAGTGCATCATGATCTTGTCCCTTCCGCTCTCCACCACACCTCTTTGCGTTACCCTGCTAGTCTCTCTTCCTCGTCGGCCTGCGCTGTGTACTCAACGCCTTTCCTTTGGCGCATATATTCAACAAATCACGAAGCACTGAGGGAGCGTTCACGTTCACGGGCGTAACGCGACATGGCAGCACAAGCACACGTAGCGGGACAGTGAGCAGAAGGTTCATAGGCCCCATGCTGCTTTTTATTGAAGTCCTGATTGTAATATGTAGAAAACAACCAGGATCCGATACCCACATCACAAATGGAAACGAGTCTGCGCTCGCGTCTTCCTCCGAGCTGCTGAGCTCTCTCGAGACTCAGCCAGACGTCGTATCTTGGATCAACGACATACTCGGAGTCTCGGACGAGCCTGACGATGCGGAACGGTCTACAGCACTGACGGACCTGGACCGACGCGTGTCGCACCTGGTCGGGACTCTTGAGATTGCTTCTGAAGACACCTCCGCGCAGGTCGACAGGCTCATCGAGGATATCTCCCGTGGCGCTTCGCGGCTCACGTATGATCTCCACTTCATGCGCGAGAGTGCGCTTTCGTTACAAGGTATCCTGCACAACGTCGAGGGCCAGTCAACGTCGTCTTTGGGGCCCGACACCGACGCTGCTCTGGAGAAGCTGCATTACCTCGATGTTGTCAAGCGGAATATGGAAGCAACGCGAGAGGTCCTGCGAGAGGCAGAAAGCTGGAGCACCTTGGAGAGCGATGTCACCTCTCTTCTGGGGGAGAAGAGCTATGAGAAGGCGGCCGAGAGGCTATCGGAGGCGTCCAAGAGTATGGCCGTGTTCGAGAACACCCCAGAGTACGACAGTCGACGGACGCTCATGGTCAGCCTCCAAAACCAACTCGAAGCCTCGCTCAGCTCTGCCTTAGTTGCCGCCGTGAACTCTCAAGACGTAGTTGTGTGTCGAAACTACTTCTCAATATTCCGAAACATCCAAAGGGAATCCGAGTTCCGCAACTACTACTATGGCTCCCGGCGAGGGCCACTCGTCGAGCAGTGGCAAAGCACCCGTCTGCGGGACTGCGAACCTGGTTCGCCCATCGAACAGTCCGTCCTGAGCTTCCCATCGTTCCTACCGACGTTCTACCAGGCTTTCCTAGCTATCCTCCAAACGGAACGGACCTCTGTGCCAGCCATCTTCCCAGATCCGCGACCGACCCTCTCGGCCCTCATCACCTCCACCCTCTCCGCGCTCCAGCCATCCTTCTCTCAACGGCTCGAAGCGATGTCCACTTACTACTCTGCAACAGCACTGGTCCAGCTCATCTCAGCCTATCGCGTTACAGAAGACTTCGCAAACTCCACGGATAAGATCATGGAGAAAGTCAGCTACGCCACACCAGTCGCCGAAGGAGATCGACCAGCCGGTGCTCATCTCCGCCGACGCTCTTCTGCGCGCATGTCGTTGTCGTTGTCCCGCCGCACCGGCAGCCATCGCGCTTCTATCAGCGGGACTGGTGCCCTGGTGCCCCCTACTCTGGACTGGGACCAGGAACTGTTCGAGCCCTTCGTTGACTTCCAAACCGACTATGCCAGCCTCGAAACTCGCTATCTCGAAGACGCGCTCAAAGCTGCGCTCTCTAGCAACTCGCAAGGTCGCGTTGACCATGCCCGACTTCTTCGAGAACGCGCAGTCGATATCTTTTCGGTCGCGGAAGAGGCTATCACGCGTTGTACGGCATTCACGCACGGCTATGGCGTACTGGGTCTCGTCCAAGCCGTGGACAAGCTCTTCTCCACCTTTGCAGACGAGTCGAGACTGGAGATCCTCGAACGTCGGTCGGGCCAGAGTGGCCAGTCTTTGACAGCCTCCGCATCAGGGGAGGATCTCTCAGACCTCGATTACACGGCGGAGGATTGGGCGGACATCCAGGCGCTGCTGCACTTCCTCGAGGCCGTCCGCACTCTCCTTGATCGCACAGTCATATTCGAAGGCAAGCTGCGCGCGACCGTCACGCAGGTGTCGACGACACTGCGCCAGGCCCGGAACGAGCCTGTGAGCGCGTACCTGTCGGGCGCAAGCAGAGGCAAGTTGCAGCTGCTTATGCAGTCGTCGCTTAACTCTGCGGAGCTGCACGAGCTGCTGAATAAGGTCGATCCGGAGCCATCCTTCCAGACCCAGTCGAGGGGAGACGGATTCCTCGCACCGACGCCCCCAACCCCAGATGCGCGGCGCTCGCCCCGCACGTTCGCAGTTCCCCACCCGACACTCGTGTCCACCCCACCGCTCCTCGTGGGTGCGCGCAGCGCAATCTCCGAGCTCGCCAGGACCTGCCAGCAGGCGCTCCAAGACACCATCCTCTCACCCCTGCACAAGTACCTCGCCTCCTACGCAGCGTCTACGCTCTGGTCTGCTGCTGGCGACCCCAAAGGCCGACGTCCACTAGCCGGCGGCGGCAGCGCACTAAGCGAGGTGCAGGTCCCGACATTCTCGCTCTCGCCGAGCAGCACTATGCAGCACGTGGCCGAGGGCCTGCTCAACCTACCGCGCTTGTTCGAGGTGTACGCAGACGACGACGCGCTTGCGTTCTCCCTCGAGACGCTCCCGTCCGTCAGCGCGGAGCTGCTCCGCGGACTGGCCGAGCAGACTCCGCCTGCGGATGCTGTCCTCTCGTCCTCACTCTCGCATACACGCCGCTCGCCCTCGCTCTCGCTCAAAGCCTCGCCAACGCCCTCTGCAGCAGGCGTGCTACCCCCGCCGACGTTCACCCCGGAGGCGGTGTCCGCGGCATGGCTCTCGTCGCTCGGCCTCTCCCTGGTTTCGCGTCTCACTGCAGACGTGCTTCCGCGTATCGCCAAGCTCACGCCCGCGGGCGCGGCGCAGCTCGCCTCGGACCTAGGCTATCTCTCAAACATCGTCATGGCTCTCAATGTCGAGTCGCCCGAGCTGGAGAAGTGGCGAGAGTGGGTCGACGTAGATGACGCGGCGGGCAAGGAGAAGCTCAAGGAGGCGAGAGAGGGCCTCGCACCGGGAGAGACGGAAGACCCGGTGGTAGCCACGGTGGTGAAGTTACGAGGTTGGTAGCCGATGTATGACTGTCAATAACCGTGGTGAGCTTGTTAATCTCAGGTGTTCATATATTGCATTGCCGTGCGGGCTGAATATGGAGGCCTTTTCGTGGACGTTGAAATATGGTAAGGTGATTATTGGGTACATATGTTCACTTCTGCTAGTGGTTATTGCACTCAAGCTTCGGGTTCTCGCCAAGAGTGACACATTCTTCCACACTTATATAACCGTGGTATGTTTCTATCTATTCTACACCGTCTCCAAAGTCGCTGATCTCTCGACCGCTTGTTGACCTGCGAAATCTGGTGTAACGACCTGAAAAAATCCGCACAATTCAAAGCGGCCTTGTATTTGATCGTCGTGGAAGAGGTGGGTTCTTTGTCCCTGCGCATGTGAATGTCCCATTCGTGACAATGATTCCACCTCAGTACGGCTTCGTCATATTACGCAGGAACTATCGCGATCTTGCAGTACGTTCCAGCTTCCAGCTTCCACAGGCCACTATGAGGAAAATTGGGCGCCTTCGGCCTCTTGCCGTGGCTCGTTCGGTCCTGTTTCAGAGCAATTTCCTTCCTGGGGAATTCCACTTGGTTCTTCCAGTGCGTATATCCCATTTTCTTTTCGCAGGATTTGGTGAGCGCCCTCTTGTCAACGACTATATGATGACGTCGAAGGGCGTCCGTGAATGGATCCCAAATTCGTTTGCCTTGTTCCTCACACGGAGCCTGGTCATGATTCACTTCCGGTCGATCGCCAACCATTCCGTGGCTATGCCTGCCGCGGTATACACTTGGCGTGGTCCCCAGGTTTGCGGCGTCCCACGCCATGTTGTGTGTGGTTTCACAATTTGCTTCCGGCTACAGGCGTATGGACGCGCGAGCCACCGTGATCGATTCGAGCATATCATCATCGCGACGGGGTTCGTGTTTGTCAGGCATCTTCGAATTCGCCAGGACCCTGTAGGCCGTCCGTATATGCGAGACTCTTCCGGGCTGCGATTTGTTTTTGTCGGGTGGCGGCTTTATCGCGAGGCGAGGCATCGACAGCATGGGAGCCATCATCCGTTGACGATAGTCCACGCCCGTCGACATCGGCGCATTCCATGTCATGTTTTCCAGTGGTGGAGGGGTACGTGGCCCATCGTCGCTCGGTTGATTGGTTCGTAGTCACCTTTGTCGACAGCGCTTCTCCATGTTTAGCGGAAATAGCTGTGTACTGGTCCTCCCCGAAGATCAGCGCGATGACGCGTGACGGTAGGACGTACAGTCGAGGCGCAGTTTGTTGCGTCATTCATATAAATTCGGTTGGCAGTTGCAGTGTTGACGAGCGCACAATTTGTCGGGTCCGACCTTGACCGCATATGGAGCGTGGCAACCCAAACATGCGCCGGAACGCCCTCGGTTCCTACGGTTGGCGATATTTCTCCTACGGTCTTCGACTTTGCTCATTCCTTCGCAGCTTCATTGTCTCTCCCAAGATATCCCAGGCCTTGACGGTACGGGAGCCTTAAGTAGCCCACTGACTGCACCGGCGCCCTTGCTCACGGACGGTACTGGAGTTATGTTTGCTGGCCGTACCGCAGACCCGCTGACGGCACGGAAGCTATAACCCACGGACGGTACTGGAGTAGCAGCCCAGTGGCAGTGCGGGAGCTACAGCCCACTGACCCCACGCGCGTCGCAAGCGAGAGCGTTTTCAGAAATGTTCGCCACCGGTAAGAAGGACTTCCAATTATAATTCGGCTCTTGCTAACCGTGACGTTGATATCTCTTCTTGCTCGTGTAGGATAGCTGCGGCGACGATGACCTGGCACAAGATCAGCACGATGGGGCCAAGCGGTAACACGTACGGCAACGAGACGACTCCCGACAGGCATCGTGCGCTACCGGCCGGAAATCACGGGCACATCGAAGAGCGCGCCACTGCGGACAGTAGCAGGACGAGGGCAGCGTTGATGGGAGGCTTCGGGTTGGATGTGGCGTCGTGGTGGAAAGGTGTGGCGAGCGGCCGGGTCGACGGACTGAGGTGCGTACGAGGCGTGTTACATGCTCCGAAAGATCCCCGATGCATCCTGTGCGGTGGCGGAGTGGTCGGGGTTGGCGTTGGCCAATGTGGCGAGCCGTCCGTGGGTAAGGCGCGCGGTGGCGTGACGGCCGAGTGAGATGGTCGTGCCAAGTAGCGGTGAAGAGGCCCTGCAACGGCGGGAGGAGGCAGCGGAAGGGAGGGGAGGGAGGGGGAAGCGATGTGGGAGAGGACAAGAGGCGATTCGAACAAGGCGTCCACGCAGGGATATATACCTGTGCGCCGCAATTCGTACTCCGCCGCGAGATTCCGGTGAGCCGCCATTGTGACCTGTCCCGCGCTTTATCGCAGCCTATTGTTCACTGCTTCTGGCGTAGACCATTGCGACGACTAGCCCCGCGAATGTTTCCGTCGAAGACATGTGGCTGACCGCTCGCGCGCCGGGACCGAGAACACCTCCGCCGACATGGCTCCTCCAGAGCAGTGTGGCGCACGCTGTCGCCCCCGTCGTTTGCTTCTCGCTCCTTCATGATCACCCTCTTCTCTTCGGCTGACTGCGATCGAGCGGTGTAGATGGTTGAGGTGAAGACGATCGACGCCACAACGGCGCTGTGGCTGGCGGGCGTGCGCCACCGTCCAACATTGACGCCGACGCGCGACGCGTCGTGCACGTGAACGGCGCTAAGCGCTAATCGTTGTTGGCAGTCCTGCTCAACTCGGAGTTCCCTTTCACCACCACCGCCCGACTGATACTCTTTTGGTTTACTATGGAACGGCGCTGATTACGCAGAGAACTTCCGCGTGCAACTAGCCGTATGACATGCGTCACACATTCGCCTCATGTCTAGCATCGCTAGAGCCGGGAAGAGCGTTCGAACCACTGTCAAGTTGCCTTGCTCCTCACGGACTCACAAGGGTTCCTATGTATGACTTCGGCGTTCATGCTGTATGTGGTGCTATAAAATTACCTTTGCAGTGTGCGCGATCCCGGCCGTTCCGGCGTCCACACTAAGACACCACCACCAGGCTAAACCAGCCCACGCGGCGCTGCGGGCTTCGTCCGGTGAGTGTGCGCCTTTCCTGGAGCGAGTCTTTCGAACTGACGCAAGGAAAGCCTAGGTCTCTGGGATCAATTACGTGCACCCTTGCGCCACAGGCCCAAAGAGCGCATTTTGTCCGCCCTCGCCGACGCACCGCCGTCGCGGCAGACACAGAAAGCGCCCGCGTGCACCACCGCTCCCGCTTTTCCAGGATGCGCCCGCCGATCCGGAATAGCCTACCGTCTCCTCCATGATGTCCGCCGTGCCCAGAATAACCGTGGACGATCGCGCACAGTAGAGCCTCATCTCGTTGCCGTCTCGACACGAGCTTCTCCCTGTACATTCTCACCTATACAGGTACCGCCCTTCACCCTCGCGCGTGGCATCAAACGCGTTCAGCTGACCGCGTTCTATCACCGATGCCAACGAGATAGGCCTGAGAAGACGCGACGGCCGTATGTCTGACGTGCGTACTCTATTGCCTGTTCCTGATGTTGGAGATTTCGAGCGATACTGACTTGCGCCCGCTGATGGAAATCGAAGGCGCGGGGATGTTCCTCACCCCACATGCCCCTGGCGGCCTTGGAATTGGTACCAGCAGTGCATCGCGGGTACGGCGAGGCCCAGGACGCACACACCGCAGCCAGCGCGTACACATTTTTACCTAACGCGGGCTCGGGCAGGAGAATGTAAAGGTATTTTATTGTACAGTTCAAACGTTTCTACCACACGCTCATGGCGCGGATCGTCCAGAGCGGGTCATGGTTACAACAATGTGCGTACTCAGAACTTGACCTTGCTGACGGTCTCCCAGAAGTGCTTGCCCTGGATCTCCGCAACCTCGAGCTCGAGTGCCGAAGGCTGGCGCGAGCCGTCGCCGCCGGCGAAGGTACCAGCGCCCCACGGAGAGCCTGTAGAAGATCGGTGAGTCCCATGTATAGCATGACGCCTCGGAGCGGAGTGGGTCCGAGACACGCATCCAATGCGCCACTCGCCCCTCTCCGCCCGTCGCAAATGTGGAGGAGGTACTCACCACCGCGGACCTCAGACACGTTCGTGAGCTGCGCGAACGCCTTCGCGTACCCGAGGGGCACGAAGATCAGGCCGTGGTGGACGAACGTCGAGAGCGAGGCGATGATCGTCGCCTCCTGGCCGCCGCCGGGGGACGCGCTCGACACGAACGCGGACACGTACTTGCCGGTGAGCGCGCCGGAGCCCCAGAGGCCCCCGGTGGCGTCCCAGAACGCCTTCCACTGCGCGGGGAAGTTGCCGTAGCGGGTGGGGATGCCGAGGATGAACGCGTCGAACTGGGGCAGGTCCGTGGGCTCGAGGATCGGGTACGCGGGCTTGGGCGGCGCGTGCATCTTCACGAGGACCTCCTCGGGGAGCGTCTCCGCGATCCTGGATAGCGGGCGTAGACGTGAGTATGGGAGCGCGTGCGAGAGGGAGCGGGACGACGCACTGGTAGATGGTGGCAGAACCGCCGGCAGCCGTGATACCAGCCTTTACGCCCTCAGCCACTAAATATACACGCGGGGTGAGTATTGATAGATGCGGGGGGAGCGCTCGGGGTACGCACACTTGGCGATATGGCCGTAGAGGGAGTAGATGATGATCGCAACCTTAGGAGAGGACATGGTGCTTTCGGGTGCGGTTTGGGTAGCGGGCGCAGGCGCGGGTGCGGGGGGTGCGGGGGTGGTGGTGGGTGCGGGAGCAGCGGAGGCGGGGGCCTTGGCGGATTCGGGGTCGTCTGAGTGGTTCTTCTTAAAACGCTTTCCGGGGAAGCACATTCAAGTGAGCAGCAGGGGTTGGAGGAGCGAGAGGGGCGCGGCAGGGAGGGTTATATACATCGATCGAGCGTCTAGTCGAGGAGCACTTGTCCGAGGACGCGTGAGACGTTCCGTCCTCGATTGGGGCGAGCCCCGTTCTCTCGCGTTCTCTCGTCCAGCCACGCCCAACCCGCTGCCATCCACTCGCAATTCCGCCGTCGTCCGTCGCCATCCGGGCACCCTGCGCGCCGCGCATTCCCTTTTCGCGCGCCCCGACGCCGCTCGCTCGCCAGATCCGGCCTTCCGCGCGCACGCCCGTCGCAGGAGCTTGCGGAGCCCAGTGCACGGGCTCGGGACGCGTCCGTCGCGCGGGGTCGCTCGACGTCGTCATATTCGCCCGGCGATATTGAAGCGCGCGTGGCCCCTTTCACGCAACTGCCATATCTGGAATGATTCTCTCGTACACTCCTGCGCCTCATCCCAAATCCGTCCTCGCATTCTCTCCACGGCCTCGCGTCAACGTTCTCTCTTCGCCCCTGTAACCCCCGGTACGCCGAGACGCAGCTCTGTCATCCGCGGCCCCATCGCTCGGGCTGCGACTGTATCTCCTGACGCGCCCGCGTTGGTCATTATGATATTCGGCAACTCAGACATGTCCTTTCGCGGAGTCCAACTTCTCACATGTTCGCAGATGTTCCCCCGAGAAGCTCGCATTTCCATCTGCAAACAAAGCCGTGCATTCCCTTTTGCGGGAATTCGTTCAGCCACGAGTCGTTCATATCGGTCCGTCGAGCCAAGCGAGAGATGTGGACACACAACACGCCTCGGTTCACCGCCGCTCGCCGCTCGACGCTCGTTCAGCCAGTGCTCCTGACCAATTGCGGTGGTCATTCGAATTTATTTGCATGCACCTTCCTGACAAATCTGTCGTGCCATCGGTTATTCCATCATGTCATACACATGTTGAGGTCTACTTGGTACGTGGACGATCTCCTGCATATGTGGAAACTGACCAAGAACCACCGCGAGCGTAAGCAGTATTTGACGATCGATGCAGACGTATAAGCAGGTCATTTCGAATGTGCCCAAGAAATCATGTACTGATGTCTTACGTACCCGTAGTACATCGTAGGAATCAAATACGAATTTGAAGACTCAGCTCTGTCATCGTTTGGACTCCTCCGTCTGTTTGTCGGGATGCCGTCAACTAGCGTTGCCCAGGTGCTCCCCGAAATATTCTACACAGCGGTAGCTCTTTCAAGTCCTTGTCGATTAGTGGTTAGATCATCACGTTGTGGAAATGCGGTACCGTGAAGACGGAGCTTCGACTGCTCCCTGGGACATTCTTTTTTTTCTGGCCAGACAGCCTCCTAAATCATCCAATATTCGAAGGACGGCTGCGGCGGAAGAAGAGGGGGATTGAATCTCGGAGGCGGAGGAGTCCACCGCTATGTACTTAGCTAGGGCGTCACCCAGACTCGGCCGGTACCGAAGCTCGAATCCTCCCTGGGACATTTTTTGATCTTTCCACTTCCGCCACCACAACTTTTACATGCTAACCGACTTCCTTAAATGCCACCTTCTTTCTATCCTTTTTTACACCCTACATGCCCTCTCGTGTCTGCATTGGCATAGCACTACTGACCGTAGCCGCTCTCTGCGAGTATGAGATGTGAGAGTTCTTGTAGACTTCGCCAGCATAAGTTGCGCCACTTGTCACTCCATAACATCCTGAGATGTGAGTACCACCACTATATCCTCGCCGTTCCAGCAATGAGTGACCACAGCCTGATAGAGAAATCCTGCTGGTAGCCACCCACGGCATGACACCAAGTATGCCAAGGACAGAGCACTGCGAATGCACATGCCGCTTGCTATGAGCGGGATTTTCGCTAAACGTCGCTCTTGACAAGCTGCGCCCCGCCGAAGCTCTCTGACTCAAATCCCATTCAGTCCACCCCCGGCACTGCGGCCGCCCAAACGGCATGGACGGCATACATAAGTGCGAGAACAAGTCTTCCCGCAGGCGGGCGCGCGGTTGTGCGATAAAAGCTCGAGCCCAGTGGGGGCTGACTCCCCCTCTGGACGAACGAGGCAGAGATATCCCGATGGCCACCCCACAGGAGCTGAACACGCTTACCTCGCAGTTCTACGACGCAAACCCCGCGCTTGAGGATGACCGTCTGCGCAAACACCGGATTGAGTTCGAGGTGACCCTCCGGACGATCCTCCGCCGCCTCCCACCCGGCCGCACAGGGCTGAAGATCCTCGACATTGGTGGCGGAACAGGTACTCGTTCACAGCTCCATATCTCCGTCATAACCCTACATGCCACTGGCAACCACCCCGTGCATACAGGACCGTACGCATTCGCGCTCGCGGCACGCGGCCACTCTGTGACCCTCATCGACCTCTCCCCAGGGCTTCTCGCGCGCGCCCACGCACATGCCGCGACCCTCCAGCCCACCGCACGCCCCGCGCGCATCCTCGAAGGCGACGCGACCGCGCTCTCCGCCGTACTCCCCGAGGCGGAGTGCGGGACCTTCGACGTCGTGCTCCTCCTCGGGCCGCTGTACCACATCATGTCCGCGGAGCTGCGCGAGCGCGCTGTGCGCGACGCGTGGGCCATGGTGTGCCCCGCACGCGCGCAGGAGGACTCGAACAGGGAAGGGGGGGACGCTGTTCTGCGCGTGGGTAAGCAGGTTGGCGCATTATCGGGACGTGGCGATGCGTGACCCGGGGCGGCTTGCGGCGAAGCGGGAGTTTTACGCAAAGCACGCGGAGGACGGGTGCGTTTGTGTCACTGGGCTCCCTTTTGCTGAAGGGGATGGGATGTTTATGTGTTGACGATTTTTACGTGTTGACTTCACCCACAGCGATTATGTCCGGTACGACGAGAACGGGGAGCCGTGCCACGCTATGCATCACGAGATCCCTGCGAACATGCCACTTATGCTAAAGCACATCACTGGAGAGGAGAACGTGCAGATGGTCGGCGCGGAGGGCGTCCTCGCTGGAGGCCTCGATAAGCTGGTGACTGAGCTGCAAGGCGAAGAGTTCGAGGTGGGAGTTTCCGCCTCCTTCCGGGAACGCACGTTTCTGACCGTATATACCCACTAGGCATGGGTGCAGAAGTGCATGGAAGTCGCAACAGACGAACATGGTTGGATGATGTCCGACCACATTATAGGTGTAGTTTCCAAGACCGCTCGTGCTCTATAAATTATACACTACAGTGTTATCACATACAATACACCTTTGCCAAGCGCATCTAGTAGCCCCACAACAATGGTCCTGAAGTTACAGTTCACGCGGAAGTCACAGACAGCGCCGCCGCCGCCTCCAACGCCTGCTCAACATCTGCCACCAGGTCCTCCTCCTCTTCAACGCCCACGGACAGGCGCACCAAGTTGTCGCCAATCCCCAGCAGAGCGCGCTCCTCCGCCGGTATGCTCCCATGCGTCATCTGCGCCGGCAGCTCCGCCAAGCTCTCCACGCCCCCGAGCGACTCAGCGAGCGTAAACAGCCTCGTCGCCGTCAAGAACTTCTCCGCCTCCCGCGCCCCGCCCTTGATACGGAACGAGATCATGCCCCCATACGGGAACCCCCCAGCGGCGTCCCCATACTCCCGCACATACCGGTCCACAAACGCGCGCGCATGCGGCGCGAGCGAGCGGTACGCGAGGTCGTTGCGCGGGTGCCCCGCGAGCCCGGGGTAGATGACCTCCTCGACGTGCGGCGAGCGCAGCAGCGCGCGCGCGACCGCGAGCGCGTTCGCCCCGTGCGCCTTCATGCGCAGGTGCAGCGTCTTCGCGCCGCGCTGCGCGAGCCAGCAGTCGTACGCGCTGGGCACCGCCCCGATCGCGTTCTGGAGGAAGCGCAGCTTGTCCGCGAGCGCGGCGCGGTGCGCGGGGAGGATCAGCGCGCCCATGACGACGTCCGAGTGCCCGTTGACGTACTTGGTGAGCGAGTGGAGCACGATGTCCGCGCCCTGCAGGAGCGGGGACGCGTAGAAGGGCGAGAGGAAGGTGTTGTCGACGAGCACGAGCGGGGCGGAGGGCGCGGCGCGTGCGAGCGCGGCGATGCGCGGGATGTCGATCAGGCGCAGCGTCGGGTTCGTGGGGGACTCAATCCAGATGAGCTGTTGGGGGGCGGGTTAGTCAAGCGCGCGAGGGCGCGAGAAGGGGGCGGACACACTTTGGTGTTTGGCCGGAACGCGGCGCGGATGGTCTCGTCGTCCGCGCCCTCGAGGTCGACGAACGTAGTCTCCAGGCCCTGGTTCTCGGTCGCGACGCGGCGCATGTAGCGGAAGGTGCCGCCGTACACGTCGTTCACGCTGACGATGTGCGCGTTCGGCCCGAGCGACTGCAGGACCGTCGCGGTGGTCGCGGACCCGGATGCGAACGCGAGCGCGTGCGCGCCGCCGGATTCCAGGGCGGCGAGCGTCGTCTCGAATGCATTGCGGTTCGGGTTTCCGGATCGCGAGTACTCGAAGCCCTGCGGCGCACGTCACTCAGCGTCTGCTATATTTGTGCTGCTATTTTGCGGGCGTACCTTGTGAATCCCGACGCCGTTCTGCTTGTATGTGGTGCTGAGCGAGATGGGCGGGATGACCGCGCCCGTCTCCTCGTTCGCCTCCGAGCCTGCGTGGATCGCGCGCGTCCCGAAGCCGTCTAAGGAGCCCTTCTTGGCCGGGTGCACGCCGTTCGCGCCATTGGCGTGTCCGTTCGCGGTCGATGTTGATCCGTTCAGTGCGGGCGTCATCGCGGCGCGTCTAGATCTATGCGTATCGAACTCGGAGGTGGGTGTGGGAGGCGGTCGGAGGCAAGGTGTGTGGTACAGGCTGGGAGACGTCGCGCGGATTATATAGATGAGGGGCCGGGGGCGCAGGAAACGGTGGCGGCAGCATGACGAGATCGACGACAAACTGACGAGGAAACAGAGGCTGACCAAGCCGCCCGCGCGTGCGGCTCGCTCCCGGCCTCGACGCGGACGTCTCGCACCTGTCCATCCCGCCATGCTGGGCACCGCGCGTCGACCCCCGCCCACCCGGATCCTGGCTGGTCATTACATTCGCCGTCCCGGCATTGGCTCGCTACCGCGTCTGTGCGTGTGCTCACGAAGGCAGCGCGTGGTCATCTGGCGTACGGTCAGGTTCTGCTCCTGCGCACCTGCTTGGCGACAGTGCACGATGCCAGGAAGGCACGCAATAACCGCGATCGCGTTGGTGGTCCCGCTTTCGAGGCCTCGGAGCTTGTGGATATCTGCTTTCCGGCGTGTATGTACACACGCTGCGCACCCCGGCTTCGAATGTCTCCGCTCTCTCGGGACGCTCGGGCCCTCCTGGTAAGCACGCCATGGGTGCTATCTTGTGCTCTAATGTAATGATCATATAGGTACGGATCTTAAGGCCCTCTATCGCTCGAGGAACCCTACTCTCTTCTATAATCGAAAAACACCCACTCTGTCTTGTGCTCGTCTGCTCTGACTCGTGCCGTAGGTGCTGTTCTGGTCGCTCGGTATCTTCATTGTACAACGCGCATGAAACACACAACAACTACAGTATCATACAACAGTCCGCGTTCCTCCTGACAAAACTTGGTTCTCGTTCTTCCTCAGGCCTCAACTCGCACTCCCCACGCAGGTGCAGCACTGACGCCAGCTTATGACGACGACTTCTTGCCTGCCTTCTTCGCGGCCACGCGCGCACGGCTGATCTGCTTCTTCCAGCCGTAGCACTGGTTGCAAGCTGCATATAAGCCGCCGATCAGGTGAGTACCAGGTCTTGCTCACACGACAGGACGAGCACGTACAGGGAGAACCATGCTTCTTGCACTGGTACTGGCCGTCCTTGTTCTGGCTCGAGGTCGGGGCCTCGATGCCCTCGCGCTCGATGGGGTCGAACTGCACGGGATCGCCGTGGTCAGTCCACGGGACGAAGACGAGCGCAGCAGCTCGGACGTACCCCGAAGAACGTGTCGTTCTCCTCCCGGCCGTCGTACGAGCACGTTGCGCACTGCAGGGCTCTCAGCTGCCGCCCCGCAAGACGCTTACACCGGGCTGGGTACTCACGACCTCCTTGAGGTGTTGGCAGAAGTAAGCGTCGTTGATCTCGATGGGGGCGGGGGCAGCCTCGGCCATTGCGCAGTCGTATGTGGGCTATATGCGGGTGTATGCGATGCACGTCTAACGCGGGACGTCTACGACGAGAGGCAAAGCAGGCCGTGTATCGTGGTGGGTGGGAGAGAGAGGGAGAGGGGGCCCTGGAATGCGTTATATAGGGGCCCCCGGAACCTGGCGCGAAGGTGACGGCGGGGAGTTCCCTGTGTTCTGAATACGGTCGAGAGCGGCGGGCCAGATGACACGGTCACCAGGCTCCTCCCGTTCACAGGACCCAGCCTAATTCTCGTTCTCCGTAGGCCCTCCTATCACGTGCGGGCCTTCTCTATTCACTTGCGCTGCTCTTACAGCTCTAATACCCTCCTTGAAGCGTCCCAAGCTACAAGTAACGACCCCTTACGTCGGCTTCAACCCGGCGCGCCGCCCTCTGCTTCTCTTCCTCGGTCCTAGGGTGCGTTCTCACCGCACTGCTGCGCTATCGACACAGCTCTCCGTCGCCATATGAGGCCCGCTCTACGCGTCGACCAGGTGCGAGAACGCCCCTCCAAACTCGAGCGCGCCGCACGCGACCCCATCCGCATTTTGCCCCAATACCGCCTCCTCAACCAACTCCCAGCTCGCCCACGGCCACGCGCGCGTCCACGCCTCTACGCGCACCGTCGCCCGAAAGCTCTCATACCCATAGTCCAGCGCGTGCCCGTCCTTCAGCGGCGCCGTCACGCCCACAAAGCTCTCCGTCGGCGCCGCGATGCGCACCCTCAGCCGCCTCGTCCACGACGCGACGTCCAGCTCGACCTCCCCAGCCCGACTATCATGCCTCGCCCACATAAAAGGCGACAGCCACCCAAGCCCGAGCGCAAACGGCGGCCGGAAGTCCCAGTCCGCGCACCTGGGCGAGCGGTACCCGACGAGGTACGCCTGCAGCGGCACCCCGGGCAGCGCGGCCCCCCCAGCGAGGCACAGCGCGCGCGCCCCATCCGCGTCCGCCCCAAACGCCTGCGCCCACACCCAGCCCGCAGGGAACGCCGTGCCCCAGTTCTTCTCCGGGTGCGCGCGCCCGGTCCCGCTGATCGTCTGGGTCTGGGAGGGGGAGTCCCCATGTGCGAGCGTGTACGCGGCGGCGCTGCGCGTGGAGCGCACGTGCCAGCAGAGCGGGAGGAGGCGCGAGAGGGGGAGGAGGAGCGCGCCCATGGGCCCGGCGAGCGGGGCCGCGCGCGCCCAGGCGGTGTGCGCGGTGAGAAGGAGGTGCAGGCGGAGGGCGTGGGCGGGCACGGTGATGTCGTATTCGATCGTCGTTGGGCTTACTTTCATGGCGCCGATGCCGGGGGCGGTGATGGTGAAGGTCTGCGGCTGGCCGGGGGTGTGCGCCCCGACGAGCACGTCGAGGGTGTCTGGGAAGAACTGGTACTTGAATGCGGGTATGGAGGGCGGTTTTCCATCGGGTCTTTGGGGCGGGGGTGAGTAGAGGACGAGGACGAGGTTGGGGCGGTGCTTGGCGCGCTTGATCCAGCAGAAGATGACTGCGATCGTCGCGCCGTCTTCTGTCTCCGTGCGGGTGTAGTACCCCTCGAACTTCCGCGAAGAGTGGGGCGCGAAGTGGTCTTGACCAAACATGAGTGCAAGCGGGGGTGTGTAGGTCGGCCCGATGGAGTTGGGAGATTTAGCGAGTGGCGGAGCTGTGGTGAGGTGAGTAGACTGCTGAGACTATCGTGTGATGCATATATGCCCGACCTACCTATTCTAAACGCTCTCGTATAATAAAACAGTAACGTTTAACCACTTCTCGTAGCGTCTATGATGGTGAAAACCGTAAAAGCGTAGTGGTAGATGAAGAAGAGGGTTTACTATGGGCGCTTTCCGTAGATCAACCTAGTATGACGCAATGACGCCCGCGCCCGCGCCCAGGAAGTTCTGCCAAACTCTATTCACCCGCAGGATCCGCACCTCATAAGGACCCTCAAATTGCGAAGGATATTGCCTGCAGTAATTGAGCAGACGAGGGTGAATCATTCAGGTGCGGGTTCATCGCGAAAGTGGCACATTCCCGTGGTGCACATAACTCGAGCTCGTGCAATCAGCGTCGTCTTACTAGAACATATCCTACCTTTGGGCTCACTCACATACTCGGAAAGGTGTGAACTTGCGTGCATTTATACGAAGGCATATTGTCCGAGGTGATTTTACATCAATTATACAGCAGCAGCGCTGTCTTCCAAGTTGCCGTTGTGAGAGGTTCGATCATGGACTTATTAGCAAAGTTACACGAAGGCTGGCGATGCGTCCTCGACTCCTCGTCAACAATGGGCGATTCCAGGTGCAGCTCAGGTACCCTGTAAAACCATCGGCATGGTCGACACCGCAATAGGCCGCAAGACGAGACTCCTACGTGGTCTCCGAGTATTGGTATGGGCATTCAAGCAAATTATATACACCACGGTGAACGCGAAGAGGTCGTGCAGTGCATTGTCTGAGTACAGAGGAGGTACACCGTCTGTTGCTCGCGCGTTGATCATCAGGATCATTGTGGTCGTCATACAAGTCGTGCGCATCTATAAAATCGTTCAAGTGGTAAACCGGACATCCGTCCCATCACTTCCCCTCGTCGCTATCATATATCACTTGTGCGCTGACGGCTCTTCGTTCGTCACCCGTTTCCTGGGCGCGCGGTCGTGCCCCTGCAGGTCTGTGGTCGAGAGCGACATGACGTACGACTCCTCGGGGAAAGCCTCCTCGGCGTCGACGCGTCGCCGATGAGACCTGAGCGCGTCCCGGGAATGCCACGGGGTGCTTCAGTCCCGGCGGAAGCAGGAACACGAGACATGCTTGTCGCCTTGAAGCGCAGGGGTCAGAGAAAGCGATTACGCGGCGATAAAGATATTATGCACATCGAGTAATGTTATAGCGGCCTGTGCATGCAGCGTCAGCGAAGCGGTGGCACGCAGATGATGTTATAAATACTCACTCTAAGACCCGACAGCGTACCCCCTCAACGGCTGCAGCAGGGGACCGGACACAACACGGACTTCAGCGCCAGTCGTCGTCGTCCGCGATCGTGTCCAGCTCGAGGTCCATGTGGTACGTGCGCTGCGCGTCGCGCACGCCCGGCCCGAACGCGAGGCGGCTCTGGCGGAACTCGTCGTAGCTCATGTCCGTCAGCTTCGCGGCGACCTTGCGCAGGTTGAGGAGCACGCGGCTGCACATCGTGCTGTGGACCACCCGGAAGGGCCTGTCAGATACGAGATGCAACGTCAGATCTCCGTTCGCACAAGGATAAATCTGGGCATGGCATACATCTGGATAACAGACGAGGCAGCTTTCTATGTGTGCGTCAGACGAGGATTCCCGCCGTGAGGGTGAGGACGTACGGGAGCGAGTAGCATGAAGCACAGGTTTGCGATTGAGAACATTAGCAATACGACGTAGTAGAGGGATCCTGCAAAGTCAGGATGAGTCCTCGAACAGTAAGGCGGACGCAGACATGTGCCGTACCGTCCCGGTACATGGTGTGCACCAGCGGCGACCGATGCTTCCGCTCCGCTGTCGTCCTAATCGTCAGCACAAGACACACTGTCGAGGAGGTGAGCAGACACTTACAAGGCGTCTGATACATCTTGTAGAATGTCAGCAACACCACGACTACATTGTGCGGTGTCAGCGCGCTGGAATATCAGCAAATAAATGCTGCGGACCAACTTACTGGTCTCCGATGCCATGAGGCAAGTGTACAGCACCCAGACCGGGCGCGCCTCCACGGTGGGCACACACCCGCCGATGAAGCGTAAGATCGCAGCGTCCGGGTCTATCAGAATGCCCAGCCGGTGAGCACTCGCCGCCTGCTCTAGAACTGCCGCAACTTACAGTCTATCTGCGAGAGAAACGAGTGACATATGACGATAGAGGGAATCTATCGACGCGCGTGGTTAGATGAAGTGACTTTCGGCTTCTGACGGCGTACGTGGACTTACAAGAATGCCCAGGCCAGCTGCGCCCATCAGGAGGATGACGAAGATTGAAAAGTTGTACAACGCCATTGTCCGCGCCATGATGATTGCTGACACCATTGTCAGTACACGCGCCGTAAGAAAAAAGATAGAAGGAACGCTGACCTTCCGAGGCAAGGGAGCCGAAGACGTAGGAGCCTGCGTCAACCGTCAGTCAGAGCGGCCGTCTACCTCGAAGAGCGTATAACCCGTTACCGGCTAGAATGTCGTACTGAATCTTGCATGACTGGCGACCATATCAGCGACAAGAAATTGTATGAATTACTGCTTGTGCAGCGTACCTGGGGATTCGTAGTGTAAAGTACCACTTCGAGGAGCTCAGCATGAACCAGTCATATTGAACGGGGGATGGTCACGTACGGGAAATATTCAGCGTTAGGTCGACCAGGGGAGTATACCGGTTGATGAAGAACACAGCCTTCATGAAGCTCCAGCGCGATGGCCAAATGTATTTGACCTAGGGGGTATGGCTGAATATACTGGTAGCGTTGCAACTAGCGCGCTACTTGCCTCGTCTGGGAGAGTCGAGGTCATCTCCAACCACTGGGGCAATAATTTGAGTCGTGTGGAGGCCATGTCGCATCAATGAAACTTACCAGAAGAGTGTATGACAGGACTGTGGTCAATAGCTCAGCTTCGTCCCACTACGACCAGACGCACACACTGCGACTCACCTCCGGAATACTGCCGATCACTGTCAGCAACGTGGATCTCATTTTCAAAATTTTCAAAGAGCGACGTACCTTCACCAGAGTCAACAACGTGAGGTTGGGAACGACATCCTCCAACACCCACGACATGCAGCGCAGCAACCCAGGGCTTTCTTGAGGTGGGCGAAGTACGAAACGACCCTCCTAAGACATTCACCTACGTATGCAGAGGAACGATGGGGAGCAGGGGGAGCGTCGCCGGGGACGTGTAGGCACTTACTTTTGTGTCACGGCATGCCGCTCGATACCCCACTCGGGCATGGCCATGGCAGGCGGCGCGGTCCTCTCAAATTAGCCGTCATACCCGCTGTACTCGGGAATCATGGTCCAGAAGCGCTTCCCTGAAGAGGTGACGGCACCGATTCCTCAAGCGCGCCAGGCGCTGATGGCGGTCGCCAGCAATGAATAATGCCCATTGAAAGGTACGCCGCTCCCTGCTGCTCCGCGGCGCACCTGAGCTGAGCGTCGCGGCATCGGCGCCGCATCGCAGTATCGGGATATCGGGGAGGGTGTGAGACATGCTGCTACTGAACATCCAAATATTGCCAGCCAGCGCGCTGCTCAACTGTGCCAGAGCTCGCATCGCTAGACGCAAGCGAGTGACGGCTCGCTAGCGATATCGCGCTGCCATTGAGTAGACCTGAATTAGAAGATTGTCGCGAGTATAACCACCGGCGCGCCCGTCCTAATGGGGAGTCCGCAGCCTGAGCGACGGAAGTAACCAGAATTGTAAAGGACAAGTCAGCGAGCGGCAGAATTAGTACAGTTGACGGTCGTTCAACACTGACTACTCACCTGGGTTGACCTGCCAGACTCCTAAAGGTATGGATGGATGAACGTGGCCCCACTCCGCGGTAGTCCTCGGAATGAGTAGCCTAGGGCCGACGTGCATGGCGCTAGTTAGCGCTAGTATTTGCTGACCACTATCGCAAATCCGGTATCGGGGTTGAGATGTTGAACGATTCTTCGTCATTTGTACTCGAGTCTTAAAGAGGCGCCCGTGATAATGGCGGAAGATAAGTACGGTGAGCAGACTCGGAGGTGCGATGATCATGCAATGGTGAAGTTCGCCGCAAAGTCTCGTAATGGCACGTGGCAATATCGGCCCGAGTACAGGGTGCCGGTGCCATCTAGTACTGTAGCTCTATTCCGACGATGTCTCTTGACCTTGACCTGCATTTCATGTAACTGGTGGACTATCGAAACTGAGGCGTATGATTGGCCTGGAGCAATCTGCATACCACAGTATGTTTGCGACTTCGAGACAACAGGGAAGGACATACTTATCGTAAGCCGAACTCTTCCGTAACACCTCCCCGAGAGCACGAAGGGCTCGAGAAGACCTAGATCACGGCAAACAACGTTAAAAGGCGGAGCAACGACCCTGCCAAGGGTATACACACGATCTCACTCAATCAGATATCACCAAATACTCTTTCCCAGGCTCCTCCAGGCCATAGTATTCCTTCGCAAACTCCTCGAGTGTGTGCTTTGGCAGGTCGGGGTATAGTTCGCGCGCGTCGAGATACCCCAGGGCTTTGGCGTTCTCGAGCGTGTTCTCGCCGAGGATGTGCATGCTGTACATGTACTCGCTCTGCGACTGCTTTGCATGCGCGGCGAAACTTGAAGGGTCCTTCTCGAGCTCGGCTTTGCCCTCTGCCGCGTACTTCAAGATGGCCTCCGCAGGTACCTTTGATCATCACCGTCAGCATAACGCCCCTCCGCTGAGAAGCACACGCAGCTCACGTTGAACCTCTTGGCTTTAAGCACCTCCGCCTCGCCCGACGCGCGTTCCCCAATTTCGTGCGCTTCGAGCTGCGTAACCTCGTCCTCCCATGCCAGTACCGCGTGACCGAGCGTGCGCGGGTCCGCGACGATGCGGGCAACAAACACGCCAATATCCCTCAGGTCCGTCACCAGCATCTTGTGGTCGCCGGAGCCGTACACCGCGTACGTCATTGCCTTCCAGTCGTCGCGCACCTTGCTGCGCGTGGGCAGCGGGAGGGTGATCTGCATCCACCAACCGACGTCAATGAAGGTATGCGGCACGCCGAGCTCTTTGATGAAGTCTCGGATGGCCAGTTTCTGTTGCGTCGCGGTGAGCGCCCCGACTAGCTCTCCACACATACGTTCGGAGGATGAGTTTACTGACCTCGTCAGTGAGTTCGCGCACGCCGCGCTTTCCCGGGGTGCCGAAATCGCAGGGCACGATGCGCTTGACACCGACCTCCTTCGCGGCGCGGATGAGATCCTTCTGCGCCAAAATGGACCACGCGACAACTGCGCTGATGACGACATCGACCCCAGCAAGGGCTTCCGTCAGCTTCGCGACGCCGTCTGTGAGGTCCCCAATGCGGATGTCGACGCCGGACGTGCGGAGTGCCTGCGTCGCAGGCTTGGACTGCGAGGCAGGGCGTACGAGTGCCGCGACACGCTATGAAAAAGCATGACTGTTAGATATGTTGGATCGTCGCACACGAGGAAGAAAGCAAGAGACGCACAAAGTTGCCAGAGGCGAGGAGACCCTTCACGATGCTACCGCCGGTAGCCCCTGTCGCGCCAACCACAAGCACAACAGGCAGTGCAGACTTGTCACTCGACATTGGTGTTACTTGGTTGTTGGTGTCCACTTGGTGAGTGTTGTCGATGCGATGTGTTAGCTTGGGGCTCTTTAGGAGGCTTCTCGAAGCGTTGCATAAATGCAAGTGCCTTAAAGCCGATCGGCATTCATCCCCGACAATATGGCTTTACCAACGATGCGTTTAAGGAAAAGCTGCGCTCGAGAGCTCTTACATAGTCGCGATGGTGTGCGCTGAGGTCCTGTGTAACAGTAGCGGATCATACCGATGTCGGAGTGACCCATTTCTACTCCTGCGTCATTTTCCGAAGTACCCCGTAATCAGACCTTAGACCGTGGAGTCTTGTCCTGGGGATGGTTATACAGCATCGCTCACGGAGTATCTCAACCTTGGAGCGCACCAGGCGGTCCTGCGGATGCCAATCGGTATTCACAGTGAATGTCAATCTTACGCACCTACTTTCTTTCTTCGCATTGCGCAGCGGCGAGTCGTGTTGTGCAGTTGTCCGCGTGGGACTCGGCTTCATTGCGTCATCCCAATCAAATGTTCACAAGCTTCTAGGTCAGGGAATTGTCCTGGTTGGGCCCGGGCAACCGGCGACTCAATAATACTCGACAAGCTTCTTGACGGTCTCCTTCTCATCTTTGCCCTGCATGAACATTTCCAGCGTCTGTCGCAGAGTTCAGTCGAATGAAGGAATGGTAGGGGCCACATCGCACTCACCTCGTTCACACCAATGTACGTACGTACAAAGTTTGCTCCCAAAACACCTTCTATCACCTCGTCAGCTACGAGCGCCTTGCGCGCATCCACAATGTTCGTCGGCAGCCGCAAGGGGTTCGTCATGCCCACCGCCACCTTTTCCTGCTCGGTCATCTCCCACATCGGCTTCGGGCAATCACCCATCGTCAACACCGCCCCGTCCAAAATCCCCTTCAGGCCGGCGCCAACAAGCGCTGCGATCGCGAGGTGCGGTGCCGCCGTCGCGTCCACGCACTTTACCTCGAAGTGGTGGTGGCCGCGCGGACCACACAGCCGCACGGGCGTCTCGCGGTTGTCTGTGCCCCACGCTGCATACGTGCCACCCGACCAGATCCCGTCGACCATACGTGCGTACGACGCAGCCGTGGGCAAGGTGAATGCGCATATGGCAGGCAGATGCGTCAGCACGCCCTGGAGGAAGGACCGCTCGACAGGCGTGAGCGTGGGCGCACGCGCGTCGTCGGCCGTGCGGGCCCGCGCGGGTGGGCCGTGCACGGACATGTGCGTGTGCGCGCCACTACCGCCTGTAGCAGGGGTAGGACGTGGGCGGGGACGCGGGCGTGCCAGGGGCGTTATTCAGTTGTGGCAGGTGGCACGGCAGGGAGGCGCAGACTCACACGAGTCGGTGTGAAGGCGCGGGGCAAAGGTGGCGCGTAGCCCGTGCTTGTTCGCGACGTTGTAGATCGTCTCGCGCGTGAAGACGAGCGTGTCCGCCGCCTCAAGGGGCGCCTGGGGGCCGGTGATCACCTCGTACTGGCGGGCGGGAGCAGAACACGCTTCAGCAAACTGATCGCCGGGGAACGAGAAGCGGGAAGTGCGGGAAGGCGGGGAAAGATGTAAAGCTCCCGCGCGGTTCGCTGCTCACCTGCCCTGGCGCCGCCTCGGCGTGGTACATCTGCAGTTCGACGCCGGCGGCGATGAGATCGCGGGCGATCTCCTCAAGGACCACCGTTTCGACACTACCCGTGCGTGTCTTCGCCGAGCAGGACCAACCCGCGTCGTTCAGGAAATCCAGCTCAGACGTGTCCGCGCGCATGAGGATGAACTCCGATTCGACACCGACGAGGAAGGATACCCCTGCCTTCTCCTGTGCCTCCCTAAACGTAATCAGCTTCTAGTCCCACCGTGCGTTGATAGAAGGGCCTTCTCTTACTGTACAAGCCGTGCAAGGAGTGTCCGCGGGCAGAGGTCGACGGCAAGCCTGCCCGTCTGCGGGTCTGGGGTCTTCTCCTGGAACCAGCCCATAACGGACGCGTGCCCTGGGGCGTATGTGCATACACGCCAGCTGCTGAGGTCCGGGACGTAAAGGTACTCGCCGACGGCGCCGAATCCGGGAGCATGCTGAAGCCCGACGAGGCCCAACACGATCTTGCCGATCTGAACGCCCCCACGCGAGCTTGGGTCAGAGAGGAGCGTGCGGAAGTAGCCAGCGGGCAGGATGCGATAGCGAATCGTGTTGATCAAGTCGACCCACTGCACGCGCACGAATTGCACGTCCGGCGTAAGCAACTCGTCGAGGCTCTTCGCCTTGGGAGATCCAGACTTAGAAGTGTATAGTACGCCGTATGGTTGGGCATTTCCGGTGTGCGATTGTGGCGATGTGGCCATTGTTGGAACGATGTGGCCGGAATGGGTTGACGTTCAAAAAAGAGACCTTCGGTATAGGCTTCGCGAGAGGGCGAGTGCTATAAGTGCTGTCAGAATTGAGGGTAGCTGCGCAATGAGTAGCGTTACACGGATACCTGCTGATGCCGGCTAATACCTGCCGTCGCAAGAAATACGCCTCGTGTTGCAAAGCTTCGGCGGGCTCCGAATCGTGCTTCGTATGTTCGACTAGGTGAAATTGTGCCTCAATGACGGGCTAAGTAGGAATAGCAAGGGCAGAGGCCTGTTCTTGTTGGTACTGTAGCAGCTGATTGAGACTTGTCCAACGTAGTAGTGAGCACAGGGATGCAGGAATCCATATCGTATCGTGTGCAGTGCGCAATACTATGATAGCGGCGATTACCTGATAGTCAGTAGTCAGTCAGTATCATCACTGATAGTGAATTTGTAGTACATCAGAAATCTCACCGACGTTTTATCGTCTGCCATGGTCACCGCGCTAGGCGAGCACCACAAACCGCTTCGAAATGACGTCGACGCTCGCAGCTGGGAAGTCTCAAGCTTAAGTGCTGGAAGCTCGGCCTACGTATGCGGTGACGGGTAAGACGTAAGTATCGCTACATGTAATATATAGCTGGTGTACAGATCGTCGTCTGAGCTTAGAATCTTTAGTTACCGGCGCTTGATCAAAACTTTGAAGCGCCTATTAAAATACCTCTTGAACTGACACCGAGAGTATACTGTACCTACGCCTTCGAAATTCGGGGCTGACGCAAGTCTCATCCGGGCTTTCCATGCCCTAGCGCAGAACACGAGGGTAGATCGGCCTTCATCACACAGGTGTGGTATGTCTCTGCGCCCATCACTATTGTTCCTCACGAGGCCAATTCAAAACAGCCACCGTGACCAACCTACTACCACTTGGACGAAGTGCCTGTACATAATTAGAGGCCCCCGTGAGTACGTGGCACAGCGCGCGAGCACGAAGCACTCACCGACCTAGAATGGCTCTCCTGAGCTGCTGACATCCAGTATAACCATATTTAACCGCCACTTGCCTGATGCTCGCACACACGAGCATCGATCCGGGGACACCATCGGGAAGCATGTCCGGTACGCGAAAAGCACCTCGCGAGGTACGTATGGACGTCCAGAGATTAGACAACGCTACGTCCATAGACGGCACTCACCCAGGCCAACAAGGACCCGGGTGGCACCGTGTGTTCGCGCACGACATTTACCGGAGACAAGTGACCCCTACCTTCCGTCACCCGCCGGAGTCGAACACGGCATTGACAGGGCCCTGGCGGTTAGCGCACCACAACCGTGCAGCCTTGAGGCGAGGAACGACTCCCGCTCGGTCCCCGCGGTCAGTCGACTCGTATAATAAAGCGAAAGAGGCAAGGGCCCTACTCCCTGCGCGACCGATAGCCGCCCCGCCGTCGAGATTGAATGTGGGCACGTCAGGCAGGCTGCGCAAGCGTCAAGATAGCCGGGGGATTCCCCGCACAATTTCATCATGCCTCGCCCGCGCGGGGTCAGCTGGTTCGCGGGCTGGACGCTGGACGGGCCCCTGGATGCTCGAGGGGGGCGCGTTTGGGGTACTGGGACCCATGGGCGCGGTCTGCTCTCGTTATTGCCTCGTCGAGCGGCCGGCGTAGGAGAACAGAACGCGGTTGGTGGCGCATCGATTCTGCTGCATCGTGCCGCCTGTGCAGCCGCTCGGGTCCGCAGAAGGCAGAAGGCAGCATCGACGCTCGCAATGGCAACGGCACGAACTCTCAGGCTCGACCCACCGCTCCAGCTGAGACCCGGCGAGATGAGCAGCGGGTGCAGTCGCGCCTCACCGACAGAAACTGTCAGCGACTTGGTAGGTCAGAATATCCAGGAAAAGGAGGGGCGTAGCCAGGGGTCCTGTTCGTGCTTACTAGCCGCACAAGGCAAGTTACGCCTGCGCAACACGGCGGCGAGCGGCGACCTGCGTGCTAGAGTTTTTGTCGCAGAGTTTGCGCTCAGCGAGCACTTGGCATGTGTCTTATCACGCGCAGTGGGTCTTGTTTAGGGCCGAACGGCGCGGGAGCGGTAGGGGATGGCCGGTGGATTTGTGGGCGTAACCGTCTTGTGCATGTGCACGAACGGAGGTCAGGGCGCACAATCGTTTTGGAGAGCAGACCAGAACACGCTGGGGGTTCAGATAGGTTTAGATGTGGGATGATGCGTGCCGGACCGAAGGGAGAGATGGAGGATGGGACGGCTGCGGTTCCACTAGGTGCCTCCAATGATCTGATGAGTTGAGGGCCCCGGGAGCGCTATTGCCCAAAAGCGTATTTCGATGCTGGCGTCGCGAACTCGAACTTGTGGGCGGCACTTGGGAGAATCGCTGTTCGATCGGTTGCGCGATCGGTTGATGGGAGGTGTGTACCCCGATTCACCTGCTGTTGCCAGCGCACACTCACTCGACGGGGTCGTTTGGGCAACGCCGCGCAGGGCAGCAGCAGTCAGAGGTGCGCTGGAGGTGCGGAACGCCCGTGGTGTGTTCCTTGGATGCTGACAGGGGGCGCCAGGCAGCGAGAGAGGGTTGGGCTGGCAGTGGGCACGGAAATGATATGATGATACAGGGCAGGCGCCTGTACAAAACGCAATCAGACCACAGCCGCACCCGACCGATCGTGCCCAGTGTGCCGGATCTGTGGCACTCATCTGGCGAGTTGAGTAAGACCCTCTAATACCCCGTGGGTGCTGGCAGAGAGGGGTGGGCGGAGTTTTACGGGGACCGGGCAGAGGGCGCGGGCGTGCAGCGAGCGTGCGCGGGGCGGGTGGGGACGACGAGGCGTTGAGTAGGACGAAGGAGAAAGCCCGGACACCAGGGGTGGGACATGAAGAGGTCGCGTATCGAGCCGGGCTCAAGAAGCAGGCTGGAAGCGAGGCGTGGGGACGACGGGCGAGCGCAGAGGGGGGGCCTTCTTCGTGACTGTCGACTCCTCCCGCCGTCGTCGCGTACGCCTCGCTCTCGCTCTCCCTCTCCGGGATGTCTGTTCCTGCGCTGGGGTCGATCTACCGGGCGGGGAAGGACCCCAAGATACTGGACTGCGACCATTTCTGCGAGGAAGTCGGGCCCGATCAGGCCTGCCAACGTCAACCGGATCCAGATGGTGCTCCTCCTGCTAATGCTATATTCACCCATGACCCCCGCCTTTCCAATAAGGGCCCCTGCCAGCCCAACCTCAGCCTCAATCTCCAGCTCGCGCACCATCTCCCTCCCCAGCCTGAGCTCCCCCACGCCTCGACGCCCCCCGCACCGACGGGCATCGTGAACGTCATCTACCTCCTCCATGCTACTCCCCGTACCACTCTAAAGATGCCCGTTAGCAGTGAGTCTACCCTCTCCGTGCCCTTCCACCCCCCAGCCCCTGTCCCCCTCACCCCGTCCGCCGCGCGTGCAGAACGTTCGCGCAACGTCGACCGTGTCTTCACCTTCGGCTCGCTCGAGCTACTGGGTCTCAACCGCGATGTCCTCAAAACCATCAGTGATTTCTGTCCCCCCGGTGACGCCCTCCAGCTCGCCATGACCTGCAAGGATGCGTATGAGCTTGCCATGCCCCGCGTCCTTGCCGACGTTTCCATCGGCGACCCCGGTTTCGACGACGGCCCCGACAGGCTGTCTAAATTCTGCCACTTCATGCTCGCAGATCCCCACCGCCGCATCAGACACCTCCGGGCCCTCCGCCTCCTCGAGGGCGCCTTCGCGCGCGTCCACTACGTGCGCAATAGGGAACGTCTCGAGGCAGACTTCTCGTCTGCAGAAGTTCTCGCAGACCTCCTTCGCCAGGCCGACAATCTCCGCGTAATCCACATCCGGGACGCCGAACCCCTCTTCCAATTTAACCCGGCCGTCTATGAGGCGCTCGCGCAGCTGTCGTCCCTGAAGGAGCTCTCGCTCTACTACATCGGGAACTCGACGCTCAAGGCGATATCGCAGCTGCGCAGCACGCCCGCGCTCATCGAAAACGGCCTGTGGAAGGATGGCCCACGGCCGCAGGGCGACATCACGCCATTCAGCAATTTCGTCGACTCGGTCAAGCACCTGAAGCTCTGGGAGTGCGGCTGCATGCTCGAGAGCATCGTCGACCGCCACGTCTGGCCGAACCTGCACACGCTGGATATCGGGGGCCGGATTGCCAAGCTGTCCGAGCTTGCGCACGCGTTTCCCAACCTCCGGCGGCTCACGTTCTACCTCGAATTCTCGGTGAAGCAGGAGACCGGGCCCGCTGCCTGCTGGCCTGAGCTAGACTATCTCGAGACGAGCGCGCCTATCCCGTCGTTCCCGTCACCCGCCCGGCGGCTGCAGCTGCAGTACCCGATCGGAGCGACGCCCGGGTCGCACAATTCATCGGACCTGAAGACGCTCCCGCTCATGGAGCACGCCAACCCGGTGGTGCTGTCAATCACAGTGTCGGAGGCCGTGCCGCTGACGATGCTCGAGCGCATGAAGGGCGCGATGCCGTCGCTGCGCTACCTCGAGCTCGTCTACACCGACGCGTGCGGGCGGTCAGGCGTGCGGTGGCCCGCGTTCCAGGAATGGGTGGTGCGTGCTCGTGTTTGTGGCGCGTGGGGGACGTCAGACAAACTCACCGGACTGAATACAGGGACGGAATATCTACATCCTCCGCACGACGGCGATCGTGGGCCTCTGCATCGGATACACGGGCGCCGACGACTCCGCCTCGGATTCCGAGACGCGTGCGGCGCGGTACCTGAGCCTCGCGCGCACGCTGACGCGGAACATCAAGTCCCTGCAGTACGTCGGCGTGGGCCTGCAGGACGACACGGGGGGCATGTACGCGCTCGACTGTACGTGGTTCCGGGTCGCCTCGCGCCCCGCGGACGTAGACGTGGTGCCGGTCCTGGAGACGCTGCCTGCGGTGGAGGGAGAGCGGGTGAGGGAGGCGCTGCAGCTCACCCCGCGGCCGACATGACGCACACCCACGGTCGGTGGAACGTCTGATTTTTCGTGCGGTGGCGGGGGCACAGACGCCATGGTGCGGTTTCCGTGACGGCGCAGCACTCCCGTCACCCACCTTCTTGTACGACTTGGCTGCCCGATATTTTTTGCGCTGTGTGCTTGACGCCTGGTGTTACGACAGAACGCTCGTCCGGTACAGTAGCACGTGTATGTCTCTCCCTTCGTTTCATTATGACCGCCACAACGATTGTCTGTCTTACCGTGTACATGTTTAGCTCTCTGGCCGTCTCACCCTGTACTTAACCTATGCTTGGAGGTCTCTTCTTAGTGGAAACGTAGCATCGTCGCACACATGGCGGGTTTGTGCTAAATACGTAGTGTACCGTAGTCGCTGGCTGGGTTCCCTCTCGATAGACGTTCGAATATGTGCTAGGATCTGCTTCTTGTCGCTGCGGCGAAACCTATACCTTTACCACTGTGGTTTCATAGTTCTGCTCTAGGTGCGCTCATCGGGTGTCCGCGAGGGTGTAGGCCGTGATTCTGTAGTCAACCTGAAAATATACTTGACTTGGTAAAGGCCAAGGGGCGACTTTGCGGTAGTTCGGGTGCGGTGGACTTTAGGGCCATTACGACGGAGCCTTCGCACGAGTCAAACTACTCAGCGACTTACCATAGTACTGGCCCGAACCACACGCCACATGGGAGTAGTTTCAAACGGTGGGACACAAGTTACATAAGTCCGAGAGTTGCAGGTCTGGATGCCCCCTAAAACCGAACAGTACTTGGAAGAGATACCAGACGAGTGAAAGGTACCAGATGTTGGATGATCCGCGAGTGAGTACTAGAGTCAGCTCGAGGACACGCAAGGATTTCGGACTCGGACTACCACGGCTACGACGCTATCGGGCGTGTGCACCATAGTACCTACCCTGTGCTCGACCGAAGTAACATCCATCAGTGTGTTCGTGCGCTCTCACGATGAGAATGATAAAACGGCGTTCACACCTGCATGGGAGGCACTTACTAAGTGTTGTCGCTAGCCAGTTGTGCCTGCAGATGGTATACAGCGGTAAACAAGCAATTCGTCCATCGATGGCATCGCCTGGAATAGGACAGGCGCATATATGGGCATATATGATTTCCCTTCGCTTGTATGCTCATATAACAGGCTTACCTTCCAGTATTTACTCCAAGGACGAGTCGTAAAGTGCATCGCATCTCGTCGCGGCCGGTCCTTGCGTTATAAACTAACAGAAAACCGCATGGTGAATGCCGAGACAGCGAGGCCTTCCATGCGGCGAAAACTTACACTTACTGTTACCATGACTGAGCGATGTACCAGTCACCGATACATCGTTCAGCCCATTTGATACTAGACGCCACTGCAATACTCAGAGGGTGGAGCGTCTCCCTACTCACGCGTCCATGAATTCTGCAGATGCACCCTTCTGATATTGGGCGAACGGCGAGGCCCGAACCTGTCCCAAGTTACATGTCACCGACAGAGGGACCTCACCGGGGCCGTCATGGTCGGAAAACAGAGGGCCTATGGATGAGCTCATAAGAGGTAGAGGAGGTTGGATTTGAGGTCGCCTCCGCCGAGGGTAGCTGACCGCTATATGCGCGAAATTTTGAGCCAAACGTAGAGATCGGTGTACTCACGAAATATGAGCTCGCTGCAGTCTACCGAGCGCGGAAAAAATCCGACAACGTCGACGAGATGGATGATTGCAACTTGAAGCCAGGACGGGGAACGAAGGGGGTGCGAGGTGAGAGGATTGGAGGGAGGCAGAAACTTGAGTGGATCCAATGCGAAGGCGCCGGGATCTCGCCTCTATGTACCAGGACGTGTGGTTTCGCGATCGTACTCGCGTCCTGGCACCAGTCTACGCTTCGACCTATGTTACAAAGATGTCAGAATATGCCCGAATCGGGATAGAAGAACGAGAACAAATGATAGAAGAAGCAAAACAGGCGATCAGCTCTCCGCGTGGCGCGTCGATCTCGGACGAATTCCTCGGGGTAAAGTATTCCGTCTGACGCGCCTTCAACTTACGCGCTTCGTCGCTCCACAACTACTGGTAGCGAGAGATACGTGCGGTCGACTGCTGCTGTCAAGGCCTCCGCGCAGTTTCATCTGTAATCATTGTGGGGCCGAGTACGGAAGGGCTGCTCGTGATGGGTGGCTCGGGCCGGGCGAAGTCGAGAAGCGAGAAAGAAAGAGACCGAATGAACGGACATGCCTGGAGCGCAAGAGGTTCTGCCCGGCGGATTCAGACATGTCGGCGAGAGGAGTTTCGTAGCACGATGCGCGTCGGGTCCGACGCGTCGCGCGATTGACATGCTTCGCGGGCGCTCGTGATCGTGCGGTGCCAATTTGGGATGCCGGAGGCCTGTCTTCACGTTGTTCCGGCTTCCTGCGAGCAAATGCTCTACAACAATCGTGCGTAAGTACTATACAATTCCATAGAACTCATCACTGAGTAGACATATATGCTGATACCATGTGCTCCAGGTCGGTGCAGATATTAATAAGGTGAATAGTATGGCTTAGCTTGCATTCGACGGTTCTAGAGCGGCTTCAAGCGCTCCAACACTAGAGCACTTATACTTGCTTCAGAAAAGAGCTAGTACAGATTAATAGACATTCACTCGAGATGTTGAGAAAGACGTTGAAGCGGGACTTACTAGTGTTTCGCCGCAAGCACTCCATGAGCGGAATAACATCCGATATGGGCACGCAGTATCTGTACCCAGTTTCACCTGTGTCCAGTGACAGCTGAGAAAGCTTATGAATACCCCAGTCTCAAACATTTACAGCGGAATACAGAGCCAACGTTTTTGACCTGTGCTTAGAAGTGATGTTGCCTCGTGATCCCAATATTCCCCTTCGCTGCTGTGGTAGCTGAGACCCCAGCATCCGGAAATCCATCCAATATATCCCACGGGCTGGGTAGAAGGAGCTGATATCAAAGACTGCTTTGAAAATGCGAAAGCTTCATCCAAGGCTTCATCATGGAGGTTTGTGCATGGCCTTCGCAAGTCAGCGCCTAATGGGCGCTTAAGAGCTCGCAGTGTTCTGATGCGGATCGTACCTGCCACTTGGTGCCCCGGGGTATGATGTGCATGTCGTAAAAGTATGTCTAGCAAAGGTTCCAGGCAAGCTCTCGACCTCAGCATGCTCGTGGTCAGCACACATGATGCGGAGGCAGGTGGAGTGCGCAAGGCGCTCCCGCGTGAGTGTTCGTCCATATCGGGAAGGTGCCACGTGGTCCGAGTCAGAAGTAGCCAAACATCAACCAAACAAAGCCCAATCCTGTAACCGTCCTCCTCGAGCTCGTCGTTGACGACGACGTGCACGATGCCTGCCCCCTTTTCCACCCCGCACGCCCCCGTGCCCCTCCCCGCACTTTACCTCTATCCTCTAAACGACACTTTCATCCCGAAACACATCTCTCTTGCCTCAAACCAGCGCGTCAAGATCGGCCGCCAGACGAACGCGAAGACCGTCCCCCAAGAGCGCAATGGCTACTTCGACTCCAAGGTTCTCAGCAGACAGCACGCAGAGGTGTGGGAGGACAGTGGGAAGGTGCGTCGTCGCTCCTGGGCTGGCTGCCCCAAGGCGGGAAAACGCGTCGGGGACTGACACGAACCACTTGTCTTTCTGGGTCACGTCGAGAAGATCTTCATTAAAGACGTGAAAAGCTCCAACGGCACTTTCATCAATGGCGAGCGGCTCAGCCCCGAGGGGCTTGAATCCGACCCATACGAGCTCAAGTCAGACGACGTCGTCGTACGTATCATCAATCACCGTTGACCCTGCGGGGCCCGCGTCTTTGTGTCTTACGCCGCCCTCCGCCCCTCAGGAATTTGGTATCGACATCGTTGGCGAGGACAACAAGACGATCGTGCACCACAAGGTCGCAGCGCGCGTCGTGTGCGTTTTCTCCGAGCTTGAGGCGCAGGCCGCACAACGCGCCGAACAGAACCCGCAGGGCTACCTGGGGCAGATGTCCAATCAGCCCGGCGCTGGAAATAGTGCATTCAACTTCGCCGGCAACGGCCAGGGTAGCTCAAATGGCCAGGCGGGCCCTCAGAGGCGACCGACGCTACAGCCGCAGGGGCTCGTCGGCATGGGCGGTATGGGTGGGAACGTGCGGGCACCAGGGAAGAGCGGTCTCACATTCGACCACATTTTGAGCCGACTGCAGGGAGAGCTCCAGAAGAGTAGGGAGACAGGTGCCGAGCTGCACTCGTTGAGCGGCGGACTCGCAGAGATTCATGACACGCTCGGTGGAAACCTTGTAGGTTCTCTCGATATATGCCGCTCGGGTGATGTACTGACAATGCCGTTTCTTAGCCACCCAATCTACCACCATATCCTTCGACGTTGCCGCCCGTCGTACCGCCACAACCTGGTCGGCCATCAGACGAGGCACAACACGAACCGCAGCGGGAGGCTTCGCCCGCCGTGTCTGAGCTACAAGCTCAGCTGCTGGAGACTCAGCGATCGTTGACAGATCATGTCGACAAAGTCCGTGCGCTCGAGGGCATGCTTGCAGAGCACGATGCGATCAAGCAGGAGGTCAACTCGCTTCGCGATGCGATGGAGGAGCGAAAGCGGGAGATGGAGTTGTTCCGGTTCGGCTCCCAGAGCGACAGGCGGCGCTCACACGACGACGATACCTCGGATGATGACGACGACGATGCGCGAAGCATTGCAACTGTCACTCCTCATGAGCTCGAGCCAGTCGATGAGGTTGATGAGGAACAGGTTGCCGCTGAGGAGGAGGAAGAGCGGCGAAGGCGGCGGGACGAACTCGGCCGACCTCGTACACCTGAGCCGACGGGTATGGGCCTCTCCGAGTACGAAGACGACCAGGAGCACGACCAGGACCGCTACCGTAAACGGCCTGTCGCCGACCTGCGCGCACGGTCCCGCTCGCCGCAGCCCACCGCGGCACCCGCCATTCCTGATGAGCTGACTGAGCGGCTAAACGCCCTCGCTAAGCAGCTTGAAATGGCACTCGAACTCTCACGCTCATTGGAGGCCCAACACGCTAGCGCACAGTCGACGATCTCCGCCCTCGAGGCCAAGGTCGTCTCGCTGGAGTCCCTCGTGCAGGATACACAACAGGAGGTACGGCTGCAAAGCAATGTCACCGAGCGTCTCGTGCATGAGACGGAGGCTGCGGCAGCTGCTCGCCAGGTGGAGTCCTCTGTTCCGGATGCGGCACTCGAGGCCGTGCGGGTACAGGAACGCGAGTCTCTTACGACGATGTTCACGGAGTGGAAGAAGAACGTCGAGGGCCGCTGGAGTAGCGTTCAGGAGGACTGGAACGAGGAGCGGGAACGCCTTCGTCGGGCAAAGGACGAATGGGAGAGCCGCATGCGTGCCGCGGAGGATACCATCACGAGCGCAGCGAACAAGGTCGAGTCAGGCCTGCTCTCACTTGCGTCCTTTCAGGCCCAACAGCAGCACGGCCTCATGAACGGGAACGCGAAGCCTCACTTGAGCGGTGGTCTGGTCACGCCTCCAAGCCCGAGGAGTCTGTCCGCGGAGTCAACGCGGCCACGATCGCGCCGAAAACGTGTCAGCACGTCAAGGGGACGGACTCGCTCGAGATCTCTCTCTCCTGGCCCTGCTGTTGATGAACCGGGACGTGTTGAACGTGACGGTGACAGCGAGGCATCCTACTCTGGCTCTGGACACCGGCGGCGATCACCATGGGCAGTCGACGACTCAAGCGACTCGGAGGGTCACCATCCCAGCGATCGGGAGCGGAACAGCGACGGCTCGACAAAGAGCAAGATGCCCTTCCCCATCACCCCCGAGTCTTCCGTTGTCAACCAGCCTATCTCGACAGCAGCTAGTGTCGTGTCTGGAGCCACAACAGACCCGCGCGCACACAAGCCTCCAAAGGATGGCGTAAGTTCCGCTGTCGCTCCCCATACCCCTCCCCCTAATCTTGCGCTCCAGTACCCCTACCACAACTTCTCTGCGGCGGTGGGTGTTGCGGTCCTGGCGGTGGCAGCAGCAGCAGTCGCATGGCGAGTGAAGCCGGAGTTGTCAATATAGACAGCAGCAGCGACCGAAGCAAAAACGGCTATGTACCCTCCTATGTAGGTGACGTCTATCGTCCATCCTCCCGGCGCGTCGCACCTCTCCCCCTCCGACCGCCCTCCCTCCGCCCCGCAATATCCCGGAATTCTCAGCCTTTCGCTTTCGCCGTCCTCTCTATGACGCGTCTTGCCTGGATACTTCCTCTCATCCTTCGTCCCCTTCCTCTCTCACCTGCCGCGCCTCGCGCCAGAGCCCGACCCTCCTTCAGCATTTCTACTATCGCCGCATACGCATATGTAAATAGCTTCTCTCCTCTCGTCGTCGTCTATGTCTCTCTTCGGTTCGTATTTAACGACCCCCTAATGACGACCTCTATATCTTATGATCTCCCCCGCATTAGATGAGGTGTGTCTGTCTGTGCGCACGACATGGCGCTTGCCGATGACTTATGGCTCGGCAATAAGATACCCTGAGCTATGACTGGAGGACTTGAATACAATCCCTCCTCTCACTGAACGCGAAACACGAGATATATCCGCGAAAACTAAAACCAGGGTGAGTGAAAAGAGCAAGTACACGGCGGTTCAACTTCAGAGGTGCCCAGTTGATGGATCACTAGCTGTCTCCTTTGCTCTTCCTCTTGTCCTTTTTCCGCTTGCGCTCCTGCTTCTCGTCCGCGTCCGCTGGTTCTAGCACCGGCGCCGCTAGTGCCTCAGCCTCCTTCCTCCTCCGCTTTTCCTCCTTCCGCCTCTTACGCTCCGCCTTCTCGTCCCCGTCGGCCGCCTCTAGTGCGGCGTCCGCGGCGTCCTCGTCCTCTGCCCCCGCCTTCGCTTTCCCTTTCTTGTCCTTCTTATCTTTCTTGGACTTCTTTTCCTTCCGCGTTTCCGGCGCGTCAACCTGGGCAGTCTCGACCTCCTCCGCGGATTGTACGGCGACAACCTCCGTTGTGACCGTAGCTGTGGTAGATGCCTTCGCGAACATCGCCGCGAACTGCATGCGCGACCCGCTCCCGATCCCGCCAAGCCCGCCACGCACTTCCTGCGCCTCCTCGACGGTGGTCTCCACGCGCAGGCGCGACGCGCCCAGCCCGATGCGCGGGCGGTCCGCGTAATCATCGAGCTCTTCCTCCCGCGGGGTCACGGGGGAGGCAGGGGTAGCCGCGCCCGAGGCCGCATTGCTCTTTGCGGCGAGCTTCTCCTTGAAGTAGTCCATGACGCTCTTGCTCGAGACGGTGAGCTCCTGCAACTTGAGCTCCTCCTTTGTCGGGCCGGGCGCGGGTGTGGGAGAGGCGGAGGTGCTGGGCCCGGGCTCGTAAGGTGTGGATGGGAAGGGCGTGGAAGAGAAGCCGGAGTAGGGCGTCGCGGAGCCGGATGCGGCGGCGGAGGGCGCAGTGCTGGGGTCGGGCGCAATACCGAGGATCTCGGCTATGGCGGAGGCGGACTTGGAGGCGAGGTTCTTGGACGCCATGTGCCTGGCGCGATGGGGGCGCGGTCTGTAGGGTTATCGGTTAGCAAAAGAAGGCAATAAAAGTTCCGGGGCAAGTAAGATAGAATCGCAGGCTGTGTGTGCCGTGCCTAGCAGATGCGGTGCGTATGCTTCGAGATGGGTTCAAGTTGAGCAAAGGACTCACGCTTTCGACTTCGTCGGGGCAGCGGCGGGATGCACAGCAGGCACGACGGCCGCCCTGCTCTGCGAGGTGGGGGCGGGTGTGCTCTCGCCTGAGCTTTCCTGCTTCTTCTTTTTCTTCTTGTCCTTCTTGCTTTCCTCTTCAGCGTCCGAGTGGTCTCCGGAGGACTTGCCCTTTCTGCGTTTCCTCTTTCGCTCCCCCCCGTCATCCTCTCTAGCTTCTTTCTTCCGCTTCTTCTTCGACTTTTTCTCGTCTCCGTCGGACGACGAGCCCTCCTCCGCCTCCTCCGTGTCCTGCATGGTGCCGGCACCCGCCCCAGGCCCGGCGCGCACGAAGCCGTCCACCTTCATCGCGACCTCTTCCTCCTCCTGCACCGTGCCGTTCGCAGCGTTCAGCCGCTTGAGCAAGTTCTCAAAATCCTTGTTCTGTTTCCACGCAAGGCCCTCCTGGCTGTTGCGGTGGTCCGCGCCGATGCCGAGCATGTCCAGCTTCTGCGTGACGGAGATCGCCTGCTTGCGGCCGTCTCCGTCTACACCGAGGCCCTGTGAGGAGTCCCAGCCGAACTTCGCGAGGTACGCGGCGCCGAACTTGTTTGCATCTGAAGACGGGAGTACAGGCACTGGTCAGGGAATTGAAAGCACGGCAGAGATCGCAAGGGGCGCACCGTTTGCCCAGTTCAGGTTGCGCGGGTCATTTGGAATGCGCTGCTTTGTTTTTCTGCCGGAGAGACCCATGCTGCTGAGTGCCGCGTTAGGAAAACGGAGGTGGCTCTGAGAACGTCGTGCGCAAGCAGCTGCACTTGCCGGTTCGAGCACTCGTATGGGCGCTAGCTGAATTTTGGTGTGACTATCTGCGTGACAGAGGTAACGCCTAGAAAGTTAGCGCTGGCGACATGCTCTATCGACCGACACTCATGTGCGCTGTTACTTGAACCGACTCGGACTTGTCTTCGTCTCTCCAACTTTCTCGTACTGTGTCTTTGTCTATCGGGCCTTTCGGGGCCCTTGTACTCCGCTGGAAGCTTTACTGTTGCCTAAGTTTGCGCGAATGTCTGTCAGGAATGCTGCTTACTAGGCTCGCGGGAGTTTTCCGCCACGATGGGGCTCCCTCACGGCACCAATGACGATTTGGTTCTTCCCTTGACCTCCTTTGTACCTCCTCTTCCTGCACATCCGCTATCTGCTCAATTGCCTCGATAACTGTCCAACTACCTCTGCCACTCCCCGAGCAGAACGTTCACGGCAGATTCAGAACCTCAACGTTCATCATGTCTTCGCTTTCTCGTCAAGATGCCGAATCCCAAGTGCGCTCCTGGGGCTTCTCTACTGTTTACACGTGGACGGATGGCCCGTGAGTACGCATACACCTGCCTTCCTGCGCCTCCCTTCGATTTCCACCCCTTTTTCGTGTTACTACCCCTCCCGACGCGGTGTGAACTCGAGAGCTTAACTTGAACTTTGCTTCTTCTGCCGCTTGCCGAACCGCAACTGCCGCACGACAACCTCTCGCGCCCCTCGCGCTTGCGTCTCGAACGCTTCGTGCCGCACCCATTGCTTGGACCGTACGGACTTCGGGATCTGGCTACCAGGGACGCCCACTACCCGCCACACCAGCACAGCGGCCTCACCACGCACCTCATCCTTTCGGGGGAGTTCACCGTCACCTACCCAACCGAAGATGCTGGGAAGAAGGAGACATTCGGACCTGGCGCGCGCATCGACGTTCCCGGTGGAAAGGTCCATGAGGTATGGATGGGACCGCACGGGTGCACGTACGTGATTGGGGAATAAGGAAACTCGCGGATGCGTTCGGAGCCTCGAGGCGTGCTTTACAGTCTTACAGTACGTTTTCTCTGCTCGGATCGGCGTTGTACGTGGATGACCGACGACAGCGTACGATTGGGCCGGACAAGTCTGATGCGGGGCGTGGATCGCCGAGCGGACAAACGCCTGGTGGCTCCGCTGTGTCGTACTCGGGCCTCGCCGTGCTTCGCGAGCCACTTACGCTGTCACTTCTGGAAGACACACGCTTTACGAGACACATCGGAGGAGAAAAAAAATCGCATGAATTCCCGAGCACCATGGAACCCCGCCAGACAAGCATACACCCGCGTGCCGCACGCCACGCGCCGGCGACCCCCACAAGCTCCGCGCAGCACGAATCGGAGCTCAGATGAACCACCAGACGGACTCGTTCTCGCCTTGCGCGCCGGCGAGCGTTTCGAAGCGCACGCGCCGGTCCCCCTTGAGCGCGGCCATTGACTGGGACGGGGTTGGGGGAGTCACGCGAACCTCGACCCCGCCCGCCCCGTCCGTGGCGATGATTACGTTCACGGACGACCCTTGGTTGACTTGCGGCGTCTGCAAGTCCGGGGAGCCGTCGATGCTGTCATCGGTGTCCGGGTCGCTGTCCTCCCCGTCGGACTTGGTCTTCTTCAGGATGCTCACGGGGAGTTCGCTGGAGGCGCGCGGTTTATCGGGCTGACCGCTCTCGAGGTCGGCAGCCTTCTGGCGGATCTCCATCTGCTTCTGGTGTGCACGCGCGAGGGCGGCGGGACGCGAGCGCCAGACGACGACCACGGTCGAGACGAGCATGGCGGTGAGTACGAGGAGCACGAGGATGAGGCCGACGATGATGCCTGCGAATGACGTCAGTATATGCCGTTGGGCGCGATCTGCGGAGGTAAAGAGGCGCACCTGGGGTGAGTCCGAGGTGATATTCGACCATCTTGAGGGCGTTTGCTGGGCCGAGGAAGGAGCGGAAGTGTTACGGAGGGGGTGCGGAGGTGGATCGGGAGCGGGAGAAGGATCCTATTCTCTGGCCCCGGTGCGCCGTCTTGTATTTTCTGCTCATCGCGGCTGACGGCGAGGTCAGAGGCTGGCAGGATGTCACTGGCAGCGAGCGCAGCGGCGGCTGACTGCGAGCATGTCCTCGCGATCGATCGTCGACGCGTCGCGTCACGCGTCTTGCACGTGATCGCCACCCACAAAGCCTCGTCGAATTTCGCTCGAATTTTACGACGGACAGCCCCTTGTCCGGACCAGTTAACCCACGGACAACCCCCATTTGACTTATCTGAGTCCACATGCCAACTCTCGTCCGTGTCGGATCTGATGTCGTCGTTGGGTGATACATGAACAAGTGCGCGCTATCACAGGCCCGAAACGCCTTACAGCAGCGTTTGTCGGGAGCCGGGCGAGGTGCGGTGCCGCTAGCCCTGCACCGTGCCTTGGATCATGTTCATCATCCCCTCACGACCCGCCCGCCGTTGTTACCATCGTCAAGCTCGATCTCATAAATCTCCTCGAGCCGGACCAACAGCGAGGACGGTTCCTGAACACTTATCGCTGCAGAACCGTGGCCCGATCCTCCCGCCGAGGAACGCGCACCGACGGCGCAGCTCCAGATCTTCCTCTCGCGCACCTGCGCGCGCCGTCCGGCATCCCGCGTTTGCACTTCGCGCCGACCCGTCTGCTGCCGTCTGGTTGTATGACTGTACATACAAGACGCCGTGTGCTGTCTGTCGCTTCCAATACGCCGATCTTCTATCCGGGCACGCCGGCAGAGCCCAGGCAGGAAGTCTACATGCGTGCTGGGGCGGAGCTGTCGTAACACACGAATGTCGCGCGAGAACGACGGCGACGTGTTGGGCGCGACAGGCCGCTGGCAGAAGCGGCGCAGCGAAATCCTGCTCATGTCCGCAGAGGTCCGCAGACGAACAAAGATTTTATCGCGAAGGCGGGCGTGTGCACAGGCCTGGATCTGCGATGGGCCTTGCGTTTCCGGCGGCCCGGCTCGCTCGTCATATGCATCCGAGCGTCCGAATTCGCTTGGGCGGGGTGGTGAACGTAGAGCCATGGTGGCGCGCGCCCCGGTGCCTCTCTTTGCCCCGGCTGCGATTAGCAGGAATTATGGTGAGTGGCGACTGCATTTCACGAGCCAGACAGTGTTGAGACACAGGACATGTCTTGCCCTGTCTTGCCGCCACCGGTGGACGCGTCACAGGCAATGCACAGACGTCAGTGATGGATTTGCGAGACGCGTGTGGGCTGGGGCGAGGGTGGGAGGATGAGCACGGATTCGAAGCCGGGCTGATGGAGACTGAATGGAACAAACTGGGGTGGGCTGATGGGAGCGGAGGAAGGTCAGCGGGCTCGCGCGAAGCCTTCCGGGCGGGCGGCTGCTGGCAGGGCGATACACGTGCGGGCGTGGGTGGGCGCGTTCTCTGCCACAACGAGGTCGCGCCCCGCAGCCCAGGAATTGCACGCAGAGATTAAGTGGCAGCCTTGAATTATTCCCGACAAAATGCGTTAACGCCTTCCCCGCCCGCCCTCAATTAGACACCGGCGTGGAACGCTCCCAGCCCGCTCGGGTCCTCTTCCTGCCTCCGCCCTTCAAGCAGGGTTCGCACTCACGCCCGTCCCCACCTACGTTCTCTGCCTCCCTCCGCCATCTCGCTCCTTTCTTCGTTCTCCGCCTGCCATCCTGCTCTAGGCTCCTCGGCCGTCCCTTATAAGCCGACCCGCCTGTGCAAGGCGAGGACACCCAGTGTCTGCAGCAGCCATGTCCACCGAGCCGCTCGCGACCATGGCAGAACATCTGTGAGTACCGCAGCCCGCCGAATAAGCTACCTCGTCGACAAGCGTGCAATCCGGGATCGACCTCTGGACGCTGCGCGCGGTATCCCCGTCCTAACTTAATCGCTGATGGCCCTCACTTTTTTCGCAGGTTGGCCGCCAAGATGTTCTCCCTAGCTTCGTGTGGTGCGTCTTCTTGCAGCGAGCGCGTCTTGAGCGATGCGCTCGCGACCGAGACATGTCCGAGTTGTGTGCTGACGGAGCGCGCGCTTTCGCTGTAGTCATGCTTTTCTACGACATTGCCATCACCTTTGGCGACGAGGTCGAAAAGATTTGGAAGCAGCGCTTCACCGGTGCCACTGTCCTTTGGTTTATGGTGAGTACAGTACCCGACGCGCGACTGCTGTGCCGAAGGCTAACAGCTCGATCGGCACTAGAACCGCTACCTCTCCCCCCTCGGGTACATCGTCATTATCGTTTGTACGTAACCGCGACGGGCGCGCGCCCTCGCTTCCGCCCTCCCCGCCGCCACTAACGTCGGTGCCTTGCGCCGCTTGCACAGCTTTCCACGATCCTTCATGGTCCAAAGCTACATGTCAACGTTACGTCCTGTATCCCGAAGCACTCAAGATCGTCACCTCTACAGCTATCGGACGTGCGTACCCCTCTGCGCGCGCGTGCCTATTGAACGCTGACAGACGGGTGCAGTCATCTTTATCCTACGATTATACTCTATCTATTCCAAGAGGAATCTCATCCTCTATGTCTTCGGGACGCTCCTCGTAACAGAGCTCGCTGTCAAGATCGTACGTTGTTCTCCCGACCTCGTGTTGCATTGCAACGGCACTGACCCTGCATTCACAACAGTGGGCATTCACGGACGGCACCATGCTGGTACTCCCACCAGGTATGGACCCACAGGCTGCTGTGCCTGCCCCTATCCTCTTCATTGCCACTCACGCTGCATTCCGTCGTCAGGGTTCGTCGGCTGCATACTCACCGGAAGATCGTCACCGTGAGTACCAGTCCCGCGGGCGCGGCATGGCGCGCCCCCGGCCCTCTCTCACCTCCCCTGCCATCGGCCCGTGCTGACTGCGCCCCTCTTCGTCCTCTCCCATGTAGTGGCGACCGTATCATATACACCTGGGTAGCGGAACTCGTCTTTGGTAACGTCGCGTGCGCTCCTTCGAGCGTTCACACGGAATTCTGACACGGTTCCTTCTTTGTTTTCCTCGGGCAGACTCGGTCGTCTTCTTCGCGACTCTGTACCGCACGATCCAGCTCTATCGGCGCACAGTCATCGGCGAGGCACAATCGCTCATCACGATCATCATGCGCGATGGTACGTACCCGCTTTGCTGCCACAGCGGCCGTCGTTGGAATGCGCCGGTGGGCGGGGGCACTGCGGCCGCTTTCTTAGAGCGAGCAAACGTTAATCGCGCTGATCCCCCGCAGGTATCATGTACTTCGCGGCGATCTTCGTCTCGAATCTCGTAACGGTCCTAATTTTCATCGTACGTCCGCACACGCCCCACCCTCTTGCCGCGCGCCCGAAACTGACAACTTCTTCGTGTAGTTCGCTACGGTGAGTAGCGGTCCTGAGACCGCGCGCGTGTTGGGACTGATGCGCGGCATACCGTGCTGACGCTTTTAGCAGCCAGACCTCAAGGTCATCAACGCCTCTTTTAGCACCTTGTGAGTATTCCTCCACTCTCCATGCATCCGTCGTACTATAGCCGCACAAACCACGTCACTGACACTTCCCTTGCATCTCCAGGATCACAAGCCTGATGGTCTCCCGGCTCATGCTCAACCTGCGCAAAGAGGTGCTCCGGCGCGGGCCCGTCATGTCCTCGCACGGCGGGCGCGGCTACGGCAACGGGCGCACCGGGTACGAGGAGTCGTACCAGCTCACGGCCGCGCACGAGATGTCCGCCGCGAAGACGTTCCAGTCGAGCATCATCGGGAACCTCGGCGCGCCGATCATCACGTTCGAGCGCACTGGCTACGAGGACGAGTACGGGCTGTACGACGAGGACGACGAGCGCTCGGACCACCACGGGCACCAGATGTCTGATATGCGGAATAGCGATGGTGATGAGGAGGGGCGCGGCGACCTCGCGAAGAAGCCGTCGCTCACGACGTCACTCACCGGCGGCAGCGGACCCCTCCCGAAAGTGTTCGGGGGCAAGCGCCGCCCGCGAACCCCCGGCGACCCGCCAGAACACACGCGCTCGCTCCCCGGGCAGCTCGTCGTGCAGATGACAGAAGAGGTCGTCGTCGTCACCGAGGCCGCCGACCCGACACATACCCCGCTCCCGCCCCCGCCGCGCGCCTCGCGCTTCCAAAGCCAAAGAAGCCCGCCCGCCTCGCCCTCCCCCCGCACGCCCACGACCCCGCGCACGCCGCAGACGCCCCCCGCCTCCTCCCCACATACCCCGCGCACGTCCGAGTCCGCGTACTCGCAGTCCCAGTCCCTGAGCGCCCCGCGCTCCGCATACCCCTCGCGCCCGCCGCAGTCGGCGGGCGCGGTATACCCGCCGGCGTCGCCGCATGCGCCGGATTCGCCGCTGAACCAGGGGTACGACGCGCGCCCGCTGAAGGCGTCGCGGTCTGCGCAGGCTACCACGACGGCGACGACGACGCGGCGCTCGTGGGCGGCCCCGCCGTCGTGGAAACTTAGTCTCGACCGGGAGCGGGAGCGGAAGGGGACGTCATAGCGTTGGGGTGTCGCTGTGGCGATGCCGCGCGCGGGACACGCGGAGTCGTGTGCAGCGTCTTTGGGGGGTGGTTACTCTTATTATTTGGGTGGAAGGGGTGGTTGTAGGAGAAGGTGATCATATACGGACTGCGTGTACTTCATGTAGCCATTACATGTACCTGCATTCCGCGTTGTCCATAGGTGTGAGATGTTTGAGCTGAGGCGGGATAAGTATTTGCACGTAACGGTACACGGTGTTGTCTAGTGCTTCCGAGGTTTACCTTACGATGCGTATAATGATGATACATTGGCAGCATGCGCCGAGTCGAAGGCTCCTATGTTTGTATATACAAGCTATGTCATATATTCCTGTTCCCCTTGTCTTTACCATGTCCTTTCGCTTATTCCGCATCGTCGTCCACCTCGACCCAGTTCCCGCGCGCGTCCAGCCGCACGTCGAAGTCCCACTTCTGGTCGTCCACCCAGTGGTCCTTGAGAAATGCGTCATACCACTTGATGTGGTACTCCCCATTCGCGTCCAGCTTGTAGCCCGCCACGCGAGGATCTGGCCCGAGGAACTCGTGCCTGACGGGTAGGGACGTTCGTGCGGGGCGAGGTCGCAAGTGAAGTCCGGGCGGGGAGCGATATTGCGGATGCGCAGAGTGCGAGGGCATAGCGAGACGAAGCGAGGCGAAAGCAAACATCAAAAGGGGAGCATAGTCGGCATACTTCGTGCGAGCAGCGCAGGTCCCGCGCGCATGCCGGGACTCAACGCGCTCAACGAAGCAAGCCCTCCAAGATACACAACAAGCACTGCTCACCTCTTCGCCAACACCGCCTCCCCCGCCACATAATTCGGCCACTCCTCCCTCGCCCTCTTCTCCCTCTCGCTCTCCCTCCCCTTCGCCCCCGCCTTCCGCACGCCCGCGCCCTCGCGCTCCGCGCCCATCACCTCCATATAGTGCCCGTGCACGAACTGGTTCAGGTCCGCCCCCGGGAAGACGGTGCGCACGTCCGCGCCGTGGCGCGCGCGGTACGTGCGCGGGAGGTGCACGCGCGTGCGCTCCCGCACGACGCGCTTCTCGAGCGGCCAGCGGTGGATGGACCAGGCGGTGACGCGGCGCACCCCGGAGATTTCTTTGAGGGCGTCGGCGCGCGTTTTGGGGGCCGGGGCGGGCTTGGTGGATTTGGTGTGTGTGAGTTGTGTGGGTGCTGGTGGGGGTGCGGGCGCGGGGGGGAGGACGGTGTCTTCGGGCTCGGGTTTCGGGACGACGGCCATGTTATTTTTGAGATCGGTGGACTTGAGCAGGGCGTAGATGTGTCGGGCGTCGTGCTTGGAGTCGAGCGGGTCGAGTGGGTGTGGTGGTGTGTCGGGCGAGCAAAAAATCTGCGTCGGGGATCGTCCCGATATGGCCACGTAGCTGCCATATCCGGCTCCGCTCCGATCACTTCCGCCGCCACCCCGCCTCCGAGAAACACGGATGGTCTGCACCCCGGGCAGTTGGATTCCCTAAGAACTGAGGATGGTTACTGCAGTGCGGATCGCGTTGAAGTATCACGTATATGCCAGAGTGGTGCGTGCATCGTGCTACGGCGCAGCGTGTGTGCGGCGAGGAGACAACGGGGACAGGGAAGTTGTTCACGGTCTGGCATCGGAGCGACTTGTGAAACGCCATGTATTTGTGTTGTTACCGGCGGCGTGTGATATTTTCGACGAAGATGAGAAGAGGATGTTGGATTGGTATGGAAGTGACATGAAATCATGATGTTGCGGTGCTACTGAGATGGGCGCACAGGGAGCCTCGGAAGCACGATAGGAGTGGTAGTCTCCGAACTGGTCGAGAGCGGCCGCGGCACGTCGCCCAAGATGTCGCAGCGAAAGAAGTGCATGCCGGGCAGACCAAGCGAGGAGTAACTCGGTATGGGCGAGGAAGACTTGCCTGCTCTCCGCCATATTATGCGGGGCTAGATAAGTAGGCGCCACAGGTACAGGGGCGGACTGTGGTCGCGACTCGCAGCTTCCCTCTCTTCCGCGATAAACTCCCGGGGCCTGCCGCTCCGGCAAGATAAGTTGGGTGCCAAGAGAATGCGGGGGTGTTGGTCAGAAACGTCGTCTGACGTCGCCTGGGGGGTTTATTACCGAGACGCTGCGGTGGGGCTATCTTAGTAGGGGCGCGTGCCTCGAAAGGGGATCGTTTTCTCTTGGCCTTGCTCTCTTCTCATGCGTGGGGGCTGTTATGAACTTCGCCGAGGTGCGGTGGCGTCTAAGGTTGCGGAAGCAGGTGAAAACAGCGTGGTCGAGAGAGAGAGAAGGCGGGGAGCAGCGCATGCTGGCGGCGGACGGAGGATTGCTGGCACGAGTCGGCATTCATGCGAGCGGAGGCCAGGCACGGAGCTGTCACGCCTGTGCGAGAGCGATACGGCAGGGGGCCGAAAGCAGCGACAGACGAAAAGCATCGCGGGCGGGAGGCGGGGGCGCAGGATGACATTTGTGTGTATCGTTGCCGACGTGCGCCGCCAGGAGGATGAGAGAGGAGGAGGAGGAGTGGCGGCCGACGGTTCACGCTATCATATACGCACTCGGAACGGAGAGAGGAAGACGGGGAAAAGCATCAGGCACCGGGCGCGCTCCTTATCAGGCAATGCAAGTTGGTAGATCGGGCTGTTGCGATCGCATCCTTATCGCACAGCTTCCCCGCTAAACAGGCGCTGCCACAACTTCATCCACGCACCCACAGATAAGTCCTGCTCCGCCGCTGTCGCTGCACCCCCCCGCTCGACACCTGGGGTCACCGGGGAGGTCGGCGCAGACGGGTGCGGGCAGTGCGTTGCCACCGCGCAACAGCAGGAAGAGTTAGAGTTGGACGGACGGGCTTGGCTGGTGGGGCGCGGACATGGGCAAGATCTGGGAGGCCGATGGGCAAGCGAGGGCGATAAACTGGCGTGCTGTGATTGGGCGATAAGGAGGGTGCGCCTCCCCGCGCTGTCAGGAGAGGCGCAAACAGAGTGCTGGGCCTGCGCCGGGGCGTCTGCTGCGTCCGACCACGGCCCAATACATATATCATACTATGCCGTCCCTTATCGCCCTGCCCTTCTTGCTAGCCGCCCCATTCCGTCCTTCGACAGAAGCCTCCTCCTTCCTGCCGTCTTCGTCCTCGCCGACACCGACGTGCACCCGCCCCCCGCCCCGACAGACCGACTCAATAGCGACACCCCCCGCGAAGAGTAGCCATGGTCAACATCACCTACGATGCCTGTGAGTACCCGAACCCGCCTACGCGTCGCTTGCGCAGTCCCTAACCGTCAATTTGCCGTTCAGCGGGCTCCATTAACTGGTTTGACCCCGACTCGGGCGAGGTCGTGGTCTACAACCCCGGAGACATGGCTTGGGTGCTCGCCTCCACCGCCTTGGTATGGCTCATGATTCCTGGTGTCGGCTTTTTCTACTCCGGTCTTCTGCGGAGGAAGAATGCGCTCTCCATGATCTGGGCATCCATGATGACTCTCGCAGTCGTATCTTTCCAAGTACGTCTCTATCTATTCTTTTGCAGGCTCGATTCTTACAAGTCTCTGCACAGTGGTTCTTCTGGGGGTGAGCAACTCGACGGCCCAGGTCCGAGGCATCGAAATTGATCGTATGATTTTTCAGTTTCTCGCTAGCTTTCAGTGAAACGGGCAGTGCATACATTGGAGATCTCAGTAAGCAAGCTTGGCTCTACGGCGGGAAACGTGATGTCTGATATGCCGCCCCACGTAGAATACTTCGGTCTCAAGGGCGTTCTCGAGAAGCCCTCCATCGGTAGCGCCAAGGTTCCCTCACTCATTTACTGTGTCTTCCAGCTCATGTTCGCGGCCATCACGTACGTTGCATATTCTCTGCGCACCACGGTCATCAGCTAATTCGACAACCAGGCCCATGCTCGCCATCGGCGCTATTGCTGAACGCGGCCGGCTAGGCCCCACCATGGTCTTCGTCTTCATCTGGTCAACAATCGTCTACGACCCCATCGCGTGCTGGACCTGGAACAGCAACGGCTGGTCCTTCGTCCTCGGCGGCCTCGACTTTGCGGGTGGAACGCCCGTCCACATCTCCTCTGGTACCGCCGCGCTCGCCATCTCCGTCTTCCTCGGCAAGCGCCGCGGGTACGGGACCGAGCGCCTCGCGTACAAGCCGCACAACACGACCTACGTCGTGCTCGGCACGGTCTTCCTCTGGTTCGGCTGGTTCGGGTTCAACGGCGGCTCTGCGCTCGCGGCGAACCTCCGCGCGGTGCAGGCGTGCATTGTTACCAACCTCGCGGCGAGCGTTGGCGGTCTTACCTGGATGCTCTGGGATTACCGTCTCGAGCGCAAGTGGTCCGCAGTCGGCTTCTGCTCTGGTGCGATTGCCGGCCTCGTCGCTATCACCCCTGCCTCTGGTTACGTCGGCTCGCGTGCGTACTATCTTTTCCTCCATAGCATACATATACTGATCTTATATTTAATTACAGCCGCTGCCGTCTTGTTTGGTGTTATGGCTGGTAGCTTGTGCAACTTTGCCACGCAGCTTAAGTTCGTCTTCGGCTACGACGATTGCCTCGATGTGCGTCTTCTACGATTTGCTCCTTCTGCAGATGATTGACCTTGCCAAAATCCGCAGATCTTCGCGTCGCACGCTATTGGCGGTTTGATCGGCAACATCCTTACCGGCCTCTTTGCGCAGTCGAGTGTCGCGAGCTTCGACGGCTCCGCGCCCATCGCTGGAGGCTGGCTCGACCACCACTACATCCAGCTCGGCTACCAGATCGCTGACTCCGTCGCCGGCATGAGCTACTCCTTCGTCATGACCGTACGTCCCCCCTTCCCTTTCCCCTCTTTTCAATAGATAACTAACACCCCGTCTTGCGCGCATAGACGATCATCCTGTGGATCATGCACTTCATCCCGGGCCTGAGCCTGCGCGCGACGGAGGAGGCGGAGATCCTCGGCATCGACGACGCGGAGATGGGCGAGTTCGCGTACGACTACGTCGGCATCGACCTCGGCGCGTCCGGCCACGACTTCCACGACGACACGCACTCGCACGGCGCGCTCCCCGCGACGACCGGCGGGCGCGAGCCGCACCACATGCACTCCGCGCCGCACGTGAGCAAGAACCACGACGGGAGCAGCGTCGCCGGCTCGGACGTCGAGAAGCGCGAGGCCGCGGTCGCATAGGCCCGCCCGCTCTGGTTGACTCGCGTTTCGCTCGGGTGATGTTGGTACTGGATCCTGCCGTGTCCAGCCTCGAAGTATAATATACGTAGTGCACGTTCATTGTCTTTCTATTCGCTATTTCTGCGTCGCCCACCCGCTGCGCGCGCTTTCCTCGAGCGAGGCGGTGGGATGTGTTGGCGGGTGACGCGTGCGCTGACGCCGCGCGTGCACATCACTAGTCGTAGACAGCTATTCCGCTTACTTGCCTCTGTTTTTTGTCTGTTTTCATTGTTGTGGGGGATGTACTGTAGGAAGTATACTCGACGAATGTCAGTCGCAACTTGAAACAGGGAAGTATGCGCGCGGTACTGGGATCGTTAAGGTGTGTATGTTGAGATTGCGTCGAATTACCCCATGCGTGGCCAGATACCTTCACGTGCTTTGCGACTTTGTCGCGAATCTCTATACTGGGATACCGGCACTGCGACACCCATGTACGAGACAAACAGTTCGTTCTAATTTTCTTTCTGCGTTCTGGCGACAAGTCTCTCGGTCCTTTTGTCTCGGACCACTTCCTTCTACTTCAAATTCCCGCGAGAAAAGGCGGGGTAGTGTCAGTACTAGTGTCGGCGCACCCGGCACATAACTCGACGGGGCCGCTGCGGTTCTGCGGATGACAGGTCGACAATGGTGGAATGTGTTGATCCACTCATCTCCCCCATACAAGGAGCTGACACTTTCGGGAATCGGAACTGGCCTTGGAGGAACGCAGATACTCCCGCGACGTCGGGTGCTGCGCGCGACCTCGCAACAGCCGTCCAATTCTGACATGCCCAGCCGCGATGACTTTGGCGACCCGTCCACTCTCGCTTGGGTCTGCCTTCTGACGGCCCCAAACATAGACCACCTGTGCGAGCTGCACGGACATTAAGCAGGGCACGGACTGGCGGTGGACGTCCAGCGTTCAGTAGCAGCATGCAGATCTGAGACCTCCTACGCACCTCGCTTCCGAGGCCGTCGCGATACTCTAGACCGCCCTACAGTCAATAGCCCGCGACCGCCATCAGAGCCTGGTGCAGCTTAGACAACTAAGACATCCGTCCAGGCTACTGATTGCCGACTCGGAGCCCCGCGGGAATGAACGACCCTGCGTCTTCGGGCGGGTGTTGTCCGCAAGCCATGACAAAAGGTGGTCAGCCCCATGTAGCACCAGCGATACCTTGCCTTCTGCGCTCTCTGTCGACGTCCATCTGCATGCTATAGGAGGCCCGTTCTGCCACATTCGCACATCCCCCCAAGAAGACTTGGGCCGTTGCGTTGTATGTCGTGGGTGTTGCAGAATGTCGTGCACAACCTCACATTGTTGGACCTAGAGAAGGTACGCTGTTCTTCCACTGTTCGAGACCCGAGATCCACGTTGCTTATAACGTGGATAATTTACAGTATTCCGGGGGTGAGTTGTACCTGTCTCAAGTTTTCGCGGGCCGAGGCTAATATGTATCATGATTGACCGTGAATACAGTCATGTCATACACTCTTCTGGTGGGCTTCTAGATGCACGACGTTTGCTCCACGCTATGAATCTAAGCTTCCCATCTATCAGTGGCTGGAACAATTATCGACGTTCGAGGATGAGGCAAGTATTTCGCTTGTTGCAATACCGCTCAAGTTATCTAACATCTGTCTATGCCGGCACACAGGTCAGGTACATTTGGCCGTCGCGTTGGAGCCTGATGAAGACCGTGTTCTTAATCAATCGATATTCTCCTATGATCGATGCCACGTTAAATATCTCTAGTGCGTGAGCTAGTACCCCCATGCAAGTTCGAGCCCTGCTCAACGCTTTACAGTGAACCTGTACACTACAAATCCAAAGGTACGCCCCTCTGGATGTGTACGGATATCTTGGAAGCTGACGTGACTAGTCTTGCAAAATACAGACCGAAATTTTCTCCGGTAATGTCCTTTTTGTCTCTCGGGATGACCGGCCGCTCTGACCATCTTGTGGTGCACAACGCAGGCACCTATGTCATTGGATCCTTTGCCTCGGAAGGTCGGTGTTCCTTATACCCTTACCCCCACTGCTACTATATCTGAAGTTGCGCCAGCGATCATCATGGCGCGAACGCTAGCATTGTACGATTTTTCATATTTCGTCGTTTTTGCAATGAGCGCAACTGGCCTCGGCATCGTTGTGAGTTCCGATACACTGTCCGAGGTTGTCAATGATCACTTCATATGAATCGGTGCGTCGATAGATTCCCTCTATCATCATATGCTACTCGTTCCTCACGAAGATTACCTGTAAGTAACGATATTACCTTGGGGGAGCTTGCTCATTCACGGCACTTTGTGGCAGACCCGGACGCTGCAATTCTACACCTCATCGGCGGGTGCATACCCACTGTAGAGGACCGGCCGGTTTGGGTGTTGTATATGTGTCTGATAATATCGGAGACGGGTGAGTCCGAGTCTGCCCCGTCTGTACGCCGCCGAGCGCTCACATCGCGGACCAAGTCGTTGTACTGCTGACTTTTTATAAGATGTGGCAGACTCACGGTGTGTATTTGCTTAACTCTCAAGCGACGTGTCTTGTATTGATGATGAATACGACAGTGGACAAAACTCATCGGTCTCCGCTGGTGCACACCATGTACCGCGATGGTATGCTGTATACCCTCGTCCGAGACATCCGAGCGCTCAATCGAATTTCGCAGGAGCCCTCTACTACATACTCCTACTAGCGGTCTCGGTCCTAAACCTATGCTTCATGCTACTTGCACCGGTAAGTCCTCCGACTTCTGCATGCGCCGGGTCCACGTCTGACCTACGACCAGCAAGCAGCCTCGGGCCTTATACAAATGTACGTCTTACACCTGTATACTCGCTCGCTACTCCACGCATATCTAATATTGCGTCTTGCGCGGCCCAGGCCCTTCCGAATCATCCACAGCGCTCTATGCAGCCGCGTCCTTCTCAACCTGCGCAAGGTCGCTGCGAAGCTGACGGACATGAGCATCGAAGACTTTCGCCAGAGCCGTATCGCGTTTGGACCGGGCATTCTCGACCGCCAACATTCGTCCTACCTGATGGATCTTGAGCTGGATACGCTTGAGGACTACAGGTGATGTGTCTGGAGCGCCCGCTGAAAAGATATGCCTTCGAGCCCTTAAGTGCGTCCTTTTGATGTCGCCGGCGCGCCACGGCTCTGCTGACGCTGCTTGCACAGGAGGTCGCAACATTGGCCGACGTGCATAATATATATATATCGTCATCCAATGCCTTGCCTTAGGCCTTCGTCAAACTCTCTGCTCGAGGTCGGCGGTTACACCGCGTGGGCGATCGCCGCGTTCAAAGAATGAGTACATTCTATGGCGACTTGAACAGTCTGTTTGTCATCCATGGCGTTTGTAGACCCCGTCGTCTCCGACGGTGCCAGACCTGCGTGTCCCAGGGTCGTCTGGGGGCCGTTGAACCACTGTGCGCCTCTGTACACGGGGAAGTAGTAGTATACGAGACACAGTGCGATCCATCCCCCGAAGACGACGATCATGTAGTTCATCTCGTTCGCCGTCGGTCCGGGCGCAGTGGGGAATGCCAGCATGACTACCGAGAAGATCATCCAGCACACCGCAACGACGGCCACTGGAAGACCCTGCACACGCACCATTGCAGATACACCGTGAGTGCAAACAGACTGTGGGTCAAAGTACGCACGAATCGGCCTAACGTGAATGGACCTGGTACCCACTCTCGCCCTCCGAGAAACCGGCTGAGGATTGGAATGCAATACGCGGTGTACTGCCCTGCAATGCCGAGGCTGAAAATCGACGTGTATGCGGTAGGGCCAGCAAAGACGAGGAGTCCGAGCAGAAGAGCGACGAGTGCGGAGGCCCACACCGCATTGACTGGGGTGAGCGTACGCTTGTTAACACGGCTTATGAACCGGGAGAATGGGAGCGCGCCATCCCGCGCGAAGGCGAAGGTTTGTCTCGACGCGGCGGTTAGCTGTCTCAGGTTGTCAGTTTTCGATATCATCCCTGAACTCAAGACTTTGATACTCACAAGGCTTGATGCCGCCATAAACCTTGGTGTCAACTGGCTCAGCTACTGAACGATGTGGCACATTGGCGGAATGCTCACTGGGCAACGACGACGAAAGACCAGATGGCGAGGCTTCCGTTGCGTCCGAGACTGTTGAAGAGAATCTATTGCAAGGGTTTAGAGAGATGTACGCGACACCACCGGGATACGGAGGGTGCTTACAGTTGCCATAGGCTGGCCGATAGGGCTTCCCAAGATCGAACCTAAGTCGGTGCCCATGCAGAATGCGATCACAACATTGAGCACTGGTATGTCAATCAGTCTCTGCCTACCGTGACAGCGTCTTGAAACACTCTAATGACGTACCCCATCCTAGAACGCCGGCAATGCTGACCGTGCTAACGATTGCCCATGGCACCACAACGCGGGCATTTGAGGCCTCCTCGCTTATGTGTATAGAAGAATCGAAGCCACCTAGGATGAGCACATACAGGAATAAGCGTGTGAGTCTTGCAAGGGCGAGAGGTGGGTGATTCACCAATCGTCCAGAGGGGAGCTAGAAAGCTTAGCACAAAGGCGAACCCGTTCGGCCACCCATAGACTGTGAAAGAAATATGAGGACCGATAGTCCTATGTCGCCTGATGTGAACTGACAATTTGTGAAACCTCCGAAGACGTTGGAAGCGGTATTTCTAAGCTCTCTCGGTGTCGCAGTAGGCAAAGCGATAATGATCGCGAGATATAACCTGAACGGAAAGTGTCAATAACTGCTAAGTATACAAAACCCTAAAGTGTTTGGAGGCATGACGTACAGACCATTCAGGGCTATGTAAACACCCTGCAATCTTGCAAGAGCAGACGTTGCAAGAGACGCGAGCATTGCATGGCAGAGAAGCAGTCCTACAAAGACACCACTGAACAACCGATTAGCGACCGCCAGCCTTCATACGGTTCTCAAGACCAGGCAAACTCACTATGTTTGGCCTATCGTAGGAGTGAAACCCTCACCGCGACCAAGCGAAACTGCTGCCATCAGCTGCACCGCGCAGCCCCAGTCGACGGATGCAACGCCAGAGATAAGCCCAATGGAGTTCGAGTCTGTTCGCTACAGCGGTCAGTCCGAACACGTTGGAGAAGAAACACCAGAACACTCACATCCAACAATCCATGACAAGACATTTCGCCACCTCGGAGTCGCGAACGTCCAGGTCCAGTAGTACAGCCCTCCGGAAGTCGGCATGGCGGAGCCGAGCTCCGCGAGGGGAGGGCGACGAACATGAGGAATGCGGAGCACACTGCCCACCTGACGGCCTATGTTCAGTAAAGTTGTCCATCATGTAATACAGCGTCGCACTCACACCCCACACCATCGCAACGGGTCCTCCATTCGGAAGTGAGAACACCACAACCGACCTCCGAGTGTGTCGATAAGATTCATGAGGAGCACAGCGAAACACTTACGATATCCCGGGAACTAGCCCAATGATGCTGAACCCGAGACCAAAGACTTCCACGGGTTTGAATGCTCGTCGGAACTCCTGCTTGTACCCGAGCTTCGCAAGAGCCGCCTCGTCACTCACGAGGACTTCCAGGTCGGACACATCTTCGGATTTGTCTCCTGCTACTCGTTTTGAAGCGTCCATTTGCGGAGATGGTTCGATGTCATATTGACTGGAATTCGAAGGCATCGCGTCGGCTGAGAGTCAAGGGCGAACACCAGGATCCCGAGAATCGATCAACGGCCGCCCTATAAGCTTCTGACTGCCAGTAGCAAGTTAACGCCGGTCTCCCACGCATCAGGTTGGTTATGCGGACATAGTAGAGGTCCGCATGCTCCTAGCGCAGTTTTAGACCTATAGCTTCCGTCAGTTAGTAACCAAAAGCCAAAGTCAACCAGAGTGCTCCGTGAGTGGTCGGGATTTTTGTCAGCCGTTATGTGCGCGTGCGCGATGCGGCGAGAAATCGTAAGCTTGTACGGCGGGTGGAGGACTTGTGACTACCCAACTGCGGCGATAGCGATGCCGAGCGGAAGGGGGAGATTGAAGGCATTTTCTGCAGTAGCGCAACGCTTGGCACCTTCGATGGCCGTGCTAATGCTATATTGTGGACAGAACGGTGACACGGGAAACAATGCTACGACTGAAGAACGTTAACACGGCGCCGCGCAGGACATGATATGCGACGTACTCACAAACTGCCGGTTGACCCAACCCGCTCAAGCCTTGATCTTCTCATCGGAACCCGTCGACTGGCTAGCTTCCTCGACCTCAACCTTTCCCTCCGGTTCGATCACCAGGCCCGCGCCAGCCGCCTCTTCGAGGGTGATTTGTGGGCCGTTAAACCAGCACGCACCGCCGTATACCGGCAGATGATAGTACACGAGACACAGTGCGATCCATCCGCCGAACACGACGATCATGTAGTTCATGCCGTCCGCTGTTGGCCCCGGTGCTGTAGGGAATGCGAGAATGATGACGGAGAAGGCCATCCACGTCACCGCAATGACCGCAACGGGGAGCCCCTACGACCACCACGCGTTAATCAGCCAAAGCGTGCCTACGTAGTTTGCGGGGGCTCAATTTGAACGGTACGTACGAATCGCCCCAGATTGAACGGTCCAGGACTCCAATGTCTCCCGCCAAGAAAGCGGCTCGCGATGGGAATGCTGAACGCCGTATATTGCCCTGCGATCGCTAAGCTGAAGATCGCAGAGTTCGCGGTCGGGCCTGCGAATGCGAGCAGGCCGAGGATGAGCGCGACGAACGCGGAGGCCCAGACGGCGTTCACGGGCGTCTGCGTGCGCTTGTTGACCCTCTTGATGAGATGCGAGAGAGGCAGCCCGCGGTCGCGCGCGAAAGCGAAGGTCTGGCGGGATGCCGCTGTAAGCTTTACGGAATGTTAGCGAGTGCAACAATACCAAAACGAGGCCGCGCTCACGATGCTTGAGCCCATGAGAAACCTGTGCATTTATGTAAGTAGACATAAGCCCATGGTGTCTGAGGAATCACTTACTGGACGAAGACAACAATGGACCAAATCGCCAGCGTACCGCTACGCCCGAAACTGTTGAATAGAATCTGCGCTGCCGGGCTGAGACATCAAGGACGAGCGAAAACGAGAGCGTCGACGTACGGTAGCCATCGGCTGTCCTATGGGGTTCTCCATAATGCTCTCCAAATCCGTGCCCATGCAGAACGCGATAACAACGTTGATGGCTTTCCGAAGCACTCCTTAAGTGAACAAGTCCAGAGTTTGTGGCAGGCGAATATCACTCACCCCAGCCAAGTATGCCGGCGATACCTACCGCACTGATGATCGCCCATGGAACGGCGGTGCGGGCGTTGGAGGCCTCCTCGCTGATATGAACGGATGCATCAAATCCGCCTGTATCGTGCACACATTTCAGAAGCGGGGAAAATAGGACGCCGAGAGCATCACGCACCGATAGTCCACAAGGGTGCAAGGAAGCTAAGCACGAAAGCGAAGCCGTTTGGCCAACCGTTGACTAGTGATAATAAGTGTGTTAGGGCATGTTCGTCTGTTTCCGTTCCGCTACTCACAATTTGCGAACCCGCCAAAGGCGTAGGAAGCCGAGTTCTTGAACTCATGAGGAGTAGCTATAGGCAGTGCGACAATGATTGCGAAGCAAAGCCTGTTCAGGTATACGCGAGGTCACAAATAAGTCTCCGGTCGGCTTAATGCCCGCAAAGAGTAAGGCTTACTGACAGGATATTGAGAACGACATAGATTCCCTGGAGCCGAGCGATCACTGACGTCGCAAGAGAAGCAACCACGCCGTGACAGATTAGCAGCGCCACGTATACGGCACTGTGATGTGCACGTCCCGTAAGTGCCACCCAAACAACGCACAGCGTGATTGCTGCAGACTCACAACGTCTGCCCCGTAGTGGGAATGAAGCTTTCATTCGTGCCTATAGACACAGCGGCCATGAGTTGCACCGCGCAACCCCAATCGATAGAAGCGAGTCCGGCTATGAGCCCCATTGAATTCGAATCTGGGGGTGGTGGTTGAGCATATGTTCGAAGGCCAGACAGAACGACGAAACTCACACCCAACAACCCACGAGAGCACTTTACGCCATTTCGGGGTGGCAAAGCACCACGTCCAGTAGTACAGGCCACCAGAAGTCGGCGCTGACGACCCCAACTCGGCTAGAGCAAGACCCACAAACATGAGGAAGAACGAGCACAGTGCCCACTGCGCAACACGTCAGAAGATCTCCTCAGAACCAATATGAGGATAGCTTGCTCACTCCCCACACTAAGGCCACGGGTCCACCGTTGGGAATAGCGAAGACTAAGACAGACCTACGCTAGTGGTGAGAAGGTCATGCACGATCGAAACCAACGTGCACCTACGCGATGGATGGGAACAACCCGATAATGCTGAAGCCGAGCCCGAAGACCTCGATAGGATTGAACGCCCGTTTGAACTCCTGCTTGTACCCGAGAGCTGCCAACGCCGCATTGTCGCTCGTTAGACTGTCTCCGTCGGTGGAATGGCGTTCATTTCCGGCAACTTCGGTGACATGAACCGTAGATGGTGTCGTATGTTCTTTCCCAGTGAGAAGAGACATTGTCATGAGCGCAAAGCGACAGTTCTCGTGGGGACGTCGCCGTCTTATCTCAAGCTCGACGAGCTATAGTGGAGCGGGTTGGAGGTCAATAGACTGATAGACCATTCCCACGATGAAGCTCGTTCTGCGCATAAACGTGTCGTGGAGATAGCGGCATAGCGCTAGCGTACGTCGTACACCTTACACTGCGCAGGCGTACGGTACCTAGATAAAGCCATACATATCAGTAGATTGCTCGTATATACTCGGGAGAAGTTACGTACCGTGATCCAAACGGGAGTGCTTTTCCGGTACTTGTAGTATACCGCTCACACCGCAGCTGGCCATACGTCAGGTGAGCATTATCACGGGTTTTCTGAGTTCGGTATGCGTCCGAGCAGTAGGATTAGTCTCAAACGTTTAAACTCGCGTCAGCATGGTTGACCGCATCGTCTTCGCATGAAGGTAGCAGACGTTGTGCTGTCAGAATCGTGCTCTAGGCTGGAAAACGGTGATCGTCCAAGTACGCTTGCAGTCGATGTCAGCGGCACTAGAATTAGAGAGCATAGGCTATAACGAAAAGTTTAAGCGACGACTTGAAAAGACGGGTGGTGGTTCTACTCACCGTGCCAAGGCGCTTAGTACCGGTGCATGTTCTGAACGTGTCCGTGTGAAGGTCTGATCCGGATTTAGAAGGCGTACTAGTTCGCCGTGCCGAGCCTCCAGCCCGAGTCGCCGCCGGGTGCTCACCGAGCAAGGCTCGCCCGAGAGCTTTTCCCTCGTACTAAATTATCGCCTACCGCCACCACGGATAGGAGGGCCCACATAGCGTAAATGCGCGACGGCACGCCGGCTGCGGGAGCAACCAGAACGCACTTGCTGCTGATAAGCGCGTTCCGTAGAAGGCACTTGGATTCCGTGGCTTATCAGCCAGGACCACCAACGGCGTCCCAGCCTCGGGGTCGTGTGATCCCTCACTTACGGCCCTCCTACTCATTTGCGGGGTCGACATGGACACGAACTAAGAGACGGCGAGCATATGGCTATTCTCGCCTCGAAAGGTGTTCTCGGACACTCTCCTTGGGGACGGTTGGGCGCAACGGGCGAACGAACACTACGTCGTCCAAATCAGCACGCTTCCTCTCTTCCACCGCCACCATCTCTGTAGCAGGGGCCCACTACCCAACGGACCAGAAAGGCCCAAGAGAACTCGGAACCCAGCTCGGCAAGCGAACGAGCGTATGCACGACGTCGCGGATCCCCAACTCGCCTGCGGATTTCCGAGCAGCCCGGGCATTCCTAATACGATCGAGATGGCATCTCGCGCACTAGCAGCAAATGCAGCACGATACCGGCCGGCATATGCACCTGCACCTCCAACCCGCCCGAGGGCCCTGGAGAAATCAGACGGGACGCGCCTTATCAACCCCGCGCACGGGCTCAGGCCTGGACACCGCCACCAGTGCTGCCCCCGGCGTACCACGACGACCGCCACGCGCCGCTCCTACTGGCTCAGGGCTCGCCGCCTCTATCGCGACGCCCGACGCCCTGGTCCCTTCTGCGCGCTGCCCGATCAGGGGGAGGGGAGGGCGCAAAGGGGGTCGGAAGGCCACCGCGCGCAGGGCACAGGCCGTTCGGCGTTTCCGAGACTGCTGCGCGACGCAGAGCCAGCGCAAGGGACGCGCATCCGCATCCACCGACCTGTCACCGGCATGCCTGGAAAGATCGATCACGCAAATTTTGGATGCACACAGGGCTGGAACGGTTATAAGAAGAGTGACATTGAATTGGGGGAGGGCCTCCGGAGTCCTCCAGCGTCGTTGGTGTTGTGTGTGTGTCGGGCCCCCGCCTCTGCGCGGGCGGGGGGGTGGGTGGGGTGGCTACGTTGTACTGTACACGGTGCATTGTGGTTTCGTCCGTCAGGTGAGTGGTGGTTATGTCTTGTTTTCTGAGTCTTGTGCTCGTCTCTCGTCTCGTCCTGTCTCATCCCGTCTTCCTTCGTGGCGTGCGCGGTGTCACGCACTTACGCAACGCCGCCGTCCAAGTCCTGGCGCGGATCCAACGCACACAGCATCGGTGCTCTGGTGGGGCCTCCGACCAGTCCGGGCGTGCCAGCCGCGACGTCGGACGGAAGCTTGAGCTTTGCAGCCAGTGCTCCTGTGCACACGGCAGATGGCGATGGAGCGCATGCGGCGACACCTGCAGAGAAGAACACGATCAGCGCGCTGCTCACAACCCGGCGGCAAGATAAGCAAGAAGGCGAATGGGGCAGCGTAGGTAACAGACGCAGGGGTGCAAAGAGGCGCGTGATTGACACTGGAAAGGAAGAGCAGAAGCAGGGAGAGAAAGAGAAGCAGGAATAGTACGCATCGGTGCCAATCCGCCGCACCCGACTAGCTGCCCGTGCCCACCCCCACCGGTGCCCACACGCGCCCCCCGGCTCGCGTCGTCGCTGCCCACAGTCTGGGCCGTAGGCTGGGAACGACGGCGCACGCCGAGGGTCGAGGGAGCGAGCGGGTGGCCCCCAGGCTTGAGATAGAACCGGGGCGGCACCGACGTGGGAGCCCCACATCGTCCCCCGAACCTGTGCTCCTCCGTCCCCGGAGCGGAGAGTTCAGGTCTCGGCGTTTGGTGGCAGGCGGCAACTGGGCAGGTGTGCAGTACTGTGTGGCAGGCCTCGACGTGACGTAACCATGTCCGTATGTAGTATCAAAGAACCAGATGCGGGCGTGCAGCCCTGCGATACGCGACAACGAGTGTGTGGGGGAATAGGCTCGAAGGAACGACAACGTCGAAAAGGGGCAGCGCGGTAGCGTGATGTACGCCGGGCCCGGGCACCAGAAGCAGCGATAAGGGCGAAGGAAGGGGGAGCAGACGTCCATCCGTCCGTCTGACTGTCGAGGATGCGATGATACACGTAGGAACGTAGGCGTGGCAGGTGTAGGTGGCAGGTGGCAGGGTAGTACAGTGCGGCAGGCGGAATACACACACACTCCCGGTGCTGCGTGCGGATCTCGGCGGGGCGAAGCTGATACCGAGGGAAGCAGATGCGCGCGCGGGGTGGAGATGTGGGGAAGCGCGAAGTGGTGGGAGGCCGCTGATAGACGTGGGGGTGCCGGGAACGGGCGTGGCGGGAACGGGCATGTGGGGTGCATACAATTTGGGCGATCGGGAAGGGCCATAGTGTAAACCGGGGGGAACCAGAGAGCAGGGAGCACAGGGAGAGCGAGACATCCGGAACAATGAATGATGAAGCGAATAAAGAAATAATGAAAAGGAGTGAATGCGGCAGAGGCCGGAAACAGAGAACGGCGGGGGCTAGTCAAATTCAAGGAAAGACACATACTCTGAGTCCTCATCTACTGTTGGTAGCGTTTGCGCCGAGTTCATGGAGTGTTGAGATCGCGGAGAGCGCGTCTTCGCGTTCCTATACGCCGAGGGGTCGGATGCGACGAGTGTGCTGAGTGGTGACCCAGACGCTCGACGCGCAACGGGGCTCGGTGGTGATCGAGACCCGACAGAGCTCGACGAGCTCATATCACAGTCCGTGCACGGACACGCGCTGTGATGTATCACGAGGGATATTGGAACGGGAGGAGGTGGAAGGAGAGAGATTGTCGAGACAGACGAGTTCGAGGCGGTGGGGGTGAGCGGAGCAAACTGAAGCGCAGAGGTGGCGGGAGAGATGGGGTCGTTGTAGCTGGGGTCATAGTGGGAGTGGGGATGGGAGGCGACGCTGGAGGATGAGCTGGAGGCCTGCAGGATATGTGCGGATGGCTGGCGCGAACGTCTCCGGAACAGACGTTTGCGCTGCGACGATGGTCCTGCACGCCTCGCGGCCAGTCATTCGTGCACACGGGATGCTGAACCGGGGCCGCCTGCTGCCGCCGCGGGCCCTGCGAGAGGCTCGCCGTCCTCGGAGAGCGCAGTCATGTTCGGAGCCCCTGCCTCATCGTGGTGCTGGTGCAGGATAACCTTGTTGAGCATGCGTGCGAGGCTGTTGCCGCGGTCCTTGGAGCCTGACGGCCCACGGCTCGCACTGCGGCTGCGGTTCTGGTCTGGGCCACGAGAAGCAGAGCGCGAGCGAAGGATGTTACCCGCGCCGCCGCGCCCGGTCGCCTCGTAGTCGTGTGCGTGAGGGGAGGAGGGTTCCGGAGGAGGACTGGGGAGGGATGTGAGGTTCGCACGTCCGCCACGGCCAGTAGAGTGACTACATGAGGACGTCAGCGAGCTCGTCGCAGGGAGAGAGGAAAAGGTTGCGCACATTCCACCCTCATGCGCGTATCGGAGACGCTCTTCATCTTCGAGCTGAGCGAGGTGTTCGGCGTCCACGTTCTCTCCCGGCTGCAAATTGCCTGCACCGCCGCGGCCTGTAGATAAAATCTGGGACGTCTTCGGGGCACGCGAGCGCGAGCGCGACTTCGAGTCAGACTTGATGTTCCCCAAGCCCCCTCGTCCGGACGAACGCTGCAGCACCATTGTTTAGGATATAAAATAAATCATGCGAGAGACAAAAACTCACCGCGCGCGCCTTAGTGGCCTCCGCGTTCTGCTGGATGACATACTTCTCGTACTCCGCGAGGTTGGCGGCCTGGTCGGAGACAAGCGAGTTGGTCTGGGTGAGGTTCTCGGGGATCTTGGAGGCGGAGCGTGCGCGCGAGCCTGATCGGATGTTGCCCATGCCGCCGCGACCGGTGTAGATCGCCTGCAGCGGATATTATGAGACAGGAAGGGATCGCGGGGGCAGGTACTCACCCGGTCGGGGTCTACGGTGGCCTCGCGTCCGCGCACTGGGGACATCGGTTCTCCGTTTGGCCGCGATGGACTGTCGGTGTCGATGGATGGCCTGTGCATGTTTCCGATGCCTCCTCTGCCGGACGACTGTGCATGCTATGGGGTAAGTAGCAGTCCGCGCGAAGCTGTAAAATCACATACGAAGGCTTCGCGGCCGCGCGAGACGGACCTGGTGTCCGATGGGGAGGATGGGGAGGAGGGTGTAACGGATCGCTCAGAGTCTGCCATGGTGAATGAGTATTCGGGATGGCGGGAGGAGGAGAAGAGGCAAAGAGAGAATAAATTGGCGCGCGGTGGACTAGTGGCGGTGGGGTGTTCCTGACCGCCGCGAGCTGCTCCCGCCCACCGATACACCGATGCTCACCCAGAGGCTTGGATCGCCTACTAGCACTGGCAGTGGAGATAAGAAGATAGCCTTTGGGAGTGCCGTACAGAACGACCGAGCGAGGGCTTATCTCCTTATCTCCCCAGCCTCGCTCGTCGACAACGAGGCTACTCACCTTCTCTCTTCTCTCCCACCACCTTCCCCCTTCCTCGCGCAGGCCAGCTCTTCAGCGACGACACGTCCTCCCCCGCGAGCGTCGACTCCTCGTCCTTTGTCGACTCCTCGCCCGTCGACAGGATCCTCTGGATCTTAGCGCCTAGCGCGCCTTTCCACGACGGCCGCCTGCTTGGCGACACCGCCGTATCCTGGCTATCCATTCTCTTCAATTTCGTTAGCAGCTTGGGCAGGTCGTTATGCTCGCTCTCCGTGCGCGGGACGGCCAGCGGGCGGGTCGGGGGCGGGGGCGTGCGTGGCAGGATGTGTGTTGTGGGTGAGTACCCTCCCCGTCTGCCCGGAACTACTAGTACCCTCGCCTGCTGGGGTCGTGCCGCGCCCCGGCTCTTGCGCTCGATTGCGACGTGCCTGCGTCATGGGACGTGTCTCCCAGCCTGCGCGCGCGCCCCCGCAAGCCTCCTTTAACCTTTCTCCGCTCTCTTGGCTTCCCTTCATCATTCTCGTGCCCTGCGCATGGCCTTCCAAACACCTCCAGAACACACGTGAAGCACCCGCCCACCGCCACCGCGTCCTCTTGTCTAATTGTGAGTGGGCACGTTGGCATGTTCTCGCGCGACACACCATCGTGCGTGATCGCTCGCCTTCAAACGTTCGCCTTCTGCCTGCTTCTGCTCTTCCCCACACACGGCGGTGCATGCGTTCAGACACGTATATATAACGCGGCCACCGTTTCGACACCCCGCATGCCTCTCTGGGATACCCGGATACCACAGTGCTGTGTCTGATCGCATTGCGCCATCCATGTAGCCTCGGCTTTACTCTCAGCACGCAATATATGTTCCTGGCGCTCCCAAGATTGGCCCAGCTCATGTCCGGCTACGCTTCTTTTCAAAATCGGCGCAGAAGAGAAGTTCGACCATCTCCGCCACGCCGCGATTGGCCAGATCTACCCTACTTGCGTGCCACGATGCTTCAGGTCTATCACACGTCTCGGACTCCTGGAATAGGCCGGCAAGTATATAGCTAGCTCTCGAACCGGATCGTATCTTTGGCCACCGAGAACACACTCCGTTTGCGACCTGCGAGAACGGCTGCTGGGCTTTGGGTGCACGTTGCCGCTCTACCACACTCACCTACGCAGTACTCATATACACGGCATGAGCGGGCGGTCAGCTCAGCTGCACCTCCATGCCAAAATCCCTCGGAGCTTGGTGGACAGCCATGCCCGCATCAGCCTTTTCGCAATGTGGCGCGCCGCGTGCGTGGGTACCCGCTGTGCAAGGCGACAAGTTGAGCGGTATGTCGTCACTCGCCCTCCAGAGATGTCTACTTAAGCTTACCGGCTCGTGTAGCTTGGATGTGAATCTCGCGCCCCATACGACCCCCACTCATGACTTTGAGGTCTAATGCGGCCACATTTGCTGCTAGTGTATCCGGCGCGTCCTACACCGTCCCAGAGCAGGATATTTGTACAGGCAAATTCCGCTGAATGTTAGCCTTCGGTGCCCGCGACGAAGAGTCCAATCTATGGTGCGCCGTTCTTCGTATGCTAAATTGCTCCCCTACCGCCCACTCCAGAAGGCGAACGCGTCGTCGGCCGAACACATTGGGTCCACTTTCCAGCGATTGTTAACTGCTCTGTCTAATGCTGCAAAATAGGATGTCGTTCGCTCTCCTTAACCATCAACACTCTGAGCATCTAGATCTTGCACCCCCGTCCGTTGTGTGGCATTGAGCGTCGTTACACTCTAAATCCATAATGGTGAATCTACGCGTCCTCTCCTCAGCTATAGCAAGGCAGTACAGCCGCTCACTCGGGTGAAGCTGCAAATCCAGGCGGACGATGAGGTTGCTCGACTTCTCACTTGGCTCCTCGCGGCAGCTGGTAACGTTTGGCGCACCGCTCGCATCGGCCCGGAACGTGAGGCTTAGTGGAGTCATCCGATCTCATGGCACGCACTACGCCAGAGGGCGCCGTGCGCACTTGTGCTCTAAAGCGGGATGGTGCATGAACTCATGATCTGCTTCCCAACTCTACCGGCTCCCCGCATACGGCGGTACCGTGAGATGGCGAGCTACGCCATACGATAGTAAGGGAGCCAGTTCGACCGCCACTCGTGCTTTCGCTTCACGCTCTCACTGCGACAGTCGAGTGTGCGCCGTAAGAAACACATTGCAACCTCAGACTCTGTCCGTGAGTCAGTAGTAGCCCGGCTACACCAGATACACCGTGAACTAACGTCAACCCTAAGTAGGCGTAAACTGGGTCTTTATCAGTAGTTTACCGTCGATCCCCACCAACCCCCCATGGCGAGCCTCACACACCCCCTCCTCACCGCCTTCCGCGCGTCCAAGCCCGCGTTCGGCGCCTGGATCACGCTCCCGGGCGTGCTCTCCGCGCGCACCGCCGCCGCATCCTCCCCGCACCTGTCCTGGGTCGTGCTCGACTGCGAGCACGGGGCGATCTCCATCCAGCCCGGCGCGGCGGAGAGCGCGCATGCGATCGCGGGGCTCGGGGCGGCGGCCCCGACGACGATTGTGCGCATCCCCGCGACGGGCGCGTGCGCGGACCGCAGCGCGGGCTGGCAGATCAAGTATGTCC